AGATCACTATAGCTCTAAATAATCTAGAAAGTAAATAATTAGAAGGCACAACACAGGTGATATTTCTATAAATAGAACATTTTAAACGGTTTAAATTGAGAAATGTATTAGGAAACTTATATTTTACTTAACTACGGTCTGACGTTTCGCGTATTTTTTTGCGCTTAAATCGTTAAAATTGTTTATTTAAATGAGTATTATCGCGTAAACTACAGATAATACAGTTAAGTATTGTCTGTAGTTTATAATATTATACGACGTAATTATTTACCTCGAAATTTGCTAATAGCTAAGGGCTAAAGTTTTAAAGTCTACATAATTAAGCCGATCTAATTTAAATTGAATTTCCAACTTCCCAAGTAGCACGACAAAGTTGGTAATTGTTTTGAAGTTAACTCGTGTGGTGAAATTCCCGAGTGTCATCACTCATTATGTAAACTTTGAATATTATACTTTGAAGTATTTTACAGCTATATTTTGTCTCTGTCACGCATTATTATTTATAATTCGAATGAAAGAGACAGATAGTAAGATAGCAAACAAAAAAATAACTGCCTTCCTATCTTTTTTACGCAAATCTTGTTTAAGTTTGAATGAAAGGAACAAATAATGCAATAGTAATATAAACAGAGTATGCTTATTGGACCACCTCCATGGTTCAATGGTTATAGCATCGTTTTAGGTACAAACGTTTAAATCCCGGGAATAAAATGAAGAATTTTAGTCGGACAAAGCATACAAGTCTCTATGTACCATCAACCTGGCCATAGAAACAAAGAAAACAAGATTATAAACGTAATCTTTATACAGGCAGACTCAAAATTGCCATTCTTGGCTTGGCTTTGCCGCCTAGAGAATTCTATTTGGTGACGTTCTACAGACTCATCATCCATGTTAAAGTACTAGGGTATAAGCTTGAAAGTGGATATTTCATGTAACTAGATGACTTGGCAGCCTTTCACTCGACACGCTAGCTCTTGCGTCATTGCAGCTCGGCGTCAGTAGTTCAATCACTTAACATGACAAGACAAACACTCATACATATCTTCATATTTATGTGTCGTACGAACGACAGAGGTATGTACTAGTATTGGATATTATTTCGTATTTACGTACCAGGATGTCAGAAACTTGAAAGAACTAGCGTTACTTTTCTGTAGCTTTCGTTTCTACATAAGCAAAATAATTCATTATAAAGTGTAGATTATTAAGTTTCTCATCACTATTTACTGTGTGTGTGTGTGTGTCGGTAATATATAAGTATTTGATTCAATGACAAACCGAAGGAGAAAGTGCTATTGAGCAAGTTACACGAAAGTTCTTTTATAAAGACATCCGGATACACAGGAAATGACGTGTTAAAGGCAAATAAGGCGTATTTACATACAAAGTTCAACATCAAAAAGACTATTTTAACGGTTTTAAACTCGGTATTCATTGTAATGGTTAAAAGTAGTCGTGGTAGTAATAGTATCCGGGATTATAAACACCTTTTAAATGCTAATTTGGTGGAGGAACAGAAAAAATTGTCTCAAACGCGGTCTACCCCGCGTTACTTTACGTTAGTTTGTTTAGTTTAATTTGGAGAGATTTGAAAAATAATAATACAATATAAGGAATGTTTTTCAAGAATTCCTGTTTCTAAAAGGATACGCCAATCTCATTCAACAGCACGCAACAAAGGCAGAAACATTCCCGGGGAAAATCCTGCATTCCGTAACGAAACCCGCACGAACATTGTTAAATATTTACAAACCGTGAAGCTGTTAAAGCGATCGTTCCCGGCTTAGCCTTCGGGACATCTCTGAATGTCTATTTTATTATCCTTTGGGATCTCTTGGTCACAACCTGTTTACTGGCTTCCTACGTCGACTGCCGGGGTATATCCTATCTTTATCTATAATAGTAGCCATTCTATATCTCTGAAGTACAGAACTGTCAGTTCGAACACGTTAAAAAAAACATTTATACATTATTATATAATGTATCAAATTTATTTTAAACACGACCTAACATTTTGAATGCTTTGATTTATTTTCATTTTTGAAAGAAGTAACGATAGATAGATAGATTTGATAGATGTGCCAGAGGTGCAAGCATTAATATATTGAAAGAATTAACGATGAGGTAGCTCAAATGTTGAGAGCAATAGCACGGTACGCTACGATGCAGTTCAAGTCCTGCCCTTGTCGTAATTTTTTTCAATCTAAAATCGATTCTCAGTGAAAAATAAATTTATTAGTGTATGTTGTAATTTATTCAATAAAAGTGTTTTATCTCAATGTGTGTGTGCTACTCTCGTCGACTACAGATAATACTCATCGCGTTAATTTTATTTTAATTAGACAGTAGTCAGCCTTCTGTTTCGTGTCTCACCAAACCTACATTGTGGTTTGAATTCACAGAACCAGTGCTTGTGTTCGTCTGGTTTAGAACCGTCATAACGCTTTAAAAATATGTTTTTAAAATCGTATATTGCGACCACGGTTGCTGCAAAGCATCCAAAACGTCGGGCCGAAGTTAAAAATCATTTTCAAATAAGTTTAACTAATATATCGCGTTTTAAACCGTTAAAGTGTTTTATTTAATTGAGTACTACTCGCGTAAACTATAGACAGTATTTAATCGTATATTGGTTTTGGTATACAAAATAAATAAAAATAAAAAAAACTTTTAAATATCAAATAAATCAATTTCAACGGTTTAAAACATGTAATATATTAGTCTATTATTTCTTAATCATGCACCAACGTTTAAATACCTTTCAGCAAGCAATATTACGCGGGTTTACAATTTACATAGTTAAGACAGTCGATTCCACATTTTGCGTAGCTCAGATTACGCGAGTTCAGTGCACTCACGTTATTCTCCTACTCATCCTTAACTATTCAGAATGCATCGAGCGAATAGTTGGGAAAGCCCGCCACGAGGCCTCCATCGCACGTCCCCAATACAGCCACTTCGTTCTGAATAACGATAATTACGAAGACGTGATACTGTGCTCTTTACACAATGCGCTTTGTTCGATTGTGCTGTGATGACGATTTTTGCGATAGTTCGTGTTGATAAGGTATATGATTGCTTGGTTAATCGAAAAGTAGCAACCAATGGGACATGGGTTGATTCGATTGTCACCAGATACAATATAATTTTTTATTTATGTATTTATTTTCATATCAAGAAATGTATAAAAGATAAAGCTTCTATAAATAAATGCTACTAATAGTTAGTATTAAAATTTTAATTATTTCACCTCCCCACCTCGCAACACGTAAACCTTTTTATTATTATTACTAATTGTTAATAACTACTAGTGCTTATTTAAATAAAACACTTTAACGGTTTGAGACGCGATATATTTTAGTTTAACTTGTTTGAAAATCAGTCTCCCCGTGACCACGGCTGCTGCAAAGTTAAAAATAATTTTCAAACAAGTTTAAATATATTGCGTTTCAAACCGTTAAAGTGTATTTAAATGTGTACTACTCGCGTAAACTACAGACAGTATTTACCACTAGTGCTGTCTTTTATTAGATCTAACATACGAATACTTGTACCAAATAATATATGTGATATATGCTCTGATCTTTTGTGATATCTTAAATAAAAACAAATAGTAGTCCTTATACCATTATTACACGTATTACACGAATACTTATTGTACAACATGAAAAACAAATACTTGATGCCCTCAAACATAATTAGTATTGAGAACATAGAGGATGCACTAGATTTTGCAACTGCGCAGATACGCGTTCAACTGTCTTGCTCAATATAAGGTGTATGAAATATGTTGGAGTACTTCAAGGACCTCCTCTGTTTTAGGTTTCGATGTAATGACACGCGACACCTGCTACGAATTATAAGTTATAAAGTATATGTTTTAATTGTATTGACACATTTCATGTTTAAAATTTGACCCGGCTGGGACTCGACTTCAGGATTACTGAGTATCGTGCTTTTTACAAATAGAATAACAGCCTGGTATACTATAAAACACTTTAACTAACTTTATAAAATATATCGCGTTTTGAACCGTTCAAGTGTTTTATTTAAATTTACTACTCTCGTAAACAACAGACAGCATTTGGTATAGTATATATAAAGTAAAGGATATTTACGTAGAGCCTTGCATATACAAAGTCATAATTAATTAGGTGTCAAAATGTTCATGCATACTAAATCGTTATTACAAATATTATTCATATATTAAAATAAAATAAAACAAAGTATAGAGTTCCAATAGTTATTATATTACAGTATCTATGTCTTGCGGGTAGTTGTAAATTATTAATGCCGAGCATTTTACAAACTTCTCAAAACAAATACAGCTTATCGAAAGAATTTAACCTGAGCAACGTTTTACGTACACGTTAGTGAAATTTGTAGTAAATTTTGTAGTGAATTTTCCGAAAGTTTGTCAACCGATAACGAATTTCAAAATTGTTTCCTTTTCATGTTGGACTTTTGCTCGCGAATAACTCGCAATACTGTTAAAGTACGGATTTATTGAACGAGTATTTTGTAACGTTTTGACCATATGTATATAATAAATAAAGATGTATATATTCACTTTGACTTGTTTTTAATTTTTTTGTCATTGTGAATATTTTGACTCGTTGGCTTGCGTTTCTGTGATATAAATATGTACTTTTACGTGTTTTTAATACAAAATAATAAATTCTGGACTTAAGAGAATGTATTTCAACAAAATGTATCTTTAGTCTATGGCATATATATTTATAAGCGGTACTATTACGTCTGTGGCAATTACAAATGTGAAAGGATTTATAAATGGATACAAACGTCTATTTATAACCAACATAATCTTATAAGATTACGCGTAATGAAGAAGCATAAAGAAGGGTTTTATAATGATAAGCAAAAACAGTAAATGTGCCCTTGGAACAATTCTTTTTAAAATATTTCTTAGCTTGTTATTAGCTAATTGTTAATTATTAACCTTATTTTGTTATAGAATCCCTGTGTGTAATGCAGCGATGTCGACGACTGTGAGGGCAGCGCTGCTCTGCGCTGTCTTGCTGACATTCCAGCAAGGTAAACATATCTTCTTATTAATTCTTCTCTTTCATTCTTCTTCTTCCAGTGCCGTTTTAATTTTAAATGAATTCTACCATTATTATTTATCCATGGGAACGTTAAGACTTAAGATAAATTCAGATTTGTTTCGTTTATTGTATTTTTCGTATGGGAATGAGAAAGTTTATGCAGAACATATACATATATCACAATTTGCTGCAGCAGGAAATAGTCTAGTAATATTTATAAATTACAACTTCAGACGTGAAACTGTAAGCAAAGTGTAGTGTAAGTTTGAATGAAGATGTTGCATAGCTTTATAGCTCTATGGCTTTAGTACCTATCAGAGTTATTTTAGAGAATACGTTTTCTAGAAGATAGAGGCGCGTGTAATATATATAGAATGTCGTCTGTAATTCGATTTCTTCCAACATTTGGTTGACCAAAAAAAACTTGACTCTATACTAATATATGTATAAAGCTGAAGAGTTTGCTTGTTTGATCGCGCTAATCTCAGGAACTACGGGTTCAAATTACTTAAAAATTATTGTTGTGTTGGTTAGATCATTTATCGGGGAAGGCTATATAGGCTATAAAACATCGCGCTGTGACTAATAGAAGCTAAGATACAGGGGGGAAGTGTGAACAAAACGGGGGGAAGTTTTCATCTATGTGGGTTAAAAACCCGTAATTTGAGGTTTTTAGCGTCATAAATATTTTAAACTCCCCAGAAGCAAAATTTGATTCAATGTAAGACGGATGAGTTTTGTAATTCTATTTAGGGGATATACCAGGGCAACATAAGTTTACAGCATGTTCGAAATAAGACTGGGAGTGATAGAGACATAAATTTAAATTTTAACAAAGCCTTTCAAAGAACAAACACGTTTTTTAGTCAAGTGTTTTGTTGGTGCTTTTTTAGAAGCATGTTTTATTAATTAAAAATCCATTATAAATAGGAAACGGGTTCAAAACGGGATAAATTGAAAAACAATATTAATTTTTAGTTTTTATTTAACGCTAAATAAAAAAAATATTCGTTCCTAGCTTACTATACTTTAAATACATAAAAACTAGTAACTACTTAAATTTAGGATCTCGATTTAAAACAGTCACGGATAGATCCTCTTTGATTTAGTTTATAATGTCGAATATTACTAGAAATTGAACAAATTGTCTTCTTTGAAACTCTATTACAATAGTGATAAAAAGTTTTTTTGCACACTCCAATATAATCAAATAGGTACCCACTTGAAACTTCACTGTATATTATTTGTCTGAAAAACACCACAAAAAAAAATATCTGTCAAAATAGTCTAATATTCGTATATAAAGTACCAAGGTCATATAACCTACTGGATGTGTCAGCGACTTTGTCTGCTTCAGTATTATATATTAGTAGAGATAAGAGTTACAACGTTATCCTTGCAAATTTAGCCCGATCAAGCTATCGTAATTCCTAGGAAAATCAATGAAATGTACCAAGTCCGTAGAACTTCATCAACTTATTTTTTGAAAGGATTTAAATCGCTAATAGAATATTTCTTGTTACAGTAAGCGCCGAGCTTAGAGGTAGATGTCCAGCCCAGGAGGGACCCTGTCCAGCCAGAGCCACTCCTTGTAGTAGTGATGATGAGTGTGGAGAACAAGTGTGCTGTAAAACTTCGTGTGGGCAAACTTGTACAGACCCCTTATATACTGGTAAGTGGACAACAATATGACTAGAAAATACCTATCCTATATTCTATAAATATACTGAAAGGCTTAACTGAGAATTTAAATAAAAATTTATAATCATATTTAAGACTATTTAGCATGCATGGCATCCTCTAAAAATTCTAATTTTATACATAGTTCATTTGTTTAACATATTAGATTATATCGGCGTAGCTTCATTGATAATATTATGAACTGACTTATTTTTTCGATGAGCCGTAGTTAAAATAAATGAACTAATATATTTCGTGTTATAAACAGTTAAAAGTGTATTCAATTTTAATATGTAGAACAGAGGATTTATGAAGAAACCTGTTGTTAACACAACTAAATTAGCCACACAAGAATCATGTAATTAATCACTGAAACCAAACAATATCGAGTTACGCAAACAATGTTTGTAAATAATTACTATTAGTTGGGAGTTATTTCGACTACGGTAACTCGTTACCTAAACAAACAATAGAACAGGTGCAATGGTCCGTGAAGCGAGAATAACCAATTTTCTTTCGATGGTTAAAACAATTGTCTTAAACAATTTACAGCGATTGTAGTCTTTGTCTGTTTTGATTCCGTCAGTGGTAAATCGTGGGGTAGGGAGTTTCATTTTAGATTGTTTTGCCATTATTATACAAATAAGTCCTTGAAACAACCTTTGACACATGACATCAAAGACAGTAGTGTTAGTTGTTAGTCGTGGTACGAGGCCCGCCAAAGAACTTTGCAATTTTCTTCTAATTCTACTTTTACCACTTCGTCAACTCAATTATTTATTATTATCGTTTTATATGTAACGAAGGTCCTAAGTATGGATTCTAATACAAAAGCCTGATTAACTACTTGCTTTGAAATATAAAAATTAGTATAATAATTTATTTGTCAGACGATAAATCCATCCATTTGTTAAAATAATTAGTAAAAATTTTTAACTTAATATGTATTTTAAAATGTGTTAGGCACTAGAATTAAGGAGACAAAATGAAATACACACAGTAGGTGCTAGGCGCTAAGGGGGGAGCATGGACGTCACTCCATCGTTTCAGCAGCACCGTGCACTTTTCACACAATGCCCCCAGAATGCCATTGGTGCTTTGTCGAACTCGTTACACGAGGGAAGCTACACGTTTGCGGATGATGGCGTGGAAATATAATGTAGCAATGAAACGGACTAATAAAAATGCTGCCCCAGTGCGATTTAAGTCGTAACTTACCAATTTATTTGTGCATTTTTTTTAGACATAGGCATGGCTTATCTTACTCATAGCAAAGGTAAACACTTAGTAATGACCTGTATCAAATTTACGACCGTCAAATGCAGTTGATGTTTGGACAAGCGTGAATTATGTTCAATGAATATTAATAGGTTCTCCACAAACGCAGCTTGCCCGATAGAATGGACGATTATTACAATAAATTACGCTTTTACATTTAAAAATTATCTATGTACTTTATTGAAGCATTCAGATTCAAGGGAGGAAGTATCAACATTTTTTTAAATGAGAAGTATATTAATTTAAAAAATGTGTTTAGCAACATGATGTTATCGATTCTTTCCTTTTTAATTATAATCTGTATTTAATTCGAATAATGTATTGGAAAAATATAATACTATCTCTATCTCACCATTTCTGGACAGACAAGACTGCCAAGGCAAGAATTTTAAAAATTAAAAAAAATGCAATTCTATGTTGTGTCAGATAGTAGAATTTTACTTTGTACCTATAGGACTTTTACTAACAAGAGTTTATTATGAAACTACAAATATATATATGTAAAAAATATTGCTTTAATAATAAAATACACTTACATAAAATTTAAAAATCGAAAATTACTCACATATCAGTCCATCCATTTTGTCAATAATGAAAATGTTAATCCTCATAGGCTATATTATTAAATGTGTAACTAAAAAGGTTCACATTTGATTCCAGGTTGCGAAAACATAAAGCTATCATCAGAAAGAATTTCGCGAGCACTTGCCGCTGAGAACACGAGAAGTGGAAGAAGAATAAAATCACTAAGGTCTCCGCGGTGCAGGGCGGTAGACGGAGAATTTGAGGAGATACAATGTGATAACGAGATCGTCAGTTCGTGCTGGTGTGTTGATCCTACTGGTTTTGAGGTAAGTTAATCTTAGTTAGTAGTTATATTCTCATCTTTGTTTAATGTTAAGAAGTAAAATACACAACAGTAAATACTGTCTGTTGTTCACGCGAGTAGTACACATTTAAATACAATATTTTAACGGTTTAAAACGCGATATATATTAGTCAAACTTATTTGAAAATTATTTTGACTACGGCCCGATGTTTCCCCGTGACCACGGCTGTTGCAAAGCATCCGAAACGTCGGGCTGTAGATAAAATAATTTTCAAATAAGTTTGACTAATATATATTGCGTTTTAAACAGTTAAAATGTTTTATTTAAACATTCACAACAGCAATTTATTTATTTTTATTACTATAATTTATTCATTGTATTTCTTGTTTGTATGTCCATTTCCTAAAGTATGTTTAACTTTTGCATAGTGAATAAAATATATTTACCCGTCATGTGATTTTGAAAAGAAAACCTCTATCACATTGTACCATTTTTCAATTACCATATTTACGGTTTAAATACAATTGGGATCTATGTATGTACTCTATATATGTATTTTGTGTATTCCATTAGATACACTTCTATATAAACCCAAGACCTTTTGAGGCCTACCGTAATCCTAGTTAAAAATAATTGAGCCACGAAGGCGGTTAAATATATGCTAAACCTTTCTAGGTCCCTGGTACTCGCGCCCCAGCAGCCGGTCTAGTCAATTGCACGCGTACGGCAGCATGTGCTGCTCACACATGCCGTATGCTATGCCCGCTTGGCTTCGAGCTGGATGCGCGAGGATGTCCTCTTTGCAAATGCCGGGATCCCTGCTCATCTGTTACCTGCCCTGGGTCTCTATCCTGCCAACTTGAAGAGACGCCGTGTTTGAGGCCGCCTTGCCCACCTGTACCCACTTGTTAGTATATGTCTATATTAATTTATATAAATTTCTTATGTACTGTTTATTAAGTAAGTGAAAACATATATTTCAAAGAGTACTAAAACTTGGATTGAATTTTGTTCTCAATAAAACAATTTTAACGGTTTATATCGCGAAATATATTACTATCATTAACAATTTATTTTAACTACCGCCCGACGTTTCGAATGCTATGCAGTAGCCGTGTGCAAGCTCCTTGACCACGGATCGTCGGGCTTTAGTTAAAACATATATTAAATAAGTAACTGATATATTTCACGTTTTAACCCGTTTAGAGTGTTTCATTTACGTGTGTACTATTCGCGCACAGTACATGCAATACTTCTATTTTAATAAACTTTTGCCTTTTGATTTGTACCTTGAGACAATACGCTTAGTCGATGGTTAGTCATCCTCTAAAATAAAAATAAAAAAATGTAATAAGTACGCTTATGAATTGATTAAATACATTAAATACTGGAAAACAAAACAAATAGATACCTTTCGTTATGAAGAATATAATATTAAATAATCGAGTCGATAAGTCGAATAATATTAATTTACGTACCCTAGAAGCTATACTGCAGTTGGCCTAAAGTTTACTCTATTACTCGTAGGAAATAAGCAGAAAGTTAGCTTACGTCTCAATGAAATAATCGCATAATGCGACTTCCGCCTTTCCATTGTTGCTTCATATCAACTAATTACACAGTCATGGATATTTTCTATCTTGTCTCAGTAATTAAAGACGTTTCTTATATATAAGTATTTATCGTTATAAAAACGCATACTATACAGTACCCTATTTATCGCTAGGTAAATCTTTACTAATATTATAAATGCGAAAGTAACTCTGTCTGTCTGTCTTAACCTCTGCCTCTGCAGACGCTAAAATACCTATCTAATTGCAAAACCTCATTTGAAAGTTTTTGCGAACGTGTGTGTTATAAATGTAAAGACAGGCAAGAAATTGATCTTCAATTTTGAACAAGTGGTATCTCCCAGTTGTAAAATGCAATCTAAGATTCTTAAAACCATTTAATTTTTATTTAATTACATCTCGTAAGTAACTTTACGTAAATCGATAAAACTACGTAAATACATTTCGTATTATTTTCCAGGCAAACGAGGAAGGAGTCTCCAAAACATCTGCCCAGTGGGAGAACCTTTGCTCATATCGGAGACGAGCCGACCATTCCTGTGTGGAACGGATCCAGGGAAACCGAACTGTCCACCACTGTACCGCTGCTTAGTTGAATCAGGTATATCATCACCATGTGACATCTTAGAAGGACTATACAATATATCCTTCCCAATTATAATTAAGAAACAGGTCCTGTCTGTAGATTACAGTAGTAGTCGTAGTGTCTGTAGAGTACAGATTAGTAGTACACATTTAAATAAAACATTTCAAGACTGAGACACCGGAGAGACTCCCCGTGACCATGGTGCTGCAAAACATCCGAAACGTCGGACCGTAGTTAAAATAATTTTCAAATAAGTTTACCTGATATATATCGCGTTTAAAACCGTTGAATTTTTTTTAAAGAAACAGGTTGTTAAAGATAATAATATTGACTGACGATTTTGACACGCTCGGTACTTGTAATGGTATGCTACGTATCTATGGCTAATAATCAAAGTGTCGTGGGTTCGTTCTCCACTGGGTCCAATATTTTTGGAAACAAATTATATTTTTCTGCAACTTGTTGGATGGTAGGAATATCCAAACATGGTCCGGATTACGAACTACCGTCCAAAGATGCAAACGTTCTCGTTTTTGTCTGTCGATTTCCAAATATCCAAAACCAAAATATGTCGACAACGCTTTTTTTGAGATTTCATTTCACCTACTATCGAGTCAACGCCATACGTGTTTGTCCTCCTCTAACATAAAAAAAGATCGTTTAACCAAACTGTACTGAAGCGACATTTCGGTTTTAGCTCTTCAAATCCTGTGCTAGGTAGAAACGACGATATATATCTTGATTTTTTTAATTAATTTCTTGATATTAAATTTCATTTGACATTATTTATCATCTATTGTTCGCAAAATAGGTGACGATGAAACAAATGCAAATTCCGCTGATATGTGCGAGTCGATTGTTCTGCCGGATCATTCACGCATGCCGATCTAATGTCGCTCTTTTTATGCTAACATGCCAACATGCTCATTGTTAGAATCCGGACTTAATCTGTGAGCTATTTAAAATTATTATCCGCTAATATAGTACGAATTCTATCGGTACAAACGGTAGATTAAAAAAAAACATTGGCGGGAACCGGCATCCACAACGATCCATGCTAGGACACTCCAGCTCAATTAGTTAGAGCAGCAGCACGGAACTCTGTGAATTCCGATTCAAGTCTCGCCGGTATTTTTTGCAATCTACGTGGATTTTTAATAGAGATAAATTAGTTTACATAATTTTTCTAGACACTATACGCTTTTATTGTCTGGCATTAAGTAAAATTAAACGTGTTTTTATTAAGTCAAAGTTGCAATATAGTAAATATGGTACTTGCTTAAACAGCCACGGGTTCAAAAACTTGCACATGATGGCATTATATTAGATATTTGAAAAAAGTTGGTTAGAGCAACAGTACGGAACGCTGTAGATGCCGATTCAAGTCCATATTTATGTACGTATAGCGATTTTACACACTTAAGCATAGTAACCAATCTTTTTCAGGAAATGACTACGGCGTCTGCTGTCCTGCGTCCCTAGAACTTCAGAAAGCCGGCACCTGTCCCGCGCCGTCTTCATCAGATGATGATTGTGGCACGCCATGCGCACACGACTTGGAGTGCCCATCAATGCAGAAGTGCTGTGACGGTGGTGAATGCGGAAGACACTGTACTCTTCCTCATAACGTCACCATGTGCACACAACAGAAGATGCTAGCAGAATTACTGGTAGTGAGTGAGAGAGAAGGAAGAGGATATGTTCCACAATGCGGTGCTGATGGCAGCTTTGAGTCAAGGCAGTGTTCAAGAAATGGATTAGTTTGCTGGTACGTGGTAATTTAAAAAACAACTTTTATACCAACTTATTAATGTTTTACATTTGACAATTTGTATCTTCTACTTTTAAATTATTTGCAAACGAGAGTCTTCTTAGGGTAAACAAATGATATAAAATGTATCCCATATTTGTTAGACTTTTTCGTCTTCACTATAGTTTTCAACAGTAGAAATAAGAAGAAACAATACAAAAAACATTACTAAGGTTTTTTAAGCTATTTCTATTTTCCAGGTGTGTCGACTCTGAGGGAAATAAACTGCGCGGAACCATGGGCCCGTCAGCATCTGTCAAATGTTCAGCGACCCCTCGGCCAGCTAGATCTGGTGGTAGAAGTCTCAGTGGATGCGCGCGCGCATTGTGCGCGGGTGTCTGCGAATATGGATATAAGACTGGCACAGACGGATGCCCTACATGCGAATGCGATGATCCATGCGCAGGATTCCCCTGTGCTGATGACGAAGAGTGCGTTAGGGTCAGAGATGCTGATTGTACAGGAGAGTTCTGCACTGGGTATCCAGTATGTAAGTGCTGACAAGTGCAAATTAGATGTATCATTGCTTAATATTTGCTAAGTATTGATTGATAATATGTCTAAAAAACTAAAGACATGTTTAGTCTATGATAATTTTTATATAACGATTTATTAATAAATAAATACAATGAAAATGTATATTTTTTACTTACATATTTTACTAGGTCGACCACGAGTCTCATATGAGAATCCTTGTGAGGTTGGAGTACCAGCGACTGACGCAGAAGGCTCTGTAGTCGCGTGTGGCTCAGAGCAGGACTGTCCTTCTGGTTTTCTTTGCTCGCTGACCAGACGAAGTGGCGGATCTGTGTGCTGCCCAGATGTCACTGCTGACAATTCCACAGACAGTGAAGTTATTGAAGTATGTACAGTCATACCAAAGAATCCTATAACCTTTGCTTATCTTAACGTTTTTTTTATTACGATTATAAAAACGATAATTCATTTAATATCTACTTTTTACATAACACCTTAAGTTTTACTTAGTCTAAATATTGAATATCTATCAGACTATCGATTCATATTTTTATGTTTCATCCCCTAATCGGAATCTAATAATATTTAGTTTTACCATACACTTGTATTATTTACCTATCAATCTTTTTGGTCTTAGATAAACTTCGAGTCATGTGGTTCGGAAGCAGAAGCGATGTGTAGTCTGAATTCCACCCTGACTTGTCTTGATGGTTCCTGTGAGGATGGTCTTCTGTGTTGCTCCACATCGAATTGTGGACCCATATGCGTTGATACAGATAAAATACGACTGCAAGCCGATAGAGTTGATGACACACCCACTAGTAAGTATATTAAAATTAACATTTAGTCTACTATCCTATTTGACTGGTCATCGCCAGGTTCAAACTCCAATTCTATTCTTTAGGTCTACTTTCTACTATCTGTCTGGTTTAATCATTACTGGTCGTGGGTTGGTGCCTACATATTTAAAATCAATTTACAATTTTTCTTAAATTATAAATTGATTAAAATGTTGGACGTCTGGAAATCTGGATATTAAATGTAAAGATAAAGATATTAAATTATATATCATAAACACAGATGAAAAAGCCGTCAAGTGTAATTGCGTTTCGGTTTTTAATCTGTGGATTTCCGAACATCCAAAGGCACAGCAGATCTTGTCGAGATGTTATATGGCTGGGTTATTTCACCTTCCATGGAGGAGGACAGAAAAGAATGGAGTGAGCCCCATGCATGTAAACAATGCACTAAACACTTTTGCTTCATCTTTTTTAGTGTGCGAATACCTCCGAGACTTTGACGAAAAAATGGAAGGAACAGTTGATGGAATGAAGCTGGCGCTACCGGCTCCAAGCTGTAACCTTGACGGATCCTTTACGTCACAGCAATGTGCTCAAGGTCGCTGTTGGTGCGTGGACTCTTTTGGTACGGAGATACCAGAAACTAGCACGAATTCTTCAGCCCTAGACTGTGACAAGTAAGTTATAATCTCACCTATCTCTAGAGAAAATTATTATTAAGTGAAATATAATAAAGGAATAATGTAAGTAAGGTTTAGGCACTTATATTATTAACCCAATGAAAGATTTCAAGACACAATACTTTCCATCTTAAGTGGAACCGAATGCTTATTATTTTTGAGTTATTTTAATTAATAAATCGAAAATCATAAGCATTACAAGCAAGTGTTAATACACTGTATGTTATATTTCGTATACTTTTTTTTTCCAATATTTTGCTTAAACCTCCATAATACATATTATGTATCTTCTATTTTCACCCCGCCTCATCTATAGGATTCGCGCTGAACTCTCCTGCCTAGATCTGACATGTCGTATGGGATGTGATTATGGATTTGAGATTGGTTCCAACAAATGCCCTACATGCCGATGCCGCGACCCTTGCGCAGGAGTAACTTGTCCTTCGGGACGCGCTTGCGCACTCGTTGACGTTGCCTGCGATGCTGATTATTGTCCACCTGTACCTGCCTGTAAGTAGATGTATATATACATATTTTACATTATGCATTTAGATCCCATGACAGTAAAACAATGTGAGAATTGTACTACGCCTTGCGCTATCAGAGGTATAACACATTAAATTTCTTGTTTTTTTACAAAATGATAATTTAGTGTTAAGACCAGCGCAAAGGATCGTTGCCATGATGCTGATTACTTCAAAGAAGAGTGAAAACAATACTCCAGTTTTGTTGGCCTTCAGATCGAACTGTCCTCCCCTAAAACGTTTGAACTTTAACTTATAGGTTTACCACGGAAAAGCGGACAATGTCCATACCTCGTGCCGTGGACTGGTGCCTGTGAATGGGCCTGTCGTTCTGACAGCGAATGTGGTGGGGAGCAGCGCTGCTGCGCTACCGGATGTGGGACTGCTTGCACTGCTGTCGTGCACCATACAGCATGTCAGCAAAGAAGGTAAATAACGATTAGAAAGACTAAGGGACTTATCGCACAGCGTAATTTTTTTTCCAATATCCAGAGCCAATATTGATCGACATTGTGATTTCTATGCATGTTCATTAAAGTATAAAAAAAACTTACATGGTTTAAAACGCAAAATGTACTTTTACAAACTGAGGTACCTACTGCTGTGGGCTGAAAAGCATCCGAAACGTCGGGCCGTAGTTAATTTAGTTTGTTTTTATTTCAAAGTCAAAGTCAAACACCATTTATTTACAGAGGAACTAGGGCACTTATGAACGTCATATCAGTTAAAAACTAAAGACTCAAAATTACGGGTTTTAAACCGTTAAAGTGATTTCATTAAACGTGTACTATTTGCGAAAACTAAAGACGTACTGTCTGAGTTGGCGGGAGTAGTACCTACACTTCACACTTAAAAGAAAACAATTCAACTGTTTAAACGCGATACATATTAGTTAAACATATTTGAAACGTCGGGCCGTAGTTGAAATAATTGTCATATAATTTTAACTAAAGTATATCGAGTTTTTAACCGTTGAAGTGTTTTATTGCAATGTGTACTACTCGCGTAAGCTAGACAGTATTAAGTACATAACACTGTCATTTCTTAATATATTGTTTCAGAGCTCTTGCCTTACACACATCGGCGGAAAGTGGCAGTCCGCCAGCGTGGAACTGGGTTCCTGAGTGCACGGAAGATGGTTCTTACGAGCGAGTACAGTGCAGAGGATCAGAGAAAACCTGTTGGTGTGTGGACAGTGTTGGCAATGAGGTAAATTGCAAGCAAAATGAAGACCTATCCGTGTACCAGGAGAACACATTAAATCAAGAAGTTGCAATAGTTCCGTCAAAGTAGTATAACTTCATCCTTCTTTGGTTTATAGATAGCTGGTACCCGCGTAGCAAACTCCACCCCACCGTGCGATGAACCCCTCGAGTGCCACACACCACATTGCGAGCACGACGACGTTTGCACCCACGGCCGCGTGATGGATGAAAGAGGATGCCCCACATGTACCTGCAGAGATCCATGCGCTGAAGCAAAGTGCAGAGACGATGAGAGCTGTGAACTGGTGCCGGTAGACTGTGAGGTTAGATTTGCTGACTTATTTTATAAAGCAGGCACACTTATTAAGGGGGCCACTCTAGCAAATCACGAACTGACGTCGGGCCGCCAGAATTATAGGAAACTAGCTATGCCAGCGACTTCGTCCGCGAAAATCGTTATTTTGTGCATCCAAATAAGTTTTTGCAAACCCCGTCATCTTTATAAACTAAAGCTGTTAGCGATAACGTCGAACGCGTCCCTTCCCGTCGTTCTTGCTAGTTAATCTTAAAAGATAGACATATATGATGCGGACGTGAATCATTCTTTTATACACAATTTTGAAGTATCTTGAACCATTTCTGCCTACGCATCTGAAACTTACAGAGATGAAAAGTTTACCCCGTTAGGTTCACATTTCTCGCTGTATCATCGCTCCTATTTGTCACGTCGCAATGTGTTATAGCCGATAGCTCGATAAACGCGACAACACAAAAATAATTTTTCAATTCGAACACGTACATCCCGAGATTAGCGCGTTCAAACAAACTCTTCAGCTTTATATATTAGTATATTATAGGAAATTAAAGACAGTAAAGAATTGATAATAATGTATTAAAATAAAAAATAATTTATTAATTTTAGTATTATTTTTCTGTCGGTGGTTACCAGTATTCGACCGGGGGGGCACGGTCTGTGCATCTTTGTTATAAAGTATCATAGTACAGTGAAATCTGATTAAGTGGGTAAATGGATACCTGGGTAAATGAGAATCGTCTATTATTGTTACTTGCAATGAGGTCCCGGGTCTCATTCATTAAATTACCTCTGTTAATCGAACTTTTTGTATCTATTTCAAAAAGTTTGAGATTTGGATTCTAAGACTTTTTCAACTATTACCTCTATAAATGAGACTCTGTAGCTCAATTAACTGTAGAATTGAGATAAATTAATCAGTTTTTAACACGTTATGACATGTCCACCTCTAAAAATCTCTCTGTAAATGAGATAACTATAATTTTACACATGCCTTATTGGAAAACTGGCTTATTGGAAACCGTCAATAATTGGTACATATGTGTGGTCCCTTGAGACCCCAATTCACTGTATATTAATAAAGGTATCTATAACACTATTGAAACATCACTATACTTCTTCTTCACCTCGTTCAGGGAGACTCCTGTCCACCGCTGGCAAGATGTTCTCCATCTCCGCAATGTCCTGAAGGAGAACCACTATCCGCTCCAGACGGCTCAGGGGCTCTTCTGTGCGGTCCTAGTGCTGCAGCCTGTCCATCGACGCACGCGTGTCGCTTCGCCCCACACGATTCAAGGCCTTCTGTGTGCTGTCCTAAACCAAGTAAGTTATATCTAATAGCAATCTATACTAAGAAATAATAGCATTTATTTTGTGTTAGAAGCATTTTTATATCTAACGTAATCCGATCGAGATATTTCTTTTTAATCTAACGTTAATTTAAAAGTAAAACTGTTAAACTAACGTTAGATTAACTGTAAAAGTTGTAATAACTGTTTTGACTAAGACACAAATCAAATTATTAGAAAAAGAAGGTTCAATTTTCAAAAATTTTACGAGTTTCATACTGTTAATTAATTAAAATTTTTAATAAAAACTACTCTTTTTTCGGTCTTTATGGGTTTTACTTTACCCTTACTAACTGATTCTTACTGCCCCAGGAACCGTGTGCTTCGAGAACAAGGATGAAGGGGAGTGTCCAGACGGCAAAGGATTGAACGCCACTCGATGGTACTTCCACCACGAACGAAACCGCTGCGAGCGATTTAAGTACAACGGCTGCACGGGCACACACAATAACTTCCGAACTAAGGAAGAGTGTAATGCTGTTTGTCCTGGTGAGGATACAGGATATCATTAATATGACGCACCATTAAATTTTCTATGCCAACTTTAAAATTTCTTAATAATGTATAGTTACAATTTCTTAAATCATATGAACCTATACGAACTATTGTATTTTTTTCTTCATATTAAATCTTATCATGTCCGTACTAATTCGTTTCTGTGGTCATATTGTAAATATCTTTCCTGTTAACAATTTTGCTATCTATACGTCATATTTGACTTGCTTTTTTAGTTATTTCCTTTACCCTGCCTAATTCTCTCATCTGCTTTATAACAGTGAAGATGGAAACGGATAAAAGCCAAAAGAAGATTGGAAGCAAATTAATTGACCAAGAAGGCATGGTTTTTTATTTTATTTTAAACAGACCCGACACTCGTCACTAATACAGTTACATACTATGATTGAACTAATCAATGTATTTGTAATCACAATATAATATCCAGTTGACAGACTAGCATAACTGTATCAGTACCAAGAGAAATTGTTTGTTTATCACTCTTTTTCGCCTTAAACACTTAACTGATTTCTCCTTCGCCATCCTACACGAATTTTCTTAAAGCATGACTATTTACACGTATGTAAGTACATCTTATTATAGCTTACAAGCACGTTACACTCTACACGAAATTTGTTAATTATATTTTTATTTATGTAATTTACTGTAAATAACATTTTTGTTCTTTTTACGTCTATTCACCGAAAAGAAATAATATAAGGTTATATAAATTTGAATATTAAAAATGTTGCTACTGTAACTTACTGCTGCTCTGGACTATTGAGCTATCGTGGCTTACACGACATCGTAGAAATATTTCTATGTAATTTTATCTTGTAATCATTGTATTATATCGTCGCCCCTTTCCATGATCTTCTACGAACATAAGAATGACTTAGTGGGTTTATTCCCTCTATTCCTCTAAGCCGTTTCTTTGCATAGATTATGAATCTTAACATATATACATGTTTAATCTGCTTTTTTACAGTGCTAAGTCCATGCGAACGATTACGCGAGAAGAATGAAGCTGCCGCGCAGAAGTACGGCAAAGGCACTTTCATACCCAAATGTGATGTATCCGGAGCTTGGGAATCAGTACAGTGCATGTCGCATATCGGTAATTATTTTATCGTAGAAATTCCTTAGAAAATTTAACGCTTTGAAAATTAATAATCGATTTTTCATATACATATATATAGTGTCATAATGTGCGATAACATGTGAAAAATATGTAAGTTTTCAAAACCATAGGGTCCTTGAAGAAACTCTCGTCTCATGACAGTAAATATTTTCAGATGTATGTTGGTGTGTGAACGCTCGAGGTGAACCGCAAAAGGGGTCATTAGTACGGGGCGCAAAGCCGACATGCAACTTCCGGCAGGCCCGGAAGTGGATGAGGCGAGATCCGCTAGATGAAAGGGCTAGGGCTGATGAAGGTAACTCACGTCATATCAAGATAATACAAATTTAAATTATTTAATATGTAATTAACGCACTGTGTAAACTCGGAAACTGAAATTGCTCATAGCATACTATGACAACTTTTATTTAGGTTTGCATCGCTCACACTATATGTTTTTTAATCATTGTGCATTGAAGGCGACTGTTAGCTTGCCCCTTAAAAATAAAAATATTTTCCGTTAAACTTCATCGTTATCAAGTTTTACTTGTTGTCCATATTATGTTAGTCAATAATTATAATTTTCTTTCAGTACTAGAAGAACTTATACGACAAATGACGGCGTATAGAGTTGACGAATTTACGGATGACATCGAAGACTTTGACAGCAATGAATTGATGGAACAAAATGACGAGCCAGCGTCCACTGAGTCGGAAGACTCGTCGGTTTTGGTCGAGGCAGTGGAACCAAAAATTGCGCAAGTCACCAAGAAAGATACTCCAGTGGTGGGACGCGAACGCTCTGGGTTCAAGACTAAGTGCCAAATGATGCAAGCGGAAATTGAGAACGGTTAATATTTTATATTAATGATATCATACATATTTCATTTCAATTATCCAATTAAAATTGATAATAAATTTAACTTTCCTTTTCCTTTTTCTATATTTGATGATGAGATGGGTTTTTATTATTATTAATTTAAGTTCATTTTGTTAAGTTTAAGTAATATTAAGTAATTAGTAAGTTTCGCACTTCTTGCACACTGCATATTTTTTAATTAATCGTTAAGGCTACTCAGGTTGCCTGGAAGAGATCACTTATAGCGATAAGGCCGCCCGGTACACTCTATAGTTTTAAATTGCCTAGTATCTGTATGCTCTGTTTGGTGTACCTAAGTGTGAAATAAATGAATAAAATAAAATTGTATTAAAAACATATTCATTTTATATGTGACTTATAATCATTTAAATAAAACACTTAACGGCTTAAAACACTAAATATAAACAACAGCTTTAAGTTTCACGTTCTACAGTCGGGCCGATAATATATTAGTAAACAATTTTTAAAGTGTTTTATCTACGACCGGTTGTTTCGATAACTCGTGTTCACGGGGTCACACTCATAATTCCTAATGTTTTTAGGTGGTGAGGGTTGGAATCCAAGATGTATGTCAGATGGATCTTTCTCTCCTCGGCAATGTTCTCGCGGTCGCTGCTGGTGCGTAGATGCAGCCGGACAACGTAGAACAACACCCACAACAGTGTCTGACCGACCAGATTCAGATCCATGTGGTAAGTGCTTTTGATTAGAGAAATTCCATATATTTATGTATCATAGCGTAAATATCTAAGCAAAACTAAGCTGTCGTAATTAAGACGACGATGTCTTTGTTTGATTGTAACGGAATTTTCATAAATACCCAAATACTAACTAAAACTCAAATAGCTTCGCAAAATGGCCATTAAAGTGATGTAAACAATTTATAAAACGTCAAGTTTATTCACTTGTTCATTTATTCATGTTTGCCTTTCAGAAATAACGCAAATAGAGTCAGCTCTATTGGAGCTGGAGCTGGTTGGCGCTGACAGTGCAGCTGGAGAGAAAGCTCGCTCCACGTTATCATCGCATTTAGCATCACTCGGCGCAAGAGTCCCAGTAACAGTAGTAAAGGAACGCAATGTTGTCAAGCTACGAGCTTTGTTACCAGGACCAAGAGCTGCTGATCTTGTGTATCACTTGGAGACAATGGTATATTTTAGTGTTAAATCCCAGAATTTAGTTTTGTAAGTTGCATTTGGTGACGTCATTTTGTAAACGCTGTCTTTGATATTAGGTGAAGAAAGAAAAACTAGAAGGCATCGATAAGACGGGAGATGGTGTGCTTGGAGCTGATGTCATACGTAGTGAATACCGTCTTGTAGCTACACCACCTACACCCGCCATGCAGAGGGAGATCGTTAGTGAATCGACTGTAAGGATACAATAATTTAATTTAAAATACATATTCAATTTATTCAGTGTTTTCACTGGTATAGTAAAAGTACAACTGATCGTGGAATAAAAAGTATTTCGTTTTGAACAGTCCTTGCCTTCGACGATAACTACATATATGATATTGGCTGTAGTTTACGCGAGTAGTACACATTTAAATAAAACATTTTAACGGTTTAAAACGCGATATATTTTCGCTAAAGTTAAGGCTTTTTACTTTGACGCCAGAGACATCCTCAATCTTTAGTCTCCCCGTGACCACGGCTGCTGCAAAGCATCCGAAACGTCGGGCCGTAGTTAAAATAATTTTCAAACATTTTAACTAAAATATATGTGTTTTATTTAAATACATATATGATGTTATTCTATGCCTTTATCTTTGCCTTTACCATGGCCCCTAATTGGAAGGTGGTAGCCGTTAAAGCCAACCAACTGGCACAGACGGATCCAAGCCCAAACTTCCCAGTTATGGCACATAATTAGGTAGAAAAGAACTAAATAATAAAAAGGTTTTGAAAACAACTATCCATCACATTGACAGGTATCTGCAGCTACATCGTATCACACGGCTTTGATCGTCCTAGCAGCAACATCCGCCTTTATCATCAGTGTCCTCTGCGTCCTCGTTATGTTGTACCGAGCCAGACTCCAAAGGGAACCGCACAAGGCAGAAAGGTTTCTGCCGGCAGCACCTCCGGTCTATGTACTCTCCGCTGATGAGAAAGCGGAGCTCGCGAGGGTACTTCACTCACCACAAACAAATGACGACAATTCAAGAGTATAACCTATCGAATTAACATTAACATCAACTATTTTGTGATCATAAAGTTGTAGTCGAAGGATTGACGTGTATCAAAGGATTTCTTCATGTTCGATCTATCTCATTTCTACGCCTTAACGTGGCGGGAATAAATGATGTTTATCACCGTAGTCAAAATATGTTTAAGAAATCTTATAGGGTCCAATAATTGGCTGTTGTTAATTACATTGTAACATTATTTTAACACCAAGTAGAGAAGCACAAAATTCCGTTTTCGTCATTGTTAATTGTCTAGGCACAAAGCTAGCTACGATCTTCCATTTGAGTCTAAGCAGACACTTTTGATTATTAAGTATATGTACTTAAAGGCAAAAGAAGGTATACAATGTGAATGTCTGTTGGTATAATTATATTAGTCATATAAGTTAGTCTTAAGTTCTCTGTAAGTAAGCGATTTGGCGTTCGTCGGTTTTCTCGACGGGTGTCTATGTAAGTAGTTCCTTTCGTCGAGTCTTGCTCTTAAAAGGGCTTTTGTTAACTCTCTTCTTCATTGGATTGTATAGGAGCGGGACTTGACGCAGAACTTATCTAGTCTACTTCTCTTCGTGTCTTCTAATCTTGAGGTCTCACACCTATCGAATTATACAACACTTTAATCACAATTTTACGTTTGTATTTTGCACTATATAAAATATAAGTACGGTAAGCGCAATTAAACATTACAGAGACCAGTAAACTTTATCGAAGTAGGTATTTCAATTTTAATAACTTCTACGATTCTATATTTCAACTGTTCAGAGGTCAAAGCCTAGTATTTAATGTAAATAATGTCACTTTATCTATTATAAGTTATCTTAAACATGCTGACTAGAAGGATAAAGATAATTCATTTTGAGAATAAAGATTTTAAATATGTAGTGCGTAATACTCACATCTGAAAATTTTTATCATTCTGGTCAGAGCTTAGTACTAATAGTTAAACTTAAGTTAGTATTGTAATAATATTATTTTATTCTGTTGTTTATTTAATATCTATTATAATATGTAAGCGATCTTATTCTTACTATTACTATGTTATAAATATTATGTTGTATATTGTTTTATTTACTAAAATAAATGTTAAAGTGATGGTCTTTTTAAATTTTTGGGTTAACTTTAAAACAGGGTCTTCATACAAAATTCGTGTTTCAATACCCGTGACGTATTCAGTGTGCAATTCCTCAGTTCAGTTTATAAATCAATTTTCTTTATCCTAGTTGGTGGGCTTAGGCCTCGCCATAAACTTAACCAGAATTTGGCGATTGATTGCCTATTTTTATTCGAACATAGTGCGAAATAGCAGGACAGCTGTAATATTTTTCTTTCATATTACAGCACTCAGTGGTAATAACAGACAATATGGCAAAAAGACCTTTATCCTAGCGCCGAAAAAGAATCTTAATTGTCTGTGATGCCCAAGAATGACAGTAGGGATTGACAGATGACACATGTATTTGACAATCAACGGGCCGGTGCGCTGTTCGTTGTGATTAGAGAAATTTTATTTAGGAAATATCAGAATGAATCAAGAAAGCATACTAGCTTGTTGCGCCGTCTGCAAACAGCTAACTCATCGTAGGTGTGCTCGATGTCTCAAAGTTTATTATTGTAACACAGAACATCAGAAACAAGATTGGCGCCGACATAAAAGTGAATGTGCACCGAAATCGCGAAAACACGATTCGCAAAACGACAAAGTAAACGATTCTCCCCATATTAATTCTAAAGAACTAAAGAACATCTCCGACAAGACTCAAAAGACAGTTATCTTAGAAGAAAGTGAAAATATTAAGACTAAATCGGTGCCTAGTGAAAGTAGACATTCGCAAAAGTCAATTAGAAAAAGTTCCAATAGCGAGGGTAGTGACTTTAGAGCCGATGACATAAACAAATCTAAAATATCAAACGATACTCTGAATAGCAAAGAACTAAAAAATAGTGTTATATCTAGTGTTGTGTATACAAATAAGGAGGTCTCAAAAGTGAGTGCCATAACACATGAGGGTTCTTCGGAACAGGAGATTTTGAGTGAAAAAGCCCAACAGCTAAACACAGTGGAATTCACAGGTACTGCAGATGTGTTATCTGCTGTGAAAAACAATGTGAAAATGCCGGCTTTGCCCGAGGAACACCAGAGTAAGATTAAAGAGTATCCCGAGGCATCTTTAAAAGGTAGCACAGCTCCTTTTAGCAACATGGTTAACAGTTATTATATGGATCAGACTGATCCATTTTATGAAATCTGTCAACGAGTGATACGGGACATGACGCAGTATGGTGTATGTGTTTTAAATAATTTCCTTGGTAAGGAAAGAGGACTCTTAGTGCTACAAGAGGTCTTAGAAATGTATAGATCCGGAATATTTACAGTGAGTACTATTTAATTACTATTATTACTAGAGAAGGAATTTAATCTTATAAGATTCCACAATTGTTATACCTTATCAGTCAAATCACATTTGTATTACTTATAGAAAAAATAACTCCTTATAATGAGTACATAAGGACTATGTTCTCTCTCTTTGTTTCATTGATTTAATATAATTTATTTATTTATTTATCTACTTAATTAAAATGGGTAATACCTACAGTTACAGTTGAAGAAAATATATCATTAAGTGGCATGAACAATTAAACCTTGTTTGTTAGCCTAAGGCTTTTTATAATTACTAAATCTAAAATGGCATTAATAATGGCGTAAAAGATTCAAAAGATATTAATTATGGCTTATATTTACTTTTATCGCTAGGGATTTTTATTTTACAAAACTTCTTTTTGCCATTGTTTTAAGAAATTAGCTCTAAACAGTTCGAAAATCCAAGAAGCTTAATATGTTTTTGTAAATTATGTCTATATATTTTTTGCATAAAGCTATAAAATTCCTTTATTTTAAAGAAAAAGAAGTACCCTTTTATTGGTGACTTTATCTTCACTCAGTTGTTTTACTGTCAAAAGAGAAAGTCTACTGGCTATAATTTTGTGTAGGCATAATGTTGACATTCACAGGCCGGTCAGTTGGTCTCAAACCCTGGGAGTACGGAGGCTCAGACAATACGAAGTGATAGGATAACATGGATTGATGGCAAGGAAAAGCATTGTTATCACATAGGTCAGCTTATTAGTCAAGTAAGTAGCCTTAATTTGTGCCTTTACACTACATTAATAGATAATTTTTTATTACACAATTTGTTGAGCCGACAAACATTGTTTTGCCATATAAATCATTTCTAAGAATTTTTTAGTGTGTAAGGAAAGACTGGCTTTGATCTCATCTCCATGCTGTGCTGTTTATTGCAGTAGTACAATACAAGCATTAAAATTAACTTACATTTAAACAATAAACAATTGAAAGTGTTATACAAAATTATTCACAGCATTTGTCATCTATTATAGTACTCAATATAAGTTACATTTTATATTATATAATATTAAGCTTATTTACTTAACACTCGTCTAATTACAATGATTTACGAGTATAACAAAAAAAAGAGGCCTTTAAGTAGTTACTATATCACTATAAACTGATGATTGCGATAGAAATGTGTCACTAGATTTTACAATAAGATATGTTTATATATTGAATACTAGCTGTGTCAGCGACTTCGTCCGCGTAGAATAGTTATTCTGGGCATCCAAATTTGTTTTACCTTTTTATCTTTATTTATTTAAGCTGTTGCAAGTTAATGTTAAAGGGGAAACATATATTTTTTTAATTACTATGTAATAATTATTTTTTGGTTATCTATAACCGTTTTCGCAACGCACGGATTCAAAAACCCAATAAGATGAATAATTTCCTCGTTTTTTTCCACATTTCCAGCTGTTTCTTCGCTCCTATTAGTCACATCGCGATGATATATACACAAAAATAATTATTTTTCAATTCGAACCAGTAGATTCTGAGATTAGCGCGTTCGATATATTAGTATAGACATATAAATATGATACTTTGTAATTTTCTCATTACTTGTACTTAACAAAATGTGTACGGAAAATTGAAATTAACTTGCCCTACAAGGATATTAGTATATGTCAATTAATTATGAATTTCAATAATTTCACATATGTGAGTTCCATCACGTCTGCCCAACACCGAAGGACAGGCCCTTAGGTCTGTGACGTAAAGTAGTTGAAGAAACACATTCGCGTGTATGCTGTGTGTTGTTGGTTCGATTGTGTCGTAATTTTTACGAAAGTTCCTTAAGTAAAAGCTTAGTTTTGATTTGACATAATCTTTAATTTTTTCAGACAAAAATATCTCGTTTTTAATCATATGAAAAGTGAAGGAGTAAATTAAAACTAGTTTATTATGTAAAAAATCCTGATGATGATGAACTATAACCTTAAACTAATCATCTTTATTTGTTTGTATTTTTCTTTTAATTCAGTTCCAAATACATGGCCTCAATCTATACTTATATTATAAATGCGAAAGTAACTCTGTCTGTCAGGCTTTAACTCCGAAATTACTGAACTGATTTAAATGAAATTTAGTACACAGATATTCTAGAGCCTGAGAACTACTTTTTAATGCCAAAAAAGGGTTGATAGGGGTTGAAAAAGGGGAAGTTTGTATGGAAGTTCGTGGTTTTTGAAGCTAAAACAATGAAACTTTCTTCTTTGGCTTTTAGGGAATAGGAGTGGGAGTGGGGGTGAGTGTAGGAATGAGAGGAATGTGAGTCGCAGGCACAGCTAGTACAATTTATAGATTTAAAAATTTACAATGCATAATATTAGAATTATGGACATATTGTTGTAGATTTTTTCCACTTATTGACGTCAAGCTATTGTTGAATCTGAAACATCATAAAATCGTATACAAGTTTTATTAACCGACTTTAAAAAAAGAATTTCTCAGTTCGATTGGTATATAATATCCTTTTGTATGTTTGTTCGCTCATAACTTTGTCATCTATAAATATATTGTGATATTGGTTATGTATATGAGGTTTTTCAAAAATAAAGACTGGCCACCTACTAGGATCGCGACTTATAAAACAAATATCACTCTTAGGGGTTTTACCCTACGACTTTTATAATGTACGATTAAGTGATTTGTAACGAGCGTATATATTTTGTGGTTGCGGTTTATTCATCAAGGCGCGTGTTCCAATATTTGTTTTTAATGAGTTTGTAAACTATACTAACTCTATTTTAATGTTTGCTCATTGTACTCGTTAATTGAGTGAATATATGAATAGTATGTCGACGGGCTCTGTCGGGTCGGTCTAGTGGTAGCAATGTATGGCTAATAATCAAAAGTCGTGGGTTCAATCCCCATCGTGCCCAACATATGGGATTTCGCCTGGAAATTAGTCCGTCCGTGAAGTTTATTCGAGGTCCGTTTCAATCTGTGGATTTCCGAATATCCAAGTCAAAATACGTCGACGGCGCATATCTTTTTACATATTATATGGCTGGAGTATTTCACGTCTCATCAAGCGAACATCGTGCTTGACTATTTTACTCTATATTAAAAAAAGTAGTCTTAGTAGTAGTCTTAGATCCCAATTTAAAATGTTTTATCAAAGTTTTGCTACTATACAATTGTTGGAAAGTACAAGATTCGGAATTATAGACGGGTCTTCAGTCACGTCCTAATCTGTGGCGCCGTGTTATCGAATATTATCTTTATCAATCGTGACATTTATCTTCAATTACCCAGCAATCATCGCTGTGGTATGCACTTAATATGTGAGGAAGTTCTATTAGAACCTTTAGCAGAAACACAGATGTCTCACATAGAATCCTTAGTTAAAGTACACTAAACAACTTCACAATACATGAAATAGTAATAGCTTTAAACGCGACTTTATTACACACCTAATCCGCCACAGCTGATTTGTAGCGTAGTTAAAAGTAAATCAATCAATATAGTTTGCGTTTAAAACTGTTAAAAATGGTTTAACACAAAGTCATCTTATAATAATACCAGTTCTTGTCACTCTACGCCCTTAATTTATGAATATGTAGTAAATGTTTGCCAACACAATGCTTTTTCATCAATACGCAACTACTTGACTTACTCCCAAGTAAAACTTATATTACTTATTTAAGAATTAAACTTTTGACTTAAGAGCCAGAAGTAAAAATATCATCGGTATATCAGACTTCGTTTTCGCAAGTTTACCACTAAGGGCACTAATAATAACGGTTCAAAGTTAGAAAGTATTGTGACCCCGAATCCTACATTCTACTTTGCAAATCTTTTAATCGACTAGATAACCAATTAATGTATATTTAAAGATGGCAACGTGCTTCTAGAATTTTAATTAGATACGGGTATTTACGCCCAAAAAAATGTAAACATTTTCCATTGAATAAGAAATAATCATGAAACTCAGGATAGCCTGACCCATAAGTCACTGGATTATTTATGTTACCCACCTATGTCAAAGAAAAATATATTTCACTGCAGTTAACGGAAATTGGAGATTGGTAGATTTTTTTATAGTTAGCTTTAGTATACAGTTTTATTAGTTTACGATAGCGGAAACCCAAAGTTGTTATAGTCTACAACAATGTAGATAATTCGGATAGTCCTGTTGTTTTCTATTGTTAAGACTGCATTATCTGTATGCTGTAAATATAATAATTATGTACTAATTTCAGGTGGACAATATAATACTGAAAGCTAACAAAATGGCAAATAACGGAAAGATGGGAAACTACATCATCCACGGGAGAACGAAGGTATGAACGAAAATAAAGGTATTCTTTGGATAAACATATTAAAAACAACTTTTTTGGTACACTGAATATTTGTTTATATTTGTTTGAAAGGCAAAATGTGTTTGGCAGATTCTATTGTATAGGAATTCGCATTACATATTTGCCGATAAAACATATATATTATTGTAAACAAATTAATTATTGTCTCATTGATAAGAAGAGTTAATGTCCTTTCAAATTATATGCCTTATAAGTTTTCTTTATGAGAATCGTATAAACTTTCGTTACTAGTGACGTTATTTTCGTATCGTTACGTTCGTATTCGTAAGACGTAACGGATTTTATAATCCATTACGTCGCAATAATAATTCCACGTCATTGGTGTTTTTGAGGTTCACTTCACTATTAAGTTATAAAAACTTTAAAATTAACATTGAAAGAAATAATTTTTGGACTACTTTCGAATTTCTATTTTTAAATGGCCTTTATACGTAACTGAAGGCTTGTTGTTCATAAATAGTCCAGTTTAAAAATTCAATTGAGTAAATATATTTTAGCCCATGTATAATATACCTGGAACTATTTGAAAGGACCTTAGATCACTTGTCTAACGAAAAACTAAAACTTATTATTAAAAATATATAAAACGTACATGTAAACTAATTAACCTTCACAATTTACCTTATAACCTTTCAACTAATAAGATAATCATAAATTAAAAGCAAGCGTTAGGCATTGTAATCAAAAAAATATCTTACGATCTTACTGTATTATTATATAAGAAGGTGTATCACAACTTCCATTGACCTAGTAAATGTATTATGTATTTCATAATTATTGAACCTACTTACAGATGTAATTTTGGGGTTATTAGTCGCTTGGCGCCGCGCATGCGAAATTTTGGCGCGCTTGGACGCAAATCTAAATCTATTTCTATTTGCCCGTTTCGTTATCAGTGCCAAGTGTGCGGATATCGTGGGCTTAGGATCGTCGTTTGATAATAAATAATTAGGGCTGCCCAGATAACCCGATTGAAAATTTGAATTGAAAATTGTGATATTGTAAATAATTTTAAAGAAAATAACCTTATACATAAAACATGTTTTTTAACTGTGTGCATAAAATAAATAGTTTATAGATATCATAATTCGCAATAACATTTTGTTGCTCGCGTAGAACGAATCTGTAGCTCACAGATTATATTAGTAAGTAGGTCGCTACTACATGAGTCATAACAGATTATATTTATTGAATAAAATACCCTTCCTCTACTTCTACCATAAATTTCAATCGAAGCGACAACAGCGTTCCATTTTCAAAAGATCGATCGAATCATAGAATCGGAAGCGCCACGCATCCCTACAGCAAATCGTTCGCGCATGCGCACCTCGTTATACGGCGTACGTGATCAGCGGCATGACGGCCCGCGGGGGACAGACGCAAGGCGTGCGGGGCGTTTGTAAACATTACGCCGTAGAATGTAGCGTGCCTACGAAAGACCATTGTATTTACGAAACGATGCCAAACTTCAGTTCTGCTACGGATGTACGTACTAAGTGTAAATTAGCCATTATTTTGGAAATAATTTGTAGTTTAAAACTCATGTATTATTAAGAAATACGTATAATTATTAAATGATACCTGTCGTGGTAAATATGACTTATTTCAAATCTTTATCCAATGACATGTTAACTAAGACATATTCAAGAACCGTATAAACCCATGAAATTGATAACTTTAGACTACGCTGATAGGCTCGAAAACATGGTTACTAAGTTAATTCTTGAAACACATTGCATATCTGAATCCAGCTGGGGCTTAAGATAACATGTGAAGATTTACTTCCTGTGTTGGGAGGTAATGCCTAAACGTTTTGTTTCATTTAAGTCCTACTATATACGAAATAATACACTAGTGGACTAAAAGTAGTAAATTAATAGGGAAATAATTTTGTAGCTACAATTACAAAAAAATATATATAATTTTCACATACTAGTCTATCAATAATATACAAAATGTTATCAACATCAATGAAACTTGAAAGACTAGCCCTCGGGCCTTTTTCATTAAAATATATGTCGGTTACCACATTAACCTTAATTTGTGCTCATAAATAAATAAAATTTCCATCTCAAGTCTCGCTCAAATTGAAATATTCTCAACGAAGAATTCCGGAATTGCTAACGAAGTTCAATGCATTGCGCCCGCGCATTTATAGGTCACTTTTGCACTGGCATTGCACTTGAAAATAATGTTCGTTCAATTTGTTTGAGTCACTTGCACAGTACTAAATAAAATATGCACTAGTTTCGCTCATGGTGTTATTTTAACATAAAATAAGTAACTCTATGTTACCTCTAAAGGTTAAACAGAGAATTAACAAACTGTTACAAATAAGATAGTAAGACGATCAATTATCCAAAACCAAAATAGGTCGACACATTACATATGGTATTTTACCGTCCATCAAGTAAATACGGTTGTCTGTCTCTTAAAAAAAATATAAATTTAACAGTTAAAATTGTGACGGAATTGTTTCCCTTGAATTAAAAAGTCTTTGACGTCATATGCTTTTAAGACTGGCTGCAGAAGCAGCTAAGCTGACTGTTGTCACGAAAAGTTTTCTTGTCTGTGAAAACGCGGTTCGCACAGCGGAGCGAATCCCCGATATGACCTAATGCGTGGATGACATAACTCACAATATACTTGGTTATTCAAAGTGCGCTTGTCCTTATGACAATAAATTTACTCTATTGCCTATTTAAAAGGCTTCTTTATGTACTAATAGAGAAAATGTCTCATGCCATGATGTCATTTTTGTTAATATATCGTGATGATCGCGATCAAGTTGTATCATTACTTGCTGTTACTATTTATTTAAGGTTGAAAAATATGACAGGGGGGGTGAGGGGGGATCTGATTTTGTTGGTTAGATCTTTTATCGAGGCTATGAAACATTTTTTTTTAAAAAAAAATTTTTTTTTTAAAAAAAAAAAACCGGAAAAAAAACCCTCTTTCGGTTTATGCTAACCGGCTTTGGTACCTTAAGAAAATACATCGCCCTGTGATTAATAGAAGCGAAGATACAACTGAAAATGTGAACAAAACGGGCGAATTGTTTTATCTCTATAAGTTTTAGATGCGTACGCTGCGAAAACGGTTCAAGACACCCAAATAATATGTATGAAAGAATGATTCCTCTTTAAATGATCTAAAAAAATGTACACGACACTCTGTCTATATTTTAAGATTGACTTGCAAGACCGACGGGACGCGACGGATGTCGTGGGCAGCTTAAATTTATAAAGATAGTATAGGTTTGCAAACAAAAATTAGATGCCCAAAATAACTGTTCTACGCGGACGAAGTCGCTGAAACATCTAGTATTAAATAAAGTATTTCGATCTAGAGCACGAATACAAGAAGATACAAGGTACACCATGGCGTCATATAACTCGCTTTCTAACAATTGTAGATAAGTCTATTTTCGTTTTTCCTCAACGCAAACTAACGAGGACCGATTTGTAAATAGTGAAATATGTTTGCAAACAAGAATGCTTGCTCAATAGCGAACGAGGAAAATGTAGATCTTGTGTAAATGAAGGTACTTGTAGCGAAATAGTTCAGCTTTTCGCTGGGAATTCCCTAAAGAACCTTATTGCAATTGCAAGCTATAAAAAAGAATGTGTTCTCTATAGCAGTCCTGAAATACAACATTTTTGACAAAAAAGTTGTAAAAATCTGGTAGATTTAAATAAATAACGTGTAACGGTTTCAAACGTGACCACGACTGCTGCAAAGTATCCGAAACGTCGGGCTGTAGTTAAAATAATTTGTAAATTTAACTACTACATTCCGCGTTTTAAACCGTTATTTTATTTAAATACGCACTACTTGCGTAAATTACAGGCAGCATTTTATCTAATAGACTAAACAACTCAAATAGACTAAAACTAATGAAAAGAAGGAATAAATATAATATATATCGAACAAAAAATTATGTTAAAAATATAGTTTAACGTTACGCCATCTAGCGACAAATAAAAGTGTAGATGTTACCATTTAAACTACCAAAACATATTACTTACTTAGTATTTACTTTGTCTAAAAAAGATTTCACTAAAATACAACTGTGACCTTTTTACAGGCAATGGTGGCATGTTACCCAGGGTCGGGCAGTCATTACGTGAAGCATGTGGACAATCCCAACAAGGACGGGCGGTGCATCACCGCCATATACTACCTGAATCTCGACTGGGATGTCAAGCGGTGTGGTGGGTTACTAAGGTATGGATTGGTGAAAATAGAATATGCTTTTTAAACGGGAGCTTATTTTTAACGTGATTGTTTGTCCCATTGGGGTTATGGGACGGTTATATAATAGGTTTCCTTTTTTTATAATCATCGTAAATATAATGGTAACGACTGTATAAGCTACTAGACTAAAACACTGTACCACGTTTCAGAACTAATATCATTAATATTTTTCACATTTTGTGAAAAATAAAGAATTAGGATTTTAAACCACATTGTTTCTCCAGAAGCGTGGCGCCAGGGCCACTGAAAATCAGTGTTGCACAGTGTTTTTTTTATTTTGTGAATTTATATAAACTGAATTTCTATTTTTTTAGTGTAGATTGAAAATCATATTTTTTTTGTCTGTAAAATGTTTTTCAATTTACACTCTACTACCGTTTTTGCGAAATCTAATTACTAATGTTTCAATCACTCTAACATTATTTAATGAAAATTATTCAATATGATTACAGGGTATTCCCCGAAGGCACGAACCAAGTAGCCGACATAGCACCAATCTTCGATAGAATGTTGTTTTTCTGGTCGGACAGACGGAACCCGCACGAAGTGCAACCGGCTTATGCTACGAGGTAATTGACCACTTGCCATAATTATATCATAAAGAAGCATTATTATTTACAACATTTAATAACACCTAAGCAAGGGACCTAACATTGTAAAGATGCTTTAAACTTGAATTGAGTTACAACGAATACAATGTCCAACTAGTCCATGACTGTAGTTTACAACATACTAAAACTGACTTTACAATGATGATTCTCTTGGAAATAATTCGTCTTTTGGTAAAGTTATTTAAGTGCAGACTTAGAGGAAATTAACTAAACCTTTTTTCAAAGCTAAAATTACTATTTCAACATTTCGTCATTATAAAAAATCTATTTATTGATTGCCACGTAGTAGTCTTATACGTTGAGGCCCCAGAATGGTACATTTTTGACAAAATGTACCATTCTTACTATGGCGTTATCATATAATAAGGTAAAATTCATACAATGCAATAAAAATTTCAGATATGCAATCACATTATGGTACTTCGATGCTCAAGAAAGGGAAGAAGCTCTAAGAAATTATAGTGAGTATTTCTGATCACTAATAATTTTGGTTGAAATAAGTGTGCTGATGAAGTTCAAACCACTTATGTCAATATTAAAGTATAAAAAATAGGGTAGCAGCATATTGATCTGTCATCTTAAACTTAAAGCGAAACATATTTATTGTCAACAAAGCTACCGCTGTTTTAATAAAACTCTTTCAACGGTGTAAAACGTGAAATATATTAGATAACAATTTTATGAAAATAACCATAACTGTTGCAAATTATCCAAAACTTCGCACCGTAGTTAAAATAAATTGTTTATAAGATTTTGTATGTTTCGAAAAAAGTAAAAGTATTTTATTAAATTATAAATTAATAAATTATAGGAGTATAAGTAACACAATACTTAACTATTTATTTTTGTTTCCGTTCACCAAATAAACAGTTCATATCCTAACTGAAATGAGTTGAAATCTTAATTACTAAATTTTAACCAAACCAAAGAAAAAGTTTTGTCCCATTAAAATATACTTTGACAGTAGACACGTGTTAGAATTACCTATTTCGCCTTTTCAGAACGCGGTCAGCCATCTTCGAGCAAGTGATGTCTGTGTGACGGGCTCAAGCACGGCCTGAGCTCAAACGACTCGCATCATGCAAAGCAGGGTTAACTAACTATACTTATGACCTATCCACACTTTTTGAATATGCAATGAGACATACCCACCAAAATTTGACATAAATATGTATATTTCTGGACGTTTCGGACTTGTACTGATAAGAGTACGTTCTGTTTTGCAGTTGGTTGCAATTATAAAATTTAATTTATAATTTTTAATACCAAACAGGTGGCCTTAACTTCTTAATTACAATATGGACAAATGTTCACTTAACTTCCCTGTAAACTATCTTTCTTGTAAATTGATTATAACGCCTACAATTTCTCGTCTTTGTAAAACTATAATTTATTTTAAAACTTTTTACTGTTTTTTATAAAATTTTCTTGTGAGGTTCCTTGTAAGAACCTTTTCATCGGTTATATTAATTCCGATTTTTGTCTATGGATTTGCACCAAGTTTTGCGATTATTTTTCGATTTACATCAACAAAATCGAATTGTGATTCATACTGAGTATAATGTTATAATTGATTATGTTCCCAACGGAATAATAAAAACATGTTCATTTCTGTAGATCCACTTCGCTACAGAAATGTTTTTTTTTTTAACTTTAAGTAATTATCTGTCTTTGTGATAGAAACAGTCATATTATTAATTAGGTGAAGCGAAAGCGACCTTGAGTATTATTTATGAAGTATCGCTTTACGTTAGCAATTCACGTTGATGTTTTTAAAGACGACCCATTATTAAATAAAAACCTTTGTCTCTTTCTTACATGTAGCATTCGAGCGAGACAAAGCCATATAAACTTTACGTGGTGTTTGAGTTTTATCTTGCCAATAGATAAAACATTTTACAATTTCTCCATCCTAACTTCTTTCTCTATTCTAGTGCAATTTCATTTCGAATTAATCTTCTTTAAAAACATCAGCGCATTAACTATACTCATGAGATTTCAAATGTAAAGTATTTATTTATTTAGAAATCGCATAGTCTGTATATTTTTACATTTAAGCGTTGTACTATAGCTTAAAATATGAGCTACTTAATTTGTTGTATAAAAAACTGAAGTGGAATAGAAAAACATAGGGAGTACTGAATTTTATACAAGTTAACATAAGATTCTAAAAAAAATATGTAATGTTCAACGTTATAACGATAGGTAATTTTGTTTTGAACATAATTGTGTAATTTGTATTATGCTCATAAATTATACACAAAAACGATGTATATTGACTATTTTTTTTTAACATCAGATTAAATATTATTACTATAAAGTGTGTTTTAATAAAAATAAAAAAAATCTATACACGGTGCCGCCAGTCTATACACAAAAAATATTTACTCATTGTAATATTACTCATCTTTATCTATACTAAGCTGAAGAGTTTATTTGAACGCGGTAATCTCAGGAACTACGGGTTTAAATTGAAGGATTATTTTTGTATTGCTTAGATAATTTATCGAGGAAGGCTATATTTGGCTATATTAGGCCTTTGAACATTGTCTGTGACTAATAAAATTGAAGATACAGCGGGAAATGTGAACAAAACGGGGAAAATTGTTCATCTCTGTGGGTTTCAGATGCGTACGCCGCGAAAACGGTTCAAATATGTATATAAAAACAATTCCTCTTTAAATGATCTAAAAAAAGTCCGGAACGCTATATGTCTATCTCATAAGATAATCTCGCAAGAACGACGGGACCGATTAGATTAGGACAGCAAAGACAATTTTGGGTGCCCAAAATAACTAATCTACGCGGACGGATTATCTGAAGCGTCTAGTTGCCAGATTAAACTAAGTAGAATAGAGTGCTAAATTAAATAATGTTGCTTTTTTCAGAGCTTTCTATTAGCAAGCCAGTTCGAAATTTAAATAAAACCTGAAATGAGTTACCTCTTTGGATGGTATAATGACATCGTTTTGAAACTTAATATAATTGTCTTTGGAAAAAATGACACTATGTTGACATTGAAGCATTTTAATTCGTGTCGCCAACATATTTTATAGTTATACATTTTTTATATTGTTTTGCTGTTTTTTATATTGCTTTTTAAAATGCTGACCGTTACTTCGAGTATCACTATCAACAGCGCGTCTTGGGGGCGTGCGAGTGATATATCCCTTGACACCTCTAAGGTAATCCATATAGCTTTAATTGCTGGAAATCCATTAAAGGCCTTCTTCGCTTCGAAGATTGTTTTATATACAATTAAGGACAGACAAACACGGGGTTCACTTAATCGAAAATGAAACACCCCAGGCATATAACATCTAAACATGACGCGCTGACAAAAATTTTGACTTTAGATATTCGAAAACCCAAAGACTGATACCGAAACGCGATTAACCTTTACGGCTTTGGCACCTGTGGACGGTAGTTTTTGACCCAGAGGGAGATTTCAGATTTTTACCTTCTTTTTTCACTTTATTTAATATTCAGATTTTTAAGCAAAGTCTAACATAATTTAAAAATCGAAAATAAATTGAAAAAATTTTCGACATCGTCGTAATTTCAACCTCAATACGCAAGTGTTAAGGTTGAAATTACATAGCGCGAGAGGTGCATGTATCAATAAGTTGAAAAAAAATTCGACGATGAGGTGTAGGACTCGGTAGCTCAATTGGTAGAGCAACAGCACGGAAAGCTGACGATGCCGGTTCAAGTCCTGCCCGAGTCGAGAATTTTTTCAATTTATTTTCGATTTTTAAATTATATAGTGCCTTCATGTGCAATAACATGTAAAAAATATTATTGTTTTCAAAAGTCTAACATGTTTCAGAAAAACTTTAAATAATTAGAAATGTGTTGGACCGGTGAAGGGTCGAACCCTGTACCCGTTGATTGTTAGTAATACGTTGGTACCATTAGACCAACGGGACCGTCGAGAATATGTTGCTTTCTAAACGAGATTTTTAACTTAACACGTTCCGGAGAAAAAAGACCAGCCATATGTTAATTCTTTGACCGCTGGTGTGATGACCGAAAGTCTTTACGTAAATTTATCAACAAATCCTATATATTACCCCCCCTATACCTAAATTTTTTGCAAAATTAAAGTTTCGATAAAACAATAATTTATAAAAATTTTACTTAAACTAAATATAAACATTTTAGAGGTAGAAATAAAAAAAATACATATATAATTTGTATAAACTTATCATAATTATGTATGAAAATAGGCAAAGTAACTCAACCAAAAAAAAAGTTAAGCATGGAGTAAGAAGTACTGATGATCTGACTGACATTTTTTAGTCTTGTTTCCTTGGAATTGAACTCAAAATAGGACACATTTTTCTAGTAAATCTCACAGGAACGACGCACTTTCACCGAAGGTCCATCTTTTTCTGACGCAGTGCTTTCTTCATGTCGTTGTCCTCTAGGCACTCTGGCTAATGCAGGCTTTGCCAAACTTTTTAGTATTTCTTTTCTAAAGTCTACAATCATAGATTATTTTGACGCTTTTAAAATAGCGATATTCAATATGATATCATCACCAATTTTTTTGGAAAAAGGCGAGCTGACCCGAACTAGACCCACGCGGCCCCATGTGGAATGACGTTTTTTCGCTCTATGGGCCGCGGCGATCAATGTGTTGACAATTATTATTTCAATAAATAAAAGCTTAAATTGACTTTGACGAAATTAAAAATTTGGATAAAAATAAAATCATATGAGCAAAAAAATACTCGCATTTTGAAGAGAACCACATTTTTTACTCGGCCTAAACGGAAATTTGCTTCGTAGACTGACTGATCGAGAGAACGTTTAAAATTGTATTAAACATTCAAAAGTAACTATTTTTAAGAACAACTGCCATTAACTTTACTTTCAGACCTCTAGTGGTGTGAGATCTATTTACTTCGATAAATGTAGGTAAGTTATTATTTTTTTTCTTAAAGAACCAAAATCAAAGAAGAAAAAAAAAACTTTAGCCTTTGGTCGTTAAATTTTATAGTATTTGAACTTTTGCGTAAATTGTAAGACGTTTGTATATTATTCTGTAGTTTGTTTGTTCGTACCCATAAAAGTGAAATCCTGTTTCGCCCTGCCTGTGAACACATTTTTGTGTCCGTTACACTGATCAGTTGTATTTATAAGCAAGTCTGCCTGATGTTGACAAAGTAACTGTTGTTGTCCCGGGTTTCGAATCTAGAACCTTGCGCTTATTAGCAACAGGATTCATAATTTAGAGTATATTTAACATAGGGGGTTGTATCCAAAACGTATGCTTAAGATACAATTAACAAATCTTTTTTTGGGATGTATTTTTTTTCAGCCTACCGTATTTCAAAGCCTGCATGTTTGCAACTGTAATAGAAGATGCTATGACTCAATTACGTATTCTGGGTAAGTCATAACTTGTAAAGCATTTTTAATGAAAAATCAATGGTGGCAATAAACAGTTACCAACATGTGGTTTCGATTCCTATTTATTCTAAATATGTTACCCCTGGCTGGAAAATGTGGACGTCAAATGGAAAGGAAACTCCCAAAGCCAAAGTAGGCCGACAGCACATCTCAGGTTTACCCGAGTATAAAAACTATGATTATTTATTTACTACATTTGTAGAGGAAAGCAACAACGAGATGCGTATAGTCAAAACAATGGCTGAAATGAACAAATTGCTATCGAATAAGTTCGGGGTTCAGCAAAAGCCTGTCCCCGATGACTTGGATGAAATTGATCGGAAGAAATTGGGCTCTATGGACTATAAGCTGGAGAAACTTGAGAGAGACAGGTCTGTTTATATTTTTTTGTTTTGTTGCTTGCAAGATTTATGATAAATTTCGACAATCGGATTACCTCGAAAAACGGTTCTTTCGAGTTAATCTTAAAAGATAAACATACTGCCGCGACGATTTTTATGTCATTTAAAGAGGAATCATTCAATCATACATATTTTTTGGTTTCTTAAACCGTTTTCGTAGCGCACTAAACAGAAGCCCTCAAAAATTAATAATATTTTTTTTTCACATTTTCCACAATTTCTTCATAATATACATAACAGCGTGATATTATATAGCCAAACGCCTTCTTTGATAAATGGTCTATCCAACCTAATAAAATTCAATTAAATCCAGTTGTTCTTGAGATTGCCGCGTTTAAACAGACGAACAAACTCCTCAGCTTTTTTCGTTTTTATGGTAATCAAATTTGGTCGAGTACATTTAGCAAAATAGATTGCCAGATCATCTAGTTGGAAATATTAATATCTAATCCTAATATCTATAAGCGATGCCCCACGAGAGAAACTTAAATATTATCTGTGTGTTTATAATTATGCTAATGAGATTAAAGTTATCTGTTGCATTTCAGAAAATTCGTGCTTAAAGTATTGTCGGATGTTTACCTTGACTTATCGAAACATCGCAGTTGCCAGAATCTAGCTGATCACGTGTGCAGAATAACCAGCAAATACCAAAGCTACTATCGTCTTATTGAAGAAGAAACTAAGAATAAAATGTGAGCAGGACACTACCATCAACTACTTTGGTCTTTGACTAGTAAATTTCGCGTTAGGTCGTAATTATAATACGTCAACAAATTTTTTGTAACCGTTAAAAGTTTGTAATTCAAATCTGTACTACCCGCGTAAACTACAATATTTAAAAACTATTTCCTTAGCAGGAAGAAGAGTCGCTATGATTCTATTGGATTTTTCGCTTGATAGGTAAAATCCTACAATATTTACAAGATTCGCTCTCGGCCTATGTAGGCTTTGGATTTGGCATTGTACAGTACAATGATCATTTCTTGCGTCTTTTTGTCAGGTTACGACGCGACCTGAACCGTCAACTGCGCCAGCAGAGGAACCATACAAAATCTGTCACGTACGACACCCATATGATCATTGAAAACCTCAAAAATAGAGTTGATGTAAGTATATAAACCCTAATTCCGTTACCCCTAAGTAAAGCGGAAACTTTTCTCTGTCTATTTCACTGGTTGTCCTTGTTTACAGTTAATCGGAATTTTGTGCTCTGCCCGACTACTATTATATTTCCAACTTATTAAGCTAATATCAAATTATATATATATGTATGGATAGGTCCTGGGTTTCGTATTGACTCTGAATTATTTTTATTAAGGACGCCTCTTTGAACGTGGAGGTACGCAGCCGATATATAGCAAACTGGCAAAACGCTCGCTACGAGCAGAACTCGCAGAAGATTAAGTTCACAGAGTCACCTTCCATTCAGAGCATAGAGTACCACAAACAGAGGACTGAACAAGAACACAGGGTTCATAGTGAAGTTGAACTGTTGATTAGTATTTTTATCAATGTAAGTTTATTGATTGTAAGGAACCATAGGCAATGGAAAGAAAAGTCACACAACAAAACTTAGGAACTCGGGCTTGCACTAAAACTGGATCATGGCGTGTTAATTTACATAAAACACTTGTAATTGTTTGAAACGCGAAATATAAAAGTTAACCGATGTATTTCTAGTGTGTTAGTTTGTTTTAAAACGTTAGTGTTTTATTTAAATACAGACAGTTCTTTTGGCTTGTTTGTATTCATAATCTGGGCCCTTATTCTGCTATCTACAATAACAACATAGATGTTATTACATGTCGCGTGCGTTTTATTTGGTCTTAAATCAGCAGAATCGGGATCATGCCTGTATTCATCTAGCTTAGTACTTATGTGAAAGGCAACAAGATCTAACTGATAAATGTTTTTAGTCCAAGCACTCAATATTACTGAAAGATTGATATATGTTAGTATGTCCTTTTATTTGTTAATACTATAGGATTATTTCACGATCTTTGTGTTGTTTTAGGAAACTTTAGATAAAGTGGAACATTGGATGGTCAAATATGAGAAGGATACAGAAAAAATGGATTTAAAAATACAGATAATGATGAATAATTATGAAAACATACAAAAAAGAAGATTTGCCTTGGAAGAGAAGGTACGATAAAGATCTTTTTAGATTTTTTCACTTTAGCAACTTACCTTCATAGTTTCCTAAGGGTACAAGTGTATTGTTTCCTTTTCTAAAATATAAAGTTGTTTTTAGTTAAAGTCGCAAGCAGAAGAGATAAATAAGTGGGTAGAGTTTAAACAGAAGCGTGAAGAAGTTAGACTTTACCGCGAGAAGATGCACAACGCGGCGGTAACTGTGCAAGCCTGGTGGCGTGGTCTTCTAGTACGGTATGAATTGGGGCCGTACAAACCGAAGAAGCGCCCTCCACCACCAGAAAATAAGAAAAAGAAGAAGTAGTTAATAGATTTTACCTAGTATTTGGTCTTAAATTTTGACGGCGTGTCGCCATCTCTCGGTATAAACAAGAACTACATTCGCTGACTAATTAGTATTTCACAAATTGATTGTGTGGCTGAAAAGAATGGGTCTAACAGTTCCTAAATAAGACTGTTCGTCTTTTTACAAATATACTCGAAGTAGAATGTATAGTGTAAGCGTCTTTTATTTTTAATGTTTTTACTATTTTTGTGTTTGTAAAGGGTTTTTATTTATATTTATTTTTTACTTTTTCGTTTTGTAGTTTTGTTACTAATTTGAGTATAATATAATTTTTAATGATTTAGACTTGTTTAATTATTAAAGATATAGTTTTCACAAAATTAGTTTAATTTTCCCTTCATTGCTATAAAAGTAAAGTTCAAATCGATTTCCTTAGGGCCTGAAACCAGTCCTCGTCTTTGCATTTAGTTAGATAGTATGATCAGATCTGTGTCCTGCCCGGGTGAAAGAATTCATTGCTACGCAAAGCTAAGCAACACAACCCGAGTCTAAAAACCTTTTTTTATTCACTTTTATAATATTATCTATATTACCTACCGTGGTTTGAAATACATATTAATTCCGTTAACATTAAATTAGATTTTTCTTTCGAGCCTTCTTTTAGAATCAGTGTTTTTTTAACTGGCCGAAATATTCTGGGATATAATGACTGACGTTGTCACATAATTTTAAAGGCTTTAAGTGAGTTGGATCCTTGTTATTTGAGCAGAGTTATTAAATATATTTAAATATGCCGCATCCAAGATTTATGAGCTTGGTACAAGAATCCTGGCGCTGCGAGACAGGATATACTAAAAGTGCACATAATTTTGTAAGTCACAATATTTTTACAAGCATATTACTCAATTTCATTTCCGCTGCGCGGGCACAGGGTATAAAATAATTATGTCACAATACTGAGCACGGGTCTCCCACTTTAACCCACCACTCTGATCCATTGCCATTGTCATGGTGACCCTCACGAGGGGGAATGACGAACACGTTTCTGTAGCTTTAGACACACTAATAAGTAAATAATATACGAGCACTTGAGTCACGAGGCACAACATGTAAAAGTTGGTAATGTAGTCCGACAGTGCGTCTTAATAAGGACTTGCTTATTTCACCGGCCACCAAATGTACATTGATAGCTATGTACATTGTTGTCAGTCTGTCCTCTACGAATACCATCAACGAACAATATCGCTCAAAGTAATAGTTGAATGTATCTAATTCCTTTTTATTTGGCGTATTTTCTAGCAAATGGACCAAGAAATGTTGCTTCAAGAGATATCTATGAATGATTTTGAAGTGGAAAACAAAAACCAACTTTTCAGGCAAGTATATTTCATTATGAATTATATTAACTACAAAATTCAATGTAGCGGTATTCTTATAACTAATTTACCAGTTTAAAACGCATAATATAAATATTTTCCTTTTATTACACTACGTGACTAACTACTGACGCTGATTTATTAGTGTTCACATGTACCACAGGTGTCTTAGCGTACAAAATATTTTTTCTTCTTATTATTATAAATTCTTATTGCAGCTTGTCATATCTTCAAGCGTCATTTTTTGCTACTGTTTTAGAAGACACGATAACACAAATGCGCATTCTTGGTTCGTATATTTACACTGCTTTGAAATAAATTCAGTAGTTTGCCTTGAATGGGCACAAAGATATACATAACATATTTTTATAAATAAAGTTAAAAAAAATATTTATATTTGTTAAACTTTTTTGAAAATTATTTTAACTACGGCCCGACGTTTCGGATGCTTTGAGGCAGCCGTGGTCAAACAGAGAGAATAATGTTCAAATGCGTTAACTTATATATTTCGCGTTTTAATCCGTAAAATTGTATTTAAATGTTTATTGTTTTATGAAATATACTTACAGTTGAATGCAACAACGAATTGCGCATTATAAAAACTAACACGGACATGAAGATTCTGCTTCCATTAAAATATGGCGTTGTTCAGCCAAAAGTGACAGACGAACTGGAGTCTATAGATCCTCACGATTTGGGATGTAACGAATATAAGTTGAATAAGTTAGATTCGGACAGGTACGAACTTAACATTATAACTTGATGCTTTTTAAAAAACTTCGATTCAATAGATTTTTTTAATTAAATACTCCCTGTAGTATACGCGAGTAGTACACATTTAAATGAAACACTTTAACGGTTTAAAACGCGATATATTAGTCGAAACGTCGGGCCGAAGTTAAAAATCATTTTCAAATAAGTTTAATTAATATAACGTGTTATAAAACGTTAGTGTTTTTTTTAAAGATTTTCTTTATCCTAAATTTTAACTTAGTTCTCTTATGAAGAGATAACTGCAAATTTTACACTAAAATAACTTATAATTTCTACTCACTACATTTATAAGACTCTGAAATCCACAGACTAAAAGCGAAACGCGATCTTGACAGCTGTTTCGTCTGCAGTACTTTAAGAACTCGTTAGTCCTACCACCCATAGAACGTCCAGATTTACCAGCCGAGGCCAAAAATGTCCCGTTGCGAATTGAACCCACGACCCTTTGGTTACTAGTTACATATTTCTATAGCTGGACGAACGAAGGCAATAATATACCATACATATGTTACTCTTTATAGAAATTACTTAATCGATGTTATAAAAAAGACTTATCTGGACTTGTCACTGCACAATCGTTACGAAGCTTTGGTGGACTTCGTGAATAATTTAGTGGACACTGAATCATACCGCGTCAGAGTTGCCGATGATGAGACTAAAAATAAAAGGTTGGATTTTATACGTAATTTGTAATTAATATGAATGACCTCTTGTCTATTGCGGGTACATTAAGAATTGGTTCCTCATCCCCTCTTTACGCGTAGCTTAAAGAAGCCTTCAAATTTAGACAACAGTAAATTAAGTCGTTAAAAACTTTGTTGTCCTTTGACGCTTATCTCTTTTCAAATATAAGGTGTACTGTCGTTAGGGTTGACTATCCAGAAAAAATAGCTTTTAACTCAGTAGAAGTTTTGTTTTGATTTTATAATACATGCTTTATTATGCATAATATATCTAATACATAATGTAAATTTGAACTTTTTCCAGTTTACGTCACGAATTGAACAAACAGTTGCGCCAACAACGGAACCATATTAAATCAGTTATTTACGATACGGACGCGGTTATAGAGAAATTGAAGAATATAGTCGAAGTAAACACACATTGCATTAATGACGCTTGAGTAAATTTATTGCTCTGTTACGGTTTTCATACGAACAAACTGCATTTAAATGTATTACGCAGTATTGTAAAATTGTAAGATTCTTAGCTATAAGGGAGAGTCTTAAAACAAATGGCAATAAAATGAATCTACAAAAATATATGCCATACCCTATACCGCAGTTGGGAGTTCAGGTGTCCGATAATAGTGTAGAGGCAACCACCGTCGCCATATACCAAACGTAAAAGTAGTTTCTTAAATGGCTGATAATGGTGATGTTTTACAAACGGGATATATATATATATTTAGGACGCAGCGCTCAATGCAGAAATAGAGAGCCGTTACATTGACAATTGGCAACGTGCTAGAAGTGAACAGCATGTCCAGACCATCGCCGATAAGGAGGAGAGTCCGACACATACTATCGAGCATTACAAGCAAAGGGCAGACCACGAGCAGAGAGTTCACACTGAAGTGGAATTGTTGATTAATATTATTATAAATGTTAGTATTTGTGTCACAAATATCCTCCTTGGCCGTATGATTACGTGGGTTCGAACCCTGAAGCGACCATAAATATTTTCTGTTGGGCAGAGCACAAAACTTAATCCACTACTTGAGGATGAAAATCTATCGGTCGACACAGAATTGTTGTGCCATTGCGGGGTTTCCCTTCGTAGGGCACACGTCGTCTAGATATACGTAGTCTACGTTAAAGTCACAGAAGAAAAATATGTTTTTGTGCTAGAATCTATGAAACTTAGAGACTTTTAAATAAAGGTATTGTTAAACTACACTTTAACGGTTTAAAACGCGATATATTAGTTAAACTACAATAATGTGTATTACTCGCGTAAACTATACAGTATTTAAAGATATTGTTATTTAATTTTCAGGAAACATTGCAAAAAGTCGAAGATTGGATGAACAAGTACGACAAAGACATGGAGCACATAGACCTTAAAATACAGATTAAGAAAAACGAATATCAAAATGAGTATGACCGGCGTGTAGGCCTAGAAGAGACGGTAACCATTTTTCTTTTTCTTTCCCTCATACAAATATTACACATTTATTCAACGTCTTTAATTGCTCAACGTTTTTAAAGTTTTCCAATATTCCACTAAAATTAGAGAAATAGTATCCTATAATTCTGCCTCAAATAAACTGTATTAGTCAATATTATTTATCTCTTTCAGATTGAGACTCACGACAAAGAAATGAAAGATTGGAATCACTTCAAGGAAGAACGCGAGAAGGCGCGATTGTACCGCGAGAAGATGACGAAATCAGCTATTACAGTGCAGGCTTGGTGGAGAGGCTTGCTAGTACGTCGTGAACTAGGTCCCTATAAGGTTGCCAAGAAGCCGAAGGGTGGGGCGAAGAAAAAGTAATTTAAATACGTGAGATAGTCTTCAGCAAATCCACACAGATGAAATACTTATGAAACAAAGATTAAATTTTAGAAGTACATATTTACTTTTATTATTTAGAATATCTTATTTTTAAGGTTTCGAGACATTTTTAAGAATGTTTAGATATTGTATTCGAAATAAAATTACAATAATTAAATAATTCATTGCGATGTGATTTTTTTTTAACGGAAACCGTTTAGTCAAATTGAATTCGTTAATGTTTTGAGGGATTGCAATATTAATTTGGTCAGTATTCTCTTTCTTTAGCAGATGATACTACCGCAGACTAAAGCGTTTAAATAATTGAAATTAGTCTATGGTATCTATCTAAGTTCTATAGTCTATGGTCTTGTGCAATATACTGTGTTACCAACAACAGCTTTTTGCTACTTATGGTTTTTTGTCAATTCCTTAATTGAAAATGCTATGGTATGCTATTAAAGTAAATAACTTATTTTATAAAACTGCCAATGTAGATATATTCAAATGAATAAGGCAAAAATAAAAACCAAATCGAGATATGAAACTGGTTTTATGCAAATTGTATTTTACTAAAAAAATTTGAAGTTGCTGACATTAATGGTAAAATGTATTTAGCAATGGCAACACCTGTCGTTGCCTTGTTATAAAAAATTATCAGTTGTCGTTGTCGTTGTAATTGTATTGAAAATTGTAAACTGAAATTTTGGAAGACGTGTTGATATTTAATAGTGATTTGTACATAAATTTGTGAAGTGAAGTTATTGTGTGGCGCCCTTGAGGAGTGTTAAACAAAATGAAGACCAAAACCGACAAAAACAAGAATGGCGAAAATGAAACTGAGGTATGTTTGATGTTCAAATATTCCAGAATTGTTCCAATTAAACATATTGTTATGAACTTCTCTCGGTTAATCTGTAGGAAATGTACTTTTTATTGCGTGTTGGTATTTTGATTTACAGCAAATCGTGTAGGTTGTGAGTTGTGATGTAATTAAAATTTCATTCATAAATTAGACCACCTATCACAGTACACGTCTGCTATCGTACGCCATAATATGACCTAAACAAAAACATTGAGGCGTGATTTTTATTTTAAGTTTTAAACGGTCCTACACCCTGAAATATACACACAAACAATTATGGTATTCTTCAGTGATTACAAATTGTATCAACATAGATCTTATCTAACAAGTACAATGTATATCAAAAAATTCATGTTTCCTTACTTTTTACTACTCAGCTCACTAATAAACTAATCTATATTTAAGAGGCCAATGCATTAGTTCATCTATAAAAAAGCCATTAACGGTCAAAACTAAATGCTTGTAAAAACAACACATGAAGAATAAGTTAGTATTTTCATGTTTCTTATTATATTTAGATTAATAACTTCTTATAAGATTCTTCCTCTATTATAATTGTCAAAAATCGCTTATGATATTAATATGAAAGTAAAAGTACACACTATCATTTTATTAGTTCATGTATAATTTTGCCTTTCAACTCAACAGAAAATAATCCATGCAGCACCAAAATAAATTTAGTCTATGCTTCTTAGCTTCAATGAAGAGTCGTAGTATAGAATGGCAAATGGACATGTATGTAAAAAATAGATATATTTCCTTATACATACTACTACATTTACCGTCAAAGCTGGTGTACTTTTTTGTTTGCTAAAATTAAGTTGTCATAAAGAAAATTTAAGGAAATCTTCATAGAAACACCAGTGTTCAAGTAGTAATTTATGCTACTTAGTTAATTACGGTAAGAAAGACATAGCAAAATGAGTGTGTAATTAATAATTTGATGGTTATTCTGATTGCTTGGACTTGTGTCTTCCGAGGTTATATACTAACCACCTCAATACTAACTTTGCTATTAAGTGTTGGTTGGAATAAAAACTTACTAAAGGAGAGAGTAAGCTCAAATTATATTTCTTAATCTTCTAAATTCTTCTTTCTTAAATTTTAAAATGAGTTTTATAAAACCATCTTAAAATATCTTTAAGTTTAAATTAGAGCCTTTCTCCCCCTAAATATGAATAACTATGATATAAAACATTTTCTAGTATGAAATAAATGTTGTTCTATATTACCTAACAATTTACTAACTATAATAATTTAGTAACAGTTTGCATTTAAAAATGCACATTAACATTTAAATTGAATACTTAAATGATTAGAAAAGTGAAATTTTCATGCAAATGAATGAAATGTTTCGCATATCATAATTTGTTTACATTAATCTCAATGAAACGGAGAGACGCAAACAATAATGTAGCATATTGTGGTATAATAAAGTTAAATGTGGCGTAAACAAAACGACACGTGATGTTTATCATTAGGTGTGGATTTGGCACCAATCTCTATTTTGATACAGTTGATGTTTGACGGCCGCTTTAGTTGCCTCCTCGCGCCAATCCGTTGTTTAAATAATACAAAAAGTGCAGTGCTATTTTTAAGATTGCCGGCGAATGAGTTATTTTTAATTTCAAAAGTAATTATCACCTATAGCGATTATGCATAAATTTATTGTTCGTTGTGCTACATACAATCTATCTCAATTGTATTGATAATTAAATAATTACAATTAAAATCATTAAATTGCATTTAATCTGCATCTCTTTATGTTTCTAAACTGGTTGCAGATAGACTATTGTTATCTTGACAATGTGTCCCTGTCCAATCCCTGAACAAACATTAAATCTGTCATTTAAAATTATTATATCATTAGGTAGTTTTGTGAAATAAATGGTTACACATGTTAACTGACATTGCGTTAAGTATGAGGGCTCCTGAGTTCGAAACCTGAGGAAACAATATATTGTATTAGAAGGGCAGGACAAGTCTAATCAACTACTTGCCTGAAAAGAAAACTGATTCATGCCCCCCAGACAGAAAAGGGATTTCACTACTAGTGTTGTGTTTCTACTATTGTAAAAAGTATGATGTTACTAGTAAACACCAATTATTTTCTCAAGTGTAGACATATTATATGGCCTATTGGTTGGACTGGTATGTTTATCATATTTTTGGGAGTTATTGGCCAGAAAATGACTGTCCTTCAATCAACCAGCCAACTTTCTATTCACCCTTAGCTTGTTCAGCCAAAAAGTGCTATATATTGCATGTACATACAGCATTTTGTACCTATTTCAGAATTTGTTTTGAATAATTGCCTTGTTTCTGCGTTGTTTTATCGTTGTGTAATAATTTTTATTATGTTACGCGATTATACTAAGACATGATTATTACAAGACAAACATTAATTTAAATAGAGACGTCTTAAGCGGTTTCGTTAAAATGTTGTCTACACATTAAATCCTTAAACGGTTAAAACTCGACATTTTTAAGTGATGTTAAATGTATATTATTCTACTTTTACGACGATGTGGCTAAAGCGCACTAAAATCAATTGAGTTGTCTTCAAGATGACGATAATTAGCAAATCATTAGTACTCTTTTAGACAGCGCCGCGTTACGTAATCAAATAAGATTTTCTTTTGTTTCAAAACGACTGTTATTTCGCTATGCTACTCCTTGTCGTAAGCTTCTAGATAAAAACTAAATTATATTAGCTCATTAGTAATTACCTAGTGAAATGAACTAGTATAACCACGGTTAATAAATGTTTTCGTGTATAATTTAAAAACATGACATTTGCATGAATTTTAATTCCGGTGAAAGTTGCAATATATGACGAAGATCTTAACGAAAGGTTGTTTAAGCGAAGCGCCTTTAATTATACGTAAAAATAATATTTAATAACTTTTCTTAGGCTGGGGCCTCTATAGCTCCATTGGTAAGGGTTAGCGTGAAATTTGTGTTCGAAACCCGGGAAAACATAAGTGTTTTTTTGATTAGACAAGGCACATTATTTTTTTCATCATACTTATTACAATCAGCATCGCTAAAAAATGTTATCAGACTCGTTTCTTTAGGCTTTGTTTATCTCATTTCTGTCAAGCAAAGTTTGTTTGAACATTAGTGTGTTCTTAGCATTATTTGCTGAAAAATAAGACGCACTTTGGTTTTGTACGCGTGTCGTATATCTATCTAATGTAACTCGTAGTAGTAAGTAGAGTTAGTTCTCAGTTCGAACCCTAATAATGGTTGTTAGTTAAACCTTGCCACAGCCAATTATTTATTCTATTCAAAGTAGGGTTCGCAAGATCCTTGTACTTGTTGGTACTTTTATTAATGATTGAAAATTCGAGGGGACAAATTCGAACTGCAGGGCGCCATCGGCAATTATTATTAAAAAATAATTATTACGGAAGTTTGTTACACAAGGAATAATAAAAAATAAGATTTTTTATTATTAATGCCTCTACTCTGTAATTGTCCTAAGCATGACGAGAAACGACATTGGTCTCCCTTTCTCGATCAGAAAGGACCTGGGTTAAGCATGTCACAGGAGGAATACAAGGGCTGATGTTGACGTTATTTAAGATAAATGCATTCGCAAATTCTATACAAACAGTGAAAATTTATTAAAGGTGCGGTTAGCTATAAAGCTGATCATCCGAACTTGTTTATTCAAGTGGATGAACTGAATAAATACCCTAAATTTTTTCCAAAAAAATTCAATAAAACAAATTTTCGAGATTAGTTAGGAAATTTAAACATTTTTGACTTTCAACGTGGAACTTCTCAAACAATGCACCGATGATTCTCAGTCTAACTATTTCAAAGCAAGCTCGGTATTCTGTAGCCAGGCTTGACCCTCGTAGACGCAAAGTCAAATTGAGAAATTCCTGCATGCTTCCAAAGACATGTTTGTGCCAAATGTGGGTATATTCAAACTATTTATAGACCACACGTACCGCGTAAAAATGTCTGCCTACTATACCGTTACACCGCGCAACTGTTATAGATACGTTTTCGTAAAACATATTTTTTATGTATTCTTCGGTCTTCGTAGGTATGGCAAATTTTCAATACTAACAATCGTTTGAATACAGTTGACATTAGTCCACAGTACCAGCGACTACGGTCGTGTTTGTTTTCGCGTACGATACCTAGCACTGTGTTCCGGCAGGCACCGCCTAACCCGTTCCCAACCTCATTTCGGAATCTAGGTCTGTCTTTATATCCGCGAGAGTGCCCTCTTACCCTTGTATATTTTGGCCTCGGGTAATTAGCTTCTGCACATATTTTATACGCCGGTTAAAAATAAACGTCGATTTTCTAGCTGGCTAACTTTCAAAGACTTCCGAAAGTATACGGGGAAAAGTTAAGGAGTTTATCCTCATTTTAATTCTTTTGGCTGAAGAAAGTTTTATAAACTTAGAATCCACACAAGTGGTACTTTATCTAACTTTTCGATGACTTGCTCCTGCTTCTAATATTAGATATGTATTTTAAAAACAGCATAAGTTTTTAATTACGCCTATGCGCAGATAGCCAAATAAAATTTTTCCATCTTGCTTTCTTGTTGTGGTTTTTTTATAAAAACTTATTTGTATTATCTTATGCGAAACGAATAGATGTCTTGTCGTTAAATATAGACAATACAATAACAACTGCGTTCTCAATGAATTTACCCGATGTACTCGTTCAGTATCAAATAGGTAGCAACCTTGGCGTAATTTTGCGATTTTCCACACGCGAGCGTAGAGCTGAAATCAATTTCACATACCTGCTTATATACCGAACTAAATTGTTACTTGATAACGCATTCTTCCAACGTTTGTCAGAAATTACAACAACTGGAACAGTTTTTATTTCAATAAATTCTATGTGATTATTTATTTTTAACATGCTCTACGTAACATATTTAAATGTAGTTTTTTCACCAGTATTTAAATGACGCTTACCAATCGGTTAATTCCTTATTTAACCAGAACCATTCTGGTAAACGTTACAGCAGCCACTTCTCTCTTAACATCGTTTCATCCATTCCCTTCTTTTGAGTACCATTTTGTCAGTAGCTAATTTGAATAAAATGAATCGTGTTTTTATCGTTTAGGTAGAATTTTAAAATAGTTAAATACGAAAAGATCAATGTTTCAATTCAGTGCATTCCTCGCATTTTTGTTAGCTATTATTGTGTTAATAGAATCGGCGATCACACATTCCCATCGAGTGTAAATTTAAAAATAACTCACCGCATCTGCGCATAATAATGTCTTATCGCACATTTGCAGAGCTTTAGCGCTGTCAGAATTCGGAATCCATTGTAATTTTTAGTTATGTACAAACACGCTCCGGCAGATAATTTAACGACGCCGAATTATAATTTTAGCATAACGCCCGGCTAATGATGTCAGCGTCGCGTGCTGTAAATTTCGTGATGATGCAGCTTGGCTGCGGACGGCGAAGATTGATTCCCTCAGATTATGTTGTTCTTGTCAGATTGTATTGGATCGTCGCGATGAGAGTGACATGTCCACGGTGGACACTTTCTCGCGGTCTGTTTGCGCGTGCGCCGATTTTGAACTCGGGGGTTTAAATTCCAGTTGAATATTGCAAATTAGGCGCAACAATGTCGAGCTAGGATTTTTTATCCGCTATGTTAGTTTAATTATAACCTTCTTCAACGTCTCAATGCTGGACGTAGCATCAACGTAGCATAGGATGCGAAAGGCATACATTAGGATTGTTTAAGCTAGACCTACTGTTTGACACTGTTTCAGTGCAAGGTAACCAGAACCGTCGAATATAAATAGCATCCTAAATATACTAGGTTTAAATTGACATAATTTAAAGGTTGGAACATACAACGTTATACGCTTAGTGAAAGTTCTTCGAAAAGTGATAGTTTTGTGACCAAATAATCGGAATGAGGAAATGCAAAGTGTGAATAGATAGCGGTGTGTATGGATAAGTGGTTATTGGGAGATAACATCGGTGCTGTATTGAAAATGCTCGCGTCGGCGGCATCGGCTAATATCACGAGGAACTCCTTGTCCACCATGTTCCAAGCGCGACGTTCCGTTGACCGACCGCTAGTTATGGTGAGTTACATAATGATAAGCTATTTTTTCAGTTGCACATCACACCATGTCCATTCAATAAAGGAATGTCAAGTATCGTACTCGTTGATCCAATGATAATGTATGCCATATAATCAACGGGTCGTCAGTGCTTTTCCTTGCTCTTAAACTGAACATATTTGACTTCGTGTAGATCTGAATTATAATGGGTATTAGGAATCCCAAAAAAAACATCCAAAAAAGCAGGAGCAAAGGATTTCTGTGGTTCAGTTTCAGTCTGTAGATTTTTGATTACCTAAAGCTAAAATGGATTAGCGGAGACTGTTGACAATAATAAAGGAATTTGAGCTCTTTGTTTTCATAAAAAACATATTAAAAACTGATGATAATAACTTAAACCTAAGTGGCGTGTCTTTCGTTACTGTCCAATTGTTTCTAACTAGCGGGCTTGTGGTTAAAATTCTCATCCTAAACTGTTATAATAATAAAACAAACCATTGCATCCTTACTTACTGATTTCCTAACTATTGGTTTAGCACGAGATGGATCAGATGTACGCGTAAAAGACGGCGACAGAAATGCTCAGTGTGAGTTTGATCAGTCGCTCTTTGTGCTGTGACAACGTTGGCATTTTTCATGAATTCCCTTTCAGCTGCGACGACCCAAATTGTGCGCAGTGCGAGTTTTATAGGATGTTATGAAAACTTTAGCTTTGGGGTCACCGCGCCAGTTCTGCAGTTTTCTCATATAAATTCCAAACTTCTAAGGGGCGCCGCATGCGTTTGTTGATAACACAGCTGGTTGCTGTTGCTAATATAATGTACCCGCAAAAGAAAAATAGTTTTTCAATCTATCCCTATGCCAGAATAGCTTCCCTTTTTGTTTTAAACATATCTTATTCATTAGAATCAGAGCCATAATGATAAACCATACAATAGTGCTATGCGCATCGGTTTCTTAAGACGTCTATCGCCAGATGACACATATGGACAAATTTTAGGTTTTAATCCATGCCGGTTTCAAAACGATATTTTAAAAAACAAGCGCATGTCAAAATATTAAGGTAAATATTTAAGTGCCTACTCGAGAATCGAACTGCCTCGAACCAGGTACAATGTGCGTATACATAAAACAGTATATTCTCAACCTCTATATTGCCCATATGTAATGCCTCTTATAATCGATAGAGGAGACATAACAGTACCGACAGCAACTAAATTATTCACGAGAGAGACATCATCGTCGGTCGTGTCAAATTTGCATTCCTCAGGGAATGATAAAAGTATTGCGATTTTACCGTTACGGAATATATTCGAAAGTCGCTCTCGGAGACGTTGCCGTGACCGAATGCGAAAGGACGGGTTAGGTTTTTTCTCAGATCGAGGATTTACGTATGACTAGATGCGCCTGGGCTGCAATGAATAGTTTTAAATTATAGTTAGTTATTTAACTATAATACAATGATGGGTTATAACAATAATTTTGTTTTTACTTAAAGGAGAACAGTCGTTAAATTTTCGTTTACTCACTTCTTTCAAATTCTTTCGCAGTGAATGTATTTTTACTAAATTAAAGAAAACCAGTATTGACTTTCACTCTACTGCAAGTAGTTTGTATATGTTAACGATATATTGCGACCAATAAATCATTTTTCATTGGTCTTTGAAGAAAACCTACCTGTATTACTTACAAGTTACACCAAAGCAATAATCTATGAATACGCACAACAATCATTTTAGCACGCTACTACAATATTTCACGCATTCTAAATGACTGTTCTGTTATGGTTTACACTAGAGAACATGTACAGTTGTTTCTGTATACAGAAAGGTAACTTTACGGCCAAGACGTATTTGGTGCAAACAGCGTACGTACTTGAATAAACAACAATTCGCGTATAATATAAAATAGTATGTACGCAGATCGACTAAGTATTATATGTACAGGCAAGTAGTTCATCATTATTGAATGAACAATTTATTATTTCCCTTCGATTCGAACCCAGAACCTCGCAATGGTAAGCAATACGTTTAGTCATTGAGCTACGTATAATATAAATGCATATATATTTCATTTATTAATCATTTATAAAAGGGGGGGGGGGGGGGGGGGGGGGGGGGGGGGGGGGGGGGGGGGGGGGGGGGAAAAAAAAAAAAAAAAAAAAAAAAAAAAAAAAAAAAAAAAAAAAAAAAAAAAAAAAAAAAAAAAAAAAAAAAAAAAAAAAAAAAAAAAAAAAAAAAAGAGAAAAGGGGGGGGGGGGGGGGGGGGGGGGGGGGGGGGGGGGGGAGGGGGGGGGGGGGGGGGGGGGGGGGGGAAAAAAAAAAAAAAAAAAAAAAAGGGGAAAAAAAAAAAAAAAAAGGGGGGGGGGGGCCAAAAAAAAAGAAAGGAAAAAAACAAAATTTTTGGTTTCCACTCAAGGTAAAATCTTACTTACCTTATTTTTAATTTATATAAACTATGGCCTGACCTTTCTGAGTAATAAAAGTTAAAAAAAAACACGTTTTACGGGTTCAAACGCGAAATGTATTAGTAAAACTTACTTACAAATTATTATAACTATGGCTCGATGTTTTAAGTGTACCGTTAAAAGTTTTTTATTTAAATATGTACAACTTACGTAAGCTACAGACAGTATTTAATATAATATATACGTGCATTTAATTTTTGTAACACCAGGATTTACTTACTCAATCTAGATAAATCTCGAACACCTTAATGGTTATCTGAAGTCGTTATAGGCCTTGAAAACCGCATCGAACCTGCGCCGTCTAGTAGTTTATTTGCATTAGGTCATTATGTATATTTGCTGTACGTTTCGCTTGTGTGCTGACTCCACAGTTCAATATAATTAAAATAATATTTTATCGTTGTTGAAAAATAAGTTTAGTGCTAAATTATATTACCATACTGCTTCCTAAGTGAAAGATTACAATTTATAAAGAAAAATGTAAGTTATTATATTTTGTTTGTTTCGGCTAAATTTCAGGTTGCCTGGAAGAGATCGCTTGTTAGCGATAAGACCGCCCGTTGCCCCCGTTCTAGCTTATAATTTTATCCGTATTATCAATTTTTTGGATTAATTTCAGATCATCTTCCTCCTAGATTCAAATCTTGGAGGAAGATGATCTTTATATCTTCTATTGTCTATTATAGGGTACGTTGTAGGCACACGTAATATAATTAAAATACGTATTAATCCCTACTATATCGAAAGATTCGTGTAATTGCGGTGTCGCAACCTCGGCCTGACCGCAAACGTATTAATTTCCCATCTACGCTAGTGTCAATTGCTCAGCAGCAGTATGGTGTATCCTTGCCATTGCATTTTGTCGGTAAAACCAACTTATGAAATAATCGAGTAGGTATTTGTAGATTTTTTATTACTAGGTATGGCGAGTAAGGATTTGTCGAGGGATTTATGATAATAGTCTATTTTATTCCAATGTGAATAAAATAAATAATTTATTCATTTACGAAATAGCAATCACCATCTTGCTCAAATCGTTTATTGATCAAAATCTATACTAATGTATAAAGCTTTGAGCTGAAGAGTTTGATTGGTTTGTACGTTTGAACGCGCTAATCTTAGCAACTACTGGTTCGAATTGAAAAGTTATTAGTCAGAGTATTAATAAAGAAAGGTTATAAAAAATCCTATGTCTAATAGGAGCGAAGAAATACCGGGACATGCGGAAAAAAAGGGAAAAATATTCATCTTTGTAGCTCACCGATGCGTACCCTGCGAAAACGGTTCAAGATAGCCAAATAATAATATTAACGGAATGTTTATCCCAAAATGATTTAAAACTATGTGATATTGTATCTTTTAAGATTAACTTGCAAGAACGACGGGACCACCGACGACATTAGTAACTGCTTAAATTTATAAAGATAAAGAGGAGTTCGCAATAGCAAATATGATGCCCAAAGTAAATATTCTACGGACGAAGTCCCGATAACTATCTTTAAAATTGTTACACTTAACAGATTTTAACATGTGTAGAACTCTAAAACATATTTACTACAATAATATATTTTTGTTAGCTGTATTGTTAAATATTTGAGATGAAACGGATATTCGGTATCCAGCCTATCCGGCTCAAATTAAAAACCTGGTCGAATACCGATAAATATCCGGCCGGATACTGTATTGACAAAAAATACGACATAAAGATTATAGGTCCAAAAAACTTAAACAGCACCGACGGCAAATTATGCTGTATGTGTCATATGTATGTTTATATATACTCATACTCTAACTAGAAGGATTAGAAGTTAAAGATTTCTACTACTAATATCGGTGGGATATTCGGCTTCAAAATTGGTCGAATTATTCGGTATCTGATATATATATATATTTTTTTAACGAGATGCAACGTCGTTTGGCTCCTTGATTTTGCAGAGAAATTGCGAGATGTTAGTGACATGAGGTCATATGTCGTAGAAGTCGGTCAAAGTGGGTGCTTCGTAAACGGTGGTACAGGCCGAAAGCAGTAGAAGCGTTGCCATTCAAAGATGGCCGTCAAGCGGTCGAGACGCAGAGAATTCTTGATGGATTTCTAAAAATAGACATCAATTTATTCCATTCCGATCATTCCCGGAGACGCAATGAGATATGGATAACATAAGGAAGCGCGATTTTATGCCTCTTTGTTTTTAGAGGTGTGCTTGTTGATTTTTTTAAATTGGTCGGTCTTTTAAATAGTTCGCTTAAGATTTTATTCGCCGTCTTCGAAGGCTACCTTGCATTGCGTTAAGCGCGTAAGTAAAGCCCTGGGCTCATTTCCAATGATCTACCCAATTCTTTTGTTTAAATAAAACTGTTTTGTACTGTTTTAAAAGTAAAACTTACAATTAATTTTAAATGTCTACTCGCGTAAACTACAGACAGAACATTTTTTTTTGTTTAGCTTTTAAATTACAGAACTGACCACAGTTTTGTTTTAAGAATAATGAAAACGCGTTTAATAGTGTTCTAATTTAGTTCTATCAATTTAAGAAGAGACTTTTCTCTCGCTTTTAAGTCGTTGCTTCTATTATATTCTAGATGCAGTTAATCGTTTACTTCAAGCGTTCAGTTCAATGCGAAGAATGCAATGAAGATGCGCCGTTTTGCGCGCGCTAGCTCCGGCCTCAAATCCGTTTAGAATGAGTTAACGGAATTTCCCAAGCTATAAAAAGTGAAATTAGCACTATCCCAAAGGGTGCTTCCAGCTCTGTTATTGACATTGAATCCAACACCCACGTGCATCTGCTGACCTAGTTGCGGTATCTTGGCATCGGTCCCAGATATGATTGGGTTTGATTCGCTGATAAATTGCTTGAAAGGATGTCGGTGCTCCGTACAAAGGGGTTACAATCAGTTAAGTGGGAGACCTAGCTTTGATAATGATAGCTATCGTGAACATTATATGCAGGGCTAGAACAAAGATCGTAATTTATATCTACAATAGAGACATACCGTATGGGGACTATAGAAAAGTTAAGAAAATTTCTTATTAGTAACGGTCATTATTTTACTTGTTCAGTCAGTCAGTCAGTTTGAAACATATGTCAAGTGGAAAAATACCCCAACATAGAAAGTAACGTAAAAGTCAAAAGTTAATTTTGGACGGGCTGGTCGGTCTAATGGTAGCAATGTATGACTAACAAACGGCGGGTCACGAGTAGATCCCCATCGGGTCCAACATGGTTTTAATCAACTTATATGCACGAGACATGTCGGACCTCGTCTGGAAATCTGAACATTTAATTAGTAGTAGAAAGCTTCAAATTCCGCCCGAGTCACGACCTTCCACAAATGAAAAAGCCGTGTAATCTTATTTCGGTTTCAGTCTGTCAAATATTCAAATCCAAAGAGGTCAGCAGTGCATCTAGTTTAGATGTTACATGGCTATCTCATCTTCCATTAAGTAAACCTCACGCTTGTCTGTTCTTCTGTATCTCTGGTACAAAATATAATCTTCACGTCTATATTATATGCCGTGTTGTGTGATGTGTCGCTGTGTCTATAGAGGCGACACTTATCTGGCATTTTTCTTCAAACTATTTAGTCCTTAACCAACGATCCTGTTTATAAATGAGCGTAAATTATGTTAAGTAATGTTGAAACAGTGCGACTTCACGCGAGAATTAAACGCCTTTGTGTCAAATAAGGAAAAGAGTCGCGAATGTTTATCGTTTAAGTTATCACTTCCTTTTTCATCTACGTGTTAATTGATTCCGTATGATCGCTGTATCATTGTTATTCTGTTATATTCCGGTTAGAATTTGCTTCAAGAGCAAAGTCTTTTAGAGTAATGAGTAATACCTACTTGTTATTGACTATTCTGTGAACTCCAGATAAGAAAAAAATATACAAAATTTTTTCACAAAAACTATGAACTAAATTAACTTTGATTACTTAGACAAACTACTTATATATAAGTACTAAGTAACTACAGACAGTTTATGCGAGTAGTACACATTTTAATAAAACACTTAATGGTTCGAAACGCTGTGTTTTAACTGTGGCTTTAATAATAATACGTATCAATTTCAATCCAACGTTTGATATGCTTTGCAGCAGCCCTGCCCAGTGACCACGGCTTTACATTGCGTCTTTTACAGGTGTTTTATTTAAACCTAGCATTTACTATGTATGTATGGCTTAATCCTATTTTATAACAAACACACATACATCTAACATATCTTAATATTTAATTTGAATTACAAATGTTGTAATGTATCTTTCCAGAACCGTACAGAGAAACAGTCCCTCGCAAATCGCCCTCCGCCCCCGGCTACGATAGTCCCTCGCGCCGCAGATGGCCCCCGCCCCGTCGGATGGAACGGGCAGCCCAAGAGGCACGGGTCCAGCAGGTTCAACGTTCAGAATCACAATCAGGAGCTGGTCAAATTGCCCTCGATCAAAGGTAAATCTTTAATTCTAATTTCGAGCGCTTGTGGAACGTTGAGACTTGAATGCTAAAAAGTAAAAAGTAAAAAAAAGTTTAAGTTTAAGTTTTTTTTCGTATTTTTATATTTTATGGTTACTGCAAGGAATCATTTACTATTTGGTTTAGTTTATATACTGTAAGTGTTACCTACCATGATACAAGATTTTACAGACACTACCTCAATAATAGTTTAGTGTGAGACATTTTTAACCCATAATTGTAACTTATTTACATTTCTACATTATCCAGTATGAAGTCTGTTAAAATATGCAAAGAATTACAACGAAATCTTCAGTGTTGTCGTCACAAGTGAATTAATTATACAGATAAAAACATATTCGAAATCAGTTCGTTGAACTATTAATAGCTTTAGTAATTTTTTTTGCAAATTAAATATTTCTTAATATCATTTTGATAACAAACCTCTTCATTATAACCTATTGGGGTTCTCTCATATGATTATTAAAGAGATTTACCTCGTCGCTTTAGTAATTATAACCGAAGGAGACGAGTTTATGTGCTTTCGAGAAACGTTAAAATATCTTACATTCCTTACGAGCCGGATTTCGACCAGGTGAACTTATATTAATACGAGAATCGGCCTGCTGGACCTTTTGAGTACTAGGCACTAGATCTACGTAGCATTTGTCGAAATTGTTGTAAATCTATGCAAGAGAATCTCGCTAAATGAAATATCTTGCAAACACATCCGATGCAGTTGTAAATAAACAAGTCCGAATGAATTCAGAGAGAAAATTAATTAGAATTTCATAGCGATGCCTCAACAAAAGGCTGTGGTTTAATTATCTCTGAAACTAGTACGAGTCTTATCAAACGTAAATTCATCTTCCTGTTTACGTCTGGTACTAGATCTTTTATTAACTACGTTAGTAAATAAATGGAGTTTTTTTATATTACATAATTAGTATGCAAAAGATGCAATACTATATATCTTTAATTAAACTAGGAAAAATACTGATTACTGCTAATTTAGATGTTTAATAGCGATGTATTTTTGTATTAAAAATCTAGTCCATGTCCATCTTTATCGGTTACGTTGCGTAGTTGCGTTCGTCACATAATTTCGATGAATATCGATCTAGTTGTTTCGGCGTGTATACAAGTGCATACGGCCGTAATACCACGCTTCTATCGCATCTGGTTCGCAATTCTGTTCCTTTATATCATGTTATTAAACCAAATGATAGATTATAAATATAAAAATAAATACGACACGATCAGGACTTGTACCGGCGTCCACAGCGATCCACGCTGTTGCCTAACCAATTGAGCTACCGTGTCCTAATGATAGCCTAAGCGAGAGTTTGTTTTATGACATTTTTTTTTAAACTCGGCCCTACCGGCAGAGAATAGGTACGCTGTTCGTGGGTTCGAGTCGTGCCCCAAAAATTTAAATTGAAAAATACATTTTGAATCGGTCTAAGTTCTGTTTTGGTATATGAAAATCATAAAGATTCAAGTGCCGAATGCGTTTGAACGTGGGGAATAGAGGCGAGACAAACTGCAAGTGTCTACCTAGGCCCTAGACGTTTTCCAATAGCGCCGTTTCGCAAAGTGGCGCGCGTTCCGGCTTTTCGCTCGGCATCCTCCCCTTTGTGCCTAGTTCCGCTTCCTGTGACGCAAAGCACTTTCAATATAACGTTTTACATCTCACAGACTGATTGAAAGGCGAACGTGTACGTTTATTGATTGAGTATAACGGGGTTTTTTTAATGATAGGGGAGGACAGACAAGCGATATATCCCAGCCTATAGCGTATGAACCGGATGTGCTGTTGACCTATTTTGGCTTTGGATATTTGGAAATCACAAACTGAAACGCGATTAGGCTTCACGGCTTTTTCGTCTGTCTCAGTGGTTCGTGACGCGGACGGAATTTCTACTAACCATCCATTTAATATCCAGATTTCCAGACAAAGTCCTACATGTTTCAAAAAAATAAAAAATGGAGATCGACCCACGACCTGGTTATTAGGCGTACGTTGCTACGATAAGACCAACGAGCAAATCTATAATATACTAATATTATAAAAAGATTTGTATTTTTGTATGTAACGGATAAACTCAAAAAGTACTAGACCGATTATAATTATTCTTTTTTCATTAGAAAGCTACATTATCACTGAGTAACATAGGCTATATTTAGTACTTGATTACTATAGGCATCTATAGAAATTCTTACTAAAACCAGCGGAAGGCGTAAAAAAATTAGCCGTAAAATGTGTTTCTTCGCATACACTGCGAAAACTATTAATGATAGGACAAAAAAATGTTCGACAATATTATAGAATGTATCAATATCTACAAAAAACATCACGAGAGCATATGTCTAAGTATTGTAGTTACGTCGCTATAACTACTTTTTTACAATTAACAAATTGATAGAAATGCCGATCAAAATCAGACCGTGTTATCCATACCATTTATAATTTTTTTTATAAAGACTGTCTCAATACCTGATGATTACTTTTTAAATTATTGAAATCGGACATGCCATTCAAAAGATAAAAATAAAAATACATGTATTTTTATTTTTATTTCAGGCATGTAATTTTATTCTGGATTTGTATGTGATACGTCTTTTTATTATATATGTTTTATGTGTAGTCGGGTTATAAAAAGTGAAATTCCGTTTCTTCACCTGGGGCATGAGGTATTCGCAATTCCGACTAAATCACAGATGAAGTCCAAATCTTCGGTTCTGTCTCAGTCTGTAGATTTCCGAATGTCTTATTATTACTAATCACATTTATAATCTTAATAATATTAGGATCTACTGTGTTAAATATAGTTCAATAGTGTTTGATATATCAACTGTATTTTTATAGAATAGTTCTGACATCTTACGTGATCAATACAAGCCGCAACCCCTTCAAACTCGGATTAGGGTAACCAATTTCTGCATGAAACCCTGCGCTCGTGATTGTGCATACATTATTTGGTTTAAGCAGAATCGTTGCGTAAGCCGCTGACTACGAGAGCAAATTAAATCTTCTTTGGTAATCTTTGCCCTTACTTTCTTTCAGGACGTGGTATTAAAATAGAGTTTTCTGAAACACGATGTTAAATCTATTCCTCCGTACGTTGGGCAAACATATTGTATTTGACGGGTTGGTTGGTGTGATGGTAGCAATGTACCTATGGCTGATAGTCAACGGGCCGCGGGTTCTATCTCCACCAGGTCCAATATAATTCTATCAATTTATAAAAAGTATGGTGGTAGGAACACAGATGAAAAAGCTGTCGAGTTTAATCGCGTTTCGGTTGCAGTCAGTAGATTTCGTTAGCGCATCTTGTTTATTGTTATATACGGCTGGCATAATTCACGTACTATTATGCGAACCTCACGCTTCCCTGTCCTTCTCGATCATAAAAAAAATATTTCAGCGAATAGTCATATAGTGTTGCCCAAATTCAGTCTTGGTCGTGTGCTTGTATTTTTAGCAAGACGAAGACCAAGTCTGGCTAAGCTCGTCTTATTCTTGTATTCGGGCAACACTATGGTCAGATATAAGGGTCATACCATGCCCTTTATTATGTAAGATTTTGAACCTAAGATTTCTTGCGATCAACTGCTTTTAACCACTCGTCTCGAAAGCGACTAAGAATGTAAGAAATGCTTCATGGTTTCAGTTCAATTGGTATCTCGTCGGTCTACTTACTAAAGTAGTTATGAAAGGTCGCATATACCTCTATCAGCTCTAATTATTAACTGTACATAAGTCGCTTATATTAATTATACTTAGGTATGTATAACGTATGTGTATGTTTTTAAATTTTTAATTCCTTTTCAATAAAATACAGAAGTGAAAATAGGTTGCGAACTCCGAAATCCACTATGAATTATGCAATATATTTGTTAAATACTGTCTATAGTTTACGCGAGTAGTATACATTTAAATAAAACACTTTAACGGTTTAAAACGCGATATATTAGTTAAAGTTATTTAAAAATGATTTTTAACTTTGCCCCGACGTTTCGGATGCTTTGCAGCAGCCGTGGTGACGGGAAGACAGACATTTCGTCGGGCCGAAGTTAAAAATTTTCAAATAAGTTTATCTAATATATCGCGTTTTAAACCATTAAACTGTTACCTATTTAAATAACTTATTTAAATATAATTGTTTACAACCTCCTTTCCGAGTCATTAATATAAAAAGGCCACTGAATGCTCTCGACGTTTTATTTGAACTCTGATGCGCTTTTACGAGAGTCATTTCATGCAACCCTGGCTGCGACGTCATCCAAATAAAATATTTTCATTTCGCAATTACTTACTTCCACTTGCATTAAAAACGCTCGCCGAGTTACGTCAATGGTGGGCATTTGGGTGGCTGTTCGCAAACCTCGGATTTTTAATCCAGAGTTTACGATACAAGAATCTGACCTAACCTAAGGACCATGCATTTTAACATTGTAAAAGCGATAACGAATTTTAATTATGAATAAAAAAACAACTTTTGACGGTTCTAAACACAAAATGTATTAGTTACAATTTACAAATTATTTTAACTACGGCTCGTGGTCACGGGGAAACTGTTTCCTGCTGCTGCAAAGCATTCGAAACGTCGGACCTTAGTTAAAATAATTTATAGATCAGTTTAACTAATTCATTTCGGGGTTTAACCGTTTAAAAAGTTTTTTTAAAAACGTTTTTTTCTTAAGACCTCAGTTATAACATTGGATTTGTAGAACGGACATAGTAATATGTCTGCTCCATGTACAGGGCACGATACTTCAATCTACTCTATAAGGTATCTGATGCAAAGGATTATGCCCTTCTTTTCTGTTTTGGATGCTGTTTTCTTCTTTCTCACCTTACTGCACAAGTAATGTATTTATAACACAGATTTCACAATTTGCCCATTATTCATTAACCTTAAGCTTTAAAAAAAAAAAAAAAGACGCGAGCAGGACTTGAACCGGCATACACCGCGTTCCATGCTATTGCTCTAACCAATTGAGCATATCAACGCTGTTTATGTAGGTTCAAGGCCTGCCTGCGTCGTATGTTTTTTCAATATTAAGTCATTTCTTAATTTATGTAATGCCATAATATGTGAAAAATATTGAAGTATTCAATTTACCTTTTTTTAGTTTTCCAAGTGTTTTATTGATAATACTTTACTTTATCCATGGTACGGAACACTTCATTCCTTCCGTGGTAATAAACCGAGCTGATTCAATTATAAACATCTCAATTGCTCAAACCTCATCAACGGGTCATTTTGCCCCCATCTCAATTACGCAGTGACCTTTCAAATTCGTATCGCTCACGCTCCGAGCGCCTTCAGCACAAAGCTAGTAATTTAACCCTTTGAGATATCCTAAATGGTCCTTTGTGCCCTGCGAGCTAGATGTGCTCCGGTACCGTGTTGTTCTCTCGTTAGCGATTTGTAAATGTAATAACATTGTGGCTTGTTCATTTAAAGGACTAATATTTAGCATAAAACAAAAGGCTTAACGAATTTTTATATACTTAATATATATACAAAAAGACATTAGTTTTTCGTCGTATTAAGGAATTAATATAAAAATCAGGATGAATTTAATTAAAATAGCTTCGGTTTCCTGCTGATTTCGCTTGACTATTCTGTTATATTATTACATGATTTAAATTATTATAAGTAGTACTTTTTGCCAGCGGCCTATAGCTGCGCAGAAGTTAGGTTCAGCGGGCCCGCGTTTGTTCGGTGTGTCATCCCTCATATAACTACATTATTTACCACCGTAGCCGCACTGCGACTGCTTTTGATGTGCCCAAGCCATTACAGTCTGAGATTCATTATCCTGAACCACTACACTGTCTAAAAATGCCGTTTATTAGAGGGTTCGGCTTGCTTTGCTTCTTTTTAGACCTCGTAGAATCTATTGTAGAATAAATAAACTGTTTTTTTTATTAGAAAGGGCAGAGAGGCACAGTCTTTATTCGAAGGTGAAATGTGAATAATACATTTGACTTTGGACATTTACACGAAATAAAATATTGAGGCAAACTTCAAGAGTTACTAAAATATAGCGACCCCATCCAATTATCATAATGAATCGATGTCCTATCGCACCCTTTCACCTGCGATTTTTCGAGTACATGCCGTGACTCAGCGAATTAAAGTGAAAATCGATCGGTCCCTTTGACAAGGGGGCATATAACGTCTGATACAATCATCAATAACGAAGATTGGACTCCCCAGACATCCTCAAACATTCGCCCCTCCTGTGTATTTGTTACTTGGGGAAGTCTCCCAAAATAAGTGTTGTCGGGAAACTTTGAGGAAAACCAACCATGACGTTTTCTTTTAAACAAGGGACTGGAATTTCTATTACCTAAGTAATGCTTGAAAAATATATCGTTTTATTTATAGCACGCTAAATGTGAGTCTCGTAATTGTATTGTACTGTGGATGTGTCAATATTAAAGCGCCATATTGCTGTATGCGTATTTTAGCGTAATCCGAAAAGAGCTTTACGCGATGAACGATAAAGTAAACGTCACAAGTTCAAACATTTCACCTCCGATCGTATTTCAATTGTTGCCGCTCCCATCTTCTAAAAATAGCCATATTAATCAGAATATATTGGACGGAATTGATCAACGTTCGCCAATAATATGGCCACAACCTTCCGAGATTGACGTGCGATATTTATTGGGTCATGAAAATGGAGCGAAAGCAGCGGAGCTTCCTGCGATGCAATTATACATATTTTGCGATAGACGTATATCCGTGATCGATCCCGACCGAAAATTAATACGCGAGCTCTTATCAATTTCAGAAGTACGGCGTCATGCGAAGTGCGCATTTGTTATTTTACAGTAATATTAGTCTCCTTTGGTTGTCACACATCTACTGCCTATAGCGCTATACTTTGATTAACGATTTAATGTATAAGGAATTAAACCCAAAGGCTGGCAAAAGAAGTCTCCATTCTCATTTCGTAAGCCGAATCAGGCTTCGAATGATAAGTAGAGGATAGAGCGTATAGATTGCGTGGAGGCAGTGCGAGGGTTGTGCGCCGGGGGAGGTGCGCGCGCATCGGAGCGGCGGCGGGCGCGGTCGCGTGCCGGTCCGGCAGTCCGGCCGCCCCCGCAGCTAGCACCGCCCGGCGCCGTGCCGGCTCCCGCTCGGATGCCGCCGCCGGCCGCCGCTTGCGATGGTCCACGCCGGGCCGACTGTCCGCGCGCCCTCCCGCGCTATGTTCACCGCCGCTGATGCGAAACCGCGCCGCGCCGTCTCGCCACTCGGTATACCCAAGTCCCCCTCTTTCCACTCCGGCCTGGACCTGGTCGCGAGCCAGACCAAGCGCTCCGAGAGCGTGTCCGACGTAGCCCGCGCGTTTCGATTCGCGCTTTTCGGAATGGAGCCCCAGGGGCAGCAGAAGGCGCCTTCGCCGCCGGATGCGCGTTCGCCCCCGCCTCCCCCACCTGTTACGTCCGCCCCGGCGACTGCCAACACCACCGGCGGCAATGCCGCCTCGCCCGAGCGCCCCCTGCCCGCTAATGGCGACAAAGAGAGTCTCATGGTGCAGCTGCCGCTGCTGAAAGGTTCGTCCATAACGGCATTACTCCTGAACGACGCAAATGTTTATCCTCGAAGCGATCGATCCTCTTTTATCTTTGAACTTTGTGCTCCGATATCGATAGGTGCGAAGTGCGGTCTACGCCTTATGTGCGACCTTGATGCGGCTCCGTGAAGTGTACCGTAAAGAACATCTGCTAATGTCGCCACGAGTAGGCGGCTACGGAATAATATCGACCCGACGCCGACCGGTGACCGCTGCGTCTATAAATGCTTAATACACCATGGGAACTAATGAATGTTAAACATCGCCGCTAACGACGCTATTGAGCGGAAAAAAATACATCTTCATACCTGTATTATATACAACGCTTCGCTATTATTTTATTGTATTGTCTTATCGTCTCGGTTTATTCTGTAGATAAGGATTAATCACAACCGTGAACCAATTTTTTATTTGTTTAGTCTTACATCATTGCGTTGAACTGTTATCGCCTGCCATGTGTTTCGCGTTCGCAGAACAAAAATATAACTATTTTTTCACACTGCTGCAATGTTTACAATACTGTTAGGATAATATTATTATATTCATAAAGGTGTAATAATAAAGTACACGAAATGTTACCGTCTTCAAATACAATGTCTGCAAGTTAAAGAGGAATAAATCTAATTTTAAATTAAGTCCTGGAGTCTAGAGCCTTCCACTCATACATACACATATACAAATGTTATGTGTCCATGTGTGCTGTATAGATATCTTACCCACATTTAGTTGAACAGTTCAATAACGCTACCTCCCGACGGACCGATAACTAACTTCCAATGCCGAGTTTAGACCGACATTGAAAATTTAATTTCCCGACGTGCCTCTGCTGGAAGTAAGACTTTCCCATTCCTCATTTGCTCTATTTTATTTGTATTCTCTTCGGGTTCTCTGCGGTGCTAACTTGACAGCTTGCCTTGACTGTATTATTTAAATAAAACACTTTATCGGCTTAAAAGGTGAAATACACTTACTAACGTCGACGTGATTAAATAAATTGTAATCCGTTCTACTACCACTGAGATTTAAACCATTAAAAATGTTTTATTTAATGTGTACTATAGACAATACTTAATTACCAGTGTCAGAGTTTACTATCACTACTCGAAACTTAACGAAAATTATATTCTATTATAATATTTAGATTCGACTTTTTCGTCTTGTCTTGTCTTTTTTTCTTTGCAAATTAAAAATCATATTAACATCTCACGAAAACGGAGACCAAATAGATTAAATTATTACATTTTATGTTTAGATTCTAATGTAAAGTTTTACTTAACGACAAAAAATTATATTTCTTAATTTTTAATTAATTATGAAAGTCATCAATCTACCTCATTCTCATTTTTAAATAAGTACTTTACCTGGATAAACAGACTGGAAAACGAAAAGAAACGGATCATTTTAAATTCATTTAAGAAACAAAGAACTCAGCTGACACATCACCACTTAAAAGAGTGCCGGTAAACTGCTGGTTTTAGTGCCCAGTAAGATGTGGCAGTCAAACTACCTACAACCTATAACTGACAAATGTTGTGTTGTACTTTCCTCAAGGTTTAATGGGCTCCTTAGTGTCATTATGAGTCATACGGGTAGGGGGGTTCGTTCCCCACCGGGTCTACAATTTCTCTAATCAATTTGAAATTCAAAGCCAAAATAGGTGGCTGTCTATCTTGTTGAGATGGTATGGCTGAGGTGTCACCTACCATCAAGTGAACCATGTCCTCCTCTATCATAAAAAAAGATCTTAGACCTCGTCTCCCTTCCACAGATGCGCCGGCGGCGGAGCGCGAACAGTTGTTCGTGCAGAAGTTGCGGCAGTGCTGCCTCCTCTTCGATTTCGCCGACGAGCCCCTCTCCGACCTCAAGTGGAAGGAGGTGAAGAGGGCCGCGCTGCTGGAGATGGTCGAGTATGTGACGTCACAGCGCGGAGTCATCACCGAGGCTATTTACCCGGAAGCTGTTAATATGGTAAGGCAGGAACTTTTATTAAATAGTGAAATCCTGACCCGTGGAGCATAGGGGCGAACATACATCTGTGTCCGTTTCACGGATCGGTTTTTTTACAGGCAATAATTGATGAGATTAATGTGTCTTGCCGGATCGAAACAATCTATTGTTTCCCCGGTATCCAAACCCAGGACCACTGATAACTCAATGCTAGGCGACAGGTTTCACCATTTAGCTATAGAGCCGGTCTCAAACTCATTATCTGTCCTTTCGTCGCAGTCGGGTACTAAATGCACAAGTGGGTCAATACAAAGACAGTGGGCAAACAATACTTCCTATTACATTTGTAGGTGTCCCCCTTATTGTCAAGTCCAGTACAGTAAGATCCACTCGATATTGCCGAGTCGCTATTGAACCACTACAAGCTTATTCAATGTGAGGGATGGAAATTAAATGCCGCCTCCATTTCTAGGCCATTTGGAATGTCAAGGCTTTTATCATTTACTCATTAAGCCTGTCTTTCGCTCCGTACTTCCGCGACTTTTATTCGCTTCAGTGTTTGCACGTGTTACTGCTTTCTAGCGGTACAATTTTAAATAAATATAGAATCAATATAAAACACCTTTGTTTTTGATGATTTGAACACAGATACATTTTTACTACGTTCGGGATGTTTTGCAGCAGTCGTGGTCACGGAAGGGAACCGCTTTTTTTAAAGTTTAAAAGTTTTATTTCAAGTGTGTCCCACTCCTGACTATACAAAATACATAAATAACATTAAAACGCAAAGATAATTTTACTGGTTTGTTAAGGTCTTCCCCCGGTCAAGATGTCGAAAAAACAAAAAAAGGATATATATATGTCTGTGGTTAACGCGAGAGTAGTACACATTTAAATAAAACACTTTAACGGTTTAAAACGCGATATATTTCAGTTAAACTTGTTTAAAAATTATTTTTAACTACCGCCCAACATTTTTTACTTTTAAATCAGAGACATCCTCCATCTATAGTCTCCCCGTGACCACGGCTGCTGCAAAGCATCCGAAACGTCGGAAAGTCTAATCAAATTAGTCCTTGACTGCGCGGGAATGGCAATAGTTATCAAAAGAATTTTTTTAGAGCCGCTGATGATCCACAATTTTAGCCTGAACTACTTTACTGTATAACTCATCGTCAAGCTGAAAAAGTTGGGGACTTCTAATAAACACACAAATCGTATTCTGAACATTCACATATTTTTAGCCCTATGGGAATTGATGTAAGCTTCGAAGTCTAATTTTGACTGGACTAACACTGATATCAGAACTCATTGAAATAAATTATGCAACGACTTCAAACGGGGTTAATACTTGTAACCTTTTTGCAAGTTATAGAAAGTGCGAACAGGCCAGGGCAATAAGTTGTCGCATTGCGATTAAATGTACATTAACCTTCAGCACTGCCTGCGTGTGCTGGAAAATTGCTTTTCAACTAGCACATCGTGTAAAGTGTTATTTTTCTTTTTGACGGTGGCATATCATCTTATGAAATTGCCAATATTTTCCTTCTTGTAGATAGTAAATTTAGGACGATCTTTTTGATTTTGTTGTTTTTTTCACACTCGATAGTATTTTTATTAGTAATTGCATTCTATATTATTTTATGTTAGCAGGTGATCCATAAAGAAACTGCTGTGCAGATTTCATGTTCCACTTGAAGGAAAAATAAATAATAAACAAACATATTTGTCGAAAATGAAATTAATAATGCCCGTTCTAAGCAACCTGAATAGCATCATCATCATTAACAAGATGGGCTGTCGGCCTATTCTGGCTCCAGAGTTTCGGATTCTCACGATAAACTAAACACGTAAAACTTCTCGGCTTGTCTAGCTGTACTGTGTAAATTCACAATTTAACAAGTGCAATACGACCCCAAATATTATTTATGTCAGTTGTGGCCTAATGCAGTATTAAGTACACTTTATTTTTAATATTATTTGTTCCCAGTTCGCGATCAACTTATTCCGAACTTTACCGCCATCTTCAAATCCTAATGGAGCTGAATTTGATCCGGAAGAAGATGAACCGACACTCGAAGCAGCGTGGCCACACCTGCAGCTAGTGTACGAGCTGTTCCTTCGTCTCCTGGAGTCGCCAGATTTCCATCCAAACATTGCCAAGAAGTATATTGACCAGAAATTCGTTTTACAGGTAAAAAATTATAAAAAAAACTATCGTGTATTTAAAATTGTATCGCTAGAAACGGGAAAAAAGTAGGACTTATTAAGTAACAAGAATGTTATAATAGAATTAATTCTCCTTAAACAATTTTAAAACGCTACCTATCTCTTTCTTTTTCACGATTTTGTATTGATATAAGGCATCATATTAGAGAAAGAGATGTAGAAATTACTGTCTATTTGTAACTTTGTCAATACTTTTGTGTTTAATGATAAAATATACCTTATTGCCACACATTTCAAGTTAAGAGGACTGTGAATAGTACAGATATTTGGTTTCTTACGGGATAAGGGTATTACTGGTTGTAAATCACCCAGGTCGTAACATCAGGCCTTAACTGGGCACGCATCCCTTAATTAATGAAGATTAATTGTGCTCAATAGAAACACCGCAGGGTCCCAAGGAAGTCAATTACTGTTAAATACAGTATTTCTGGCGAAAACAGCGATATGTGCATATATAATATAATATAAAGTATATAATGAGATGTTGAAACATATTCATTTATTTTTAATTGAAAAATTCGACGTTGGGGCGAGAGTCGAGCCTGTTATGTTCTGAACGAATTAGGCTATCTTTTTTTAATGTAAAGTAAATTTTTGAAGCTATAAAATACTATGCTATGTATTTTATTTTAATAAAGACATTGAGACATTTGTTTTTAAAACACAAATATGTTATCTCATTCCCAAAAATACAGTATATTTTTCCACTTGGAAAATAATTAGGTAACTTTTAAGAAAACCTTGTCGCGACAACAATGTTTTTCTTAGACTCGAGAAATGCTTATTTTTCATTGAAATGAAAGGGTAGCTTTCTTTGTTAAGAAAACGGAGTTATATATTTTCTTATTAAATTCAGAAGCTGCGTAGTACATTGGTCGTTATGTTTTATGAGTTAGCGACGCCGATGCGACGCCTATTTTCAAGACAAATATTTCTCTTCATTGGAAATTTCATGACTTGAATATTATTTGATGGCGGGCTGATTCTGATCAATATATTCTATGAATTGTATAAAATAATTTTACAAAGTTTTGTTTTGCTTGTAAGCAAAAATACTAAATTAGTCGAACCTTTAAGTTTAACTGTATATATCAGCACATTGCAACAAGATTTGGCAAAATATTTAACTCAGGGTTGACGCAAAACAATGCATTCAAGTAATTATTTAAAAAGTATTGTCTGTTCGTCTGTGACCACGGCTGCTGCAATTGCATATAACTTAACTAATTTGTAGCCCGTTTTAAACCGTTATAAGTGTTTTAAACTATTCAAGAAGTAGAAGTATTTTTTTTTTCATCTATACAAACCTGTCAACTATTTATAATTGCCCCACTAGATTTTTTGTCTATAGCTTCAACTAGTTATTGTCTTTAAAATTTAAACATCGTCTGCACATCAAAGCTTTAGCTCGCCATATACGTATAATAAAATGCTCTCTGTCCACAGTTATTAGAGTTGTTCGATACAGAAGATCCGCGCGAGCGCGACTTCCTCAAGACGACGTTACATAGGATATACGGAAAGTTCCTCGTTCTACGCGCTTATATACGAAAACAGATCAACAACGTGTTCTACAGGTGAGTGAAGACGTATAATGCCAAGACACCTTTCTTGAGGTCCAAGTTCGCCTGGGTCGGGTGCTTTGTGTTTTTATTATCTATGTGTTTTTGAAAACAGAGTGAGAGAGTCTATCCAAAATAATAAAACGTTTTTAATAGAAAGCCAAGTACTTCCTTGTCCAGTCTCCCCGTGACCACGGCTTCTGGAAAGCATCCGAAACGTCGGGCCGAAGTTAAAAATCATTTTTAAATAAGTTTAACTAATATATCGCGTTTTAAACCGTTAAAGTGTTTTATTTAAATGTGTAGTACTCGCGTAAACTATAGACAGTATTTAAGCCAAGTACTTATAAATTAAAACGTATTTATTGTTCCTTCTTGTTAAATTTAATCTCGAGTAATTGGTTGTCTATGGAATAATTAATCCAGTTATTTACCTTCGATTAAAAATAGAAATAAAACTTGGCGATAAAAGGAGTGGCGGCGAGTTTCTTGCCAGTTCTTCTCGTTCGTGTAAACTTAATGTACATTTGAAGTCTTTAGTTTTTAACGTGTGACGTTCATGAGTGTACCTCGTGAATAAATACTTTTAACTTCGACTATCACGTATGTTATACAGTTGAAGATTGATATCAAATGTCCCTTGCTCAAAGTAATTGACTTTACGACACGGCCATAACCGCTCTCCGTGCCGCGCCCGCTTAATGCAAATACATTTGTATAATTAATGCCGATTTAGATCTAGGCAATGTAAAAAGTATTAACATGTAAATGTGTGAAACAGTAATAGTAGTCGGAGGTTAGGGTTCGAGGTTGGTGTCACGGTCGGTGACGTCACTGTCGCAAAGAATGCGTATAGAAATAGTGGTTCTCCATTTATGGCAATTAGCAAAGAAAATACAAATCTTTCTGTTCGTCTGTATGTCACACAGACCTAATGGAACTTTGATCTTTTGTTAAGGCATAGAATTCTACTTGTGACCAAAGCTATATTACGGGTCTTTATGTCTTAGTTATACTTACCTATACCTCTTATTCGTGTTATAAATCTCAATTGCTCTATTTGTCTATGTGTCACACAGATCACACAGTCTGATAATCTTTGAAACTATAAACGTAACTGTGTGACTAAAATTTTACAGATTTTTTTATTAATCTTCTCTATGTCTGGTGTTAAAGGTTTATATACGAAACGGAGCACCACAATGGAATAGCGGAGCTGCTAGAGATCCTCGGCTCGATCATCAACGGGTTCGCGTTGCCACTCAAGGAGGAGCACAAGCAGTTCTTACTTAGGGTGGGTTTGGATTTTATCTCTTTCCCCCTCCGTCATTTATTTTTAATTAGTCGAGAGCGTTGGTGCAATAATTGGCTGATTATCGTTTCGTGTTTTTACGTTTTTATTTTTTACAGGTTCTACTTCCCCTGCACAAGGTGAAATCTCTTTCGGTCTATCACCCGCAGCTGGCTTACTGCGTCGTTCAATTCCTAGAGAAGGACCCGTCGCTCACGCAGCCCGTGGTTAGGTAAGAAAATTAACTAGAGGCACGCCCAGTTTCCATAGTCACACTAGGCCAAAGTTACCCTTTATTTTTTCGTTGTTTTCTCTAATATTTTTTGGAAACCATTATTCTTTTGGTTAAAATACTTACTTTCCCGAGTCGATTTGACCAGTCTACTTGTGGCCCAGAATGGGAACTGAAGTTAAAACGCTGTTAAATTCAGTTAATTAACCGAGTTGACACTTCAATCATATCTTTTAGAGCTCTGCTGAAGTACTGGCCAAAGACGCATTCTCCCAAGGAGGTGATGTTCCTAAACGAGATGGAAGAAATTTTGGACGTCATCGAACCGGCAGAGTTCCAGAAGATCATGGACCCGCTATTTAGGCAACTGGCCAAGTGCGTGTCGAGCCCACACTTCCAGGTGTGTTGTAACATTTATGATTAATGAGCATCTAAATCATTCCAGAAGAAAAGTCCAACATGTGTCAATAAAATAATAAATTGATTAAAAACACGTTGGATCGTAATCGAACCGGACCCGTTGATTGTTAGGCTTACATTGCTACGACCAATGACACGTCTTTGCGTTAACACAGGTCGCGGAGAGAGCTCTGTACTATTGGAACAACGAGTACATAATGTCCCTGATATCTGACAACGCGACGCATATCTTGCCCATCATGCTCCCTTCGATCTACCGCAACACTAAGAGCCACTGGAACAAGACGATCCATGGTCTGGTGTACAACGCGCTCAAACTCTTCATGGAGATGAACCAGAAGTTGTTTGACGAGTGTACGCAGCAGTTTAAACAGGAGAAGCAGAAGTAAGTAGTTGGCGGTTATATAGACACATTACTCTTCCTTCCATTACGGAACAACCGAAACAACCCAATAGAATGTTCTCTTTCCCCCAATCCCCTACAAAGAACAGGGACAGAAAATGCCGAGCTGATAAAAATGATGCCTTTCTATAAACGTAGTGTTGTCCTGCTAATCATGCGCCATTCCCTTTTTCCTTATTTCATTGTATAATGTATCTTTCCATTTTTGTCTGTATTATGGTATGAAAAGATACATTTCTCAGGGTATATAGAATTATGTAACGTGTAAAGTAGGTCTTGTTACTTTGTTCTTTCGTTATTTTTATTTTTCAATTACACTTCCATGTTATATACGTTGAAATTCTACTAATAGAAGACACTTTCGCAAAACTTAGCTACGTATAGTTACCCTTTATGAAATGTGGTGAAGAACACATATTATATCCGCATTTTTACTAAGAGAAATAACCTTTTAGGGAAATGGAGCGTCTCCAACAGCGAGAAGAGCTGTGGCAGCGGCTGGAGGCTGTAGCAGCTGCAAATCCAGCCAGCAGGCTCGTGGAGAGCGAAGAACCCAATCGACAGGAACAGAATGAGGTGAAAAAACGCTATTCCTTTATTCATATTTCGATTTCTTTAAACTGACTTTAAAATGTGTGTTAATTATAATTAATTCCGGCCTCAAATTGAATGTCGATAACATTGTTTCCAGACGCGAAAGAATCATAACGCGAACAAGCCACTCCTGCGCAAGAAATCCGACCTGCCGAGCGACGCGTCCACTGTGAAGGCTCTAATCGAGCACAAGCGGGCCGACCCTTACCTGACAACCCCGCCGGACGCGGACAAATGCTAGCGGGGACCGATCCCCAAACGGGGCCAAACGCCCGACCTCGGACTGATAGTGCCCAAAACGGAACATTCCGCATAGTGAAGTGTTATGTGGCGATTTTAATCCCTACCCCTACTTATGACTCACGACCTAAATTTGCAACAACGGTGCAAGTGACATCGGTGCTTAGAGGTCAAATGTGGACGGTTTTGTGTTGGTACCTCTTTGTGTGCACGCTTCCGACGTTGAACGCTCATATGGGGGTAGAATCAAACTACTTAGTTTCATGGTTTTGCAATAAACAAAGATAGTTTTATTAAAGGTGAATTTTATTGATTAAATAAATAAGTTATTATTAGTTCAATCAGATTTATTAATTTCAAATGTTGGCCTATTATTAACAATTCGGATCAATACCTTTCTATCGTTGCAGAATAACGAGGTAAAATTAAAAAAAATTAAATGGCAATAGATTCGGATTTGCTATGGATTCTATGCTATGCCAAATTGAACCTTATTATATAGGAGTTTCTAATGATTACAAATATGCCTTCTTGCACTAAACGTCGGAAGCGTGCCCACTTCAGACAGTGCAACACGGGATGGTATGACGTCACACTTCTCGGACACGACAATAAGGCGAATGGGACGCTAAGTTTTCTATACGAGTAATCAATTGTTGCTAAATTTTATACAATAAAGAAGCTTTATCTACAAATGTGCGTTAATTTATTATATTTTATTTTAGATGTACACAATAGAATCACGATTTATTTACAATGGCGACACGAGTCTGAGATTTCATGTTCATCATGTTTGCACTAAGCACAGTACAAATACTTGTAGATCAATATAGTGATAACATTTCTTCAGTTATTGCGATAGAAAATTCGCGGATTATGCAATAAGGCATTGTGAAAAGTGTTTGTCTGTTCATTTTTTATCATTACTATATATAATTTGGTCTATTATTATCATATTTACACTGTTTTTAGTTGAATTATTATAAAAAATATTTCTGTCGACGGAACAACTGAATTTTGTGAAATGTATACATGGTGTTATTTCTTTTAAAGTATTGAACAACTAAAGTTAGTGCCAATATTTAGATCTGGTTATGTCAAGATGGTATGATTTATTTTTATTATCTGATCATTATGTGAGTATCTTTAAAATTTTATTCGTTGACGCATTTAACAAAATATAAGTGTGAAAAGCTAATGAGATTAAGTAATTTAGTTGGTTTAATTTTAATTAATGTAAACATAATATAAAAATAGATTTAAATTACTACGATAATCACACGTAAATATAGTTATTGCAAATATTTATTGTTGTAGATAATATTTGAAAGGTGTTTATTGATGCTTTTAAAAATCCTACTTTGCACAAATATTTTATTTTTCCTGACATTATTATGGTACAATATATTGAATTATTTACGTATTCAGTTACTATAGAAGCGCCAATAAACGTCTGTATTCAAAAGAAACGGTAGAGAAATGCAAGTACTACTACTAGGGGGGCAATTCTTACTAAAGTGATTATAAGTTTGCATCGACGAAGTGTCATACAAATCGGATACAACTTGCTAAGTTGACGTTATTTTATCATTTAGTTACTTCCTTCTTAGGTTAGGTTTTATTTTAAAATGTTTATAACAAGTAAAATTGTATTGCGTTTAATATAATTTTAAATTATAGTTATCTTCAAAATTGTATATATTAAGGACGAATGCCCATTCCAACAAACACCACCTTCAAAATATTTTATCCAGCAAAAGGTTAATTAGAAAGAAACCCATAGTAAGTAGACCATATAAATATAAGATATACATTTTAAACTATTGCTGATGTCCGTTTTCAGCCTCGGTCATTACGAAGAGTGGGCATTCCTCTCACATCTGTGCCGGTTACTTGTATATCTCTCCGTGATTGTACACGTTTTCAAAAACCGTGGCTTTTCACCGATTTCCATAGGTTCCCAAGAAGCGGCGGTTGTTGAAATCTCACTACATCTGAGCCGTACACATGAAGTGCGTAATTTCGAGTCTGATCTTGTGTAATGCCTATTTTCTCATTTTCTATGTACTCGTATACACTTGGACTAATGACTGTATAGATTTGCTACACTTACTTTAGCTTCACTCTACTCTAAGGGCTTCTAGTATATGAAATTGTCCAAATAGCAACTAATTCACTGTGTAATTGTGAAATTGCGAATCCGCTCGCGTATATAACATCGAGGGTATTCTTTTAGACGAGAACGTTCGCAATATTACAAAAGTAGTGACGTAATATAATGGTTAGAAAGAGACGGACGTCGGAAGGCACCTGAATATCAGAGCCCAGTGACTACTTTATTGTTATTCGTATTTTTACATGTAAATCGAACTCACCGCGCGACCGTACCCGGCCAAAGAGCTGTGGCGGGTGTGAGCGCTTCCGGAAAGCGGTTTTGTATGAATTTAAGCGGGCGCGTACAGTCGCGCGGTGACAGTGTGGTGTGCGAGTGAATGGACTGAATCACGATAGCGATAATTTGCAACGCTGTTTAACAAATTTTTGTATAAATATTTATAACGATAATGTAACTGTTGAAAACAAAGTATTGTAACAAATGACATATTATAAGGTGCTTATGATTATCGTTATAATACTACGTTGTGCATATACTCTGTAGTTTTCTTCTGAAAGTAATATTCCGCCATTTGGGACCTGGGGCGGGCCCGTTTGGTCGTAATCTTGTCTTACGACAAACCAAGGTATACTCTTATAAAATTAACAACACCTCTTATAGCTCTAGAGATCAAATAATAAGAAAACAATCAATTTATATAACTCAATTTAATTGCTGTAATATATTTCATAAATACTAAAAGATCTTCCCTTAATACATACATTTACAATTTATACACATAATTCTGTTATTTGATTTTATGTTTAATATTTTGCATATATTTATTTACATTTTATACATAACGCCACTAAAAAAGATAAAAAATATTAATGTTTAATTTTAAAAACATAAACAGCAATTTGGTTATGTAGTTCAAAATCTGATGTTTAAAAATATAATGCACATACTCAAAAATGCTATGTTTAAGAATAACATATATAAATAAGGAATTTTGAACCAAGAGTTGACATAAAAAATGTCATGTCATTTCATTTGTGACTTGACTGAACCTTTTAATGTCCATACATAAATGATATTACACTACAATAAAATATAGCATAATGCGAATTAATAAATAATATAAATTTGAAATACAACAAATCACTAGCCGAAAAGCATATTTTTTTTAGGCCTAACCAGAGAAAAGCACGGAAGTGATCAACATACAAGGTGCTGTATTCAGACTTATCACATGAATTAGAATAGAATGTGACTCGATAGTTTCCAAGCATGTTGCAAATTTTCATTAAAATCGGCCGAGGAGTTTAGGCGCATACTTTCTTTACAAGGAGTAAAATGTGCTGTTTAAATTGTGGTAAGTCTGACTCCGCATACTTTGATAAAAAAAAATACAGAAAGTGCCTTATACTATTATCCTTTACTAATAAAAATTGTGAAGCTTATAAAATGACATCAAAAACGTTTTTATGTCTTAATACTGTCTATAGTTTACGCGAGTAGTACACATTTAAATATAACACTTTTACGGTTTACAGCAGCCGTCTCCCCGCTGCTGCAAAGTCTTGCAAGACCACATATTCTAGTCTATAAAAAGGACACAAGTTGATCTAGTTACTGAGTGAACACTATAATCTCACAATTTTTATTAGTAACGACAAATTACACAGAGAGATCTAAAAACTTCATTTATATAATAATTTTTATATATTATGTTTATTTTTCATTGGTTCGACTATACCGATTCTTACTGTCATAAGAAATAGTTTCTCTTTAGACACATTTGTGTCTCGTTTCTCAACCGAAAAATACTTTCCCCTGGATTTGAACACAGACCATCTCGTGCTTATTCTACAGGGACAATTGAAATTACCTGAATCTAGTCGGACGAAATACAAACGAGCAATACCTGTTATTGTAACGAAATTCGGTATTTGGTTAATACCATTTAGTCAATACAATACATGGATTACTTTGATAAAGACAAAGGCAGTCATGGTGGAACACTGCATGTAGGACAACTTATAGAACAGTTCTTGCATGTGCTTTGCCTACATTTTATATATTCAGGTGCCGACTGCCCTAAACAAGTAATTTAACTAACTAAATTTTCACTTTGTTAAAAAATAATAATTAACATAAAGGAAACATACCTTGTTATTCGTTAAACTATTTTTACTTAATTATAAATCATATAAACTTTTGGAAAAGTTCGTTGCTTATATAGTCACAATGAAACTATCTCTTTCAAACGAATTTACATCTCTTTCCAACGAATATGAACGAGAATATCCTCTCTTTCTGACTTGTACGTCAGAGAAGGACAGCGGTAGAGTCCACATTCTTCTAGGACAGCGGCATGATCTAGCACCACTTATTTCTTCCTGGTAGATAATTGATGTTTAAGATGTTCTATGGTGTCGTGCTGCGAGGCGATTTGATCGTTCAAGGCGGCCACGTGTTCCGTCAGCAACGACATCTGTTGTTCGTAGTTGTGAGACGTCGACTGCAGCTCTTCTTCCTACAGTTTTAATATTTATATCAAAATACACTTCCATTCAATAAAAAGATAGAATATTCTTTCTTAAACAGAAGTTATGTATCTATAACTTAAACAATTAAATCAAGAAGAAATATTAATCTAGGTCCCAGAAACATATTAATAAAAAATTAATCGCTTTGAAACAACAACAACTTATACTAATCAGAATATCTTACTCCAGTCAAAATAAACGTAATTTAAGTAAATCCGATTATATCACATATTTCTCATTGGTCTAGTTGTGGTGCAGCATTGACTTACCAGTCTACTAATAGTGTCGTGTTTGACCTGTATCGTGTTGTCGTCTGTCTCTTTCTCGCGCTCCATTTCGTCAAAGCGAAGACGTAACATTTCGCACTACAAAACATAAAGACGTTACAATAAAAATATACAAAAAATAACTAAGTATTTTAAAGTTTGAAAATATCTATGATACTGGGGAAATAGGCTACTTTCCTTATTCGATTTTAGTAAAAAACTCTTGGATACAAACCTAGGATCTTTCTCTACCTGCCAAGGAGGTAAATGGGCGATGCGACTATAAGTAATAATAGTATTCTATTAACAAAATATATTGACTGACCTCCTTAACACAGTGTTCGGCATTGCTGAGCAATTCATCCCGTTCAGAACTAAGTGCTGTGATTTTATTGCGAAAATAACCCACAAGTCTTTCTTCACGTTGCTGTACTTCGCTGCTGAGCTGGAAAGGAACTTCTAGGCTACCCAGAAGTCCAGTAACACGGCCTTCACCATCTGCAAATGAATTGCCACCCTCTTATTCCTACAGTTAGGATTGTCATGCCTGTTTTAATTAGTTAAAGGGTATAGTTAAAAAAATATACATTGGTTTTTTATTATGAACTACCAAATAATATATTATCGAAAGAGATGCAAAAATATGTTTGCAACCCTTCCTAATAATATAATGGCTTGTAAGATGTAGGATTTAAATACACATATATTTTTTTCTTATTTGCTTACCAATGGATGTCTCACTAAATGTATTAAAGTCTCCAGAGTCATGAGCATCAGTTCTTCTCTTCTGCGCTGCAGATACATGCTTACTGATCTCCAATTTTAGACTTTCATTCTCCATTTCCAGGAGGCCATACTCCATACGCAGCTTTTGCGTTTCCTACCATTTAACAAATGACATGACAATGACAAAGAGAAACAAAGGACATTTAGTAGAATTAAAATTTACCAAACATAAGTATTTCTTTCCATCTAACTAATACTTTTTTACTCTATACACTTCTGTTACTAAAAACTATTATTGACATAATTATCTTCTTTGATACTTACTAGTTCCAGATTATGTAACTTGGTGCCGAGCTGCTCATTTAGTGGTAAATCATCAACGGAGCTGAGTGCGTCTTCACTGCCTATCTATAAAAAAAAGTTAAAATATAAGTTTTTACTTATGAGTTTTTACTCAGCACTTTACAAAGTACTATCAAAAATCTCAAAGCCTTATTAAGTCTAAGTTTATTATTAGCATACACAAAAATGATGTAATTCTGTAATTAACACAATACTTACTAAACTTCCTCCCTCTGACAAGAAATCACCATTACAGCTGACCTGGCTCCCGACTTGTACCTTCAATGTGCCTCTATCCTTCTGTGCCTCTTCTAGAGCAAACTGAAGTTCCTGATTTCTATTCTTTAGTTTAGCTATTTCACATTTATATCTACTCTCACTTTCAGTCATATGACGATTACAGTCCTCTATGGTTGCCTTCAACTGAGATATCTCAAAAACTTTGTCCGATAGCTACGGAAAAATTAAATTTACGGTATGATTATTCTTAATTTATGGTAATAAAACATAAGTTCTACATCATACATATAGACTAACTTGGCAAATTGAGGCAATGTTACAATTTAATTTTACCACAACATAAATCTCAGGTACCTGTGATGCATATTGGGCATTTTCAAGTATTTTCTTCTGCAGTTCCTCTTGTAAGATTCCAGGATCTAAGGCTGCACTGCTTGCACTGGTTGAAGGTTTATCATCTTTCCTCTTCTCCTTTTTTGTTCCTTTGCTCTGAAAAATAAGATTCCAGTTAGACTAAAATCAAGTCATGATTTTAAAGTAGCAGATGCCAAACATTTACTAGATTTTCAGTAAATATAAGTTAATTCTAGTAATATCTACTTAACTATATATTACAGCTATAGTATAAATATATTAACTTCAGATTGACAAGAGATAAGAAAGTAGGTAATTAGTGATGTAAAAATAAGAGTAGTTACAAACCTGGGTCTGTTCAATTTCTTCCTGAAGCACAGACACGCGTCGAGTTAGTTGTTGATTCCTAAAACTTAGAGAATCTATCTCTAGTTCGCCTTTTCGCAATGACTTCTCTTTTTCCCTTAACAAATCCCTTAGTTCATTTGACTTTGCCTGCTCGTCCAATACTCCTTTTTTTAACACCTTCACATGAACCCTTAGCTGCAAACGGAAACAATACATTTATCCAAATAGCCGACAATGCAACAATATATCTCCCATAGCAAAATTACCTTTGAATATTCTGCTGCTAACTTTTGATATTTTGCCTGAATGTCACCTGAAGGCAAACCTTCCATTGCTATTTTTTATGTGTACATCACAAATTTTCCGGAAAATTTACCATTATTTAAGTAAGGATAAACTATTTGTTCACTATGAGATGATAAAGAAAATATGTTTTCAGATTTGAGTTTGTCTATATTGTTCGTTGACGTTAGACACCCACTTTCCCAATTTTTGTCAAATTTGACAATTGACATGAATGCGCCATATTATCTAATTTAATAAAAAAAATCTTAAGATAGTCATTAGTCATTAGAATAATTAATGCCAAGATATTTGATTACTCTTTATACAGTACACTCAATAGAGAAAAGTCGTAATAATGATTCTATTTAAATAATTGAAAATTGTATAGGTGCTTTAAAAATTACTTAGCAGTTGGCAAAAACTTTCTATGGTATTGTATATTCTGTAGATTTGAAAATTTTTTGTTAGCAACATTTTTTTGTTGATGTGTCGTGATTATCTGATCAAAAATATCAATATTTTGTATTTTATGAAAGAAAACTAATGAAAACAAACTCTAATAGTAATTTTTTTTAGTAATATTCATAAGTCAACATTCAAAAACAGGGTCATGGACGACAGGTAAGGTTCTGACCCATAAAATGGTTTTCTATCACAACACAGTCAGAACAAAGTAAGTTATGATGAATTATCCACAGGAACATGGATTCCAGCAGCTCTACAATCACTGATGTCGCAACGAAGCATCCCAAAAGTATAATACACATTGATATTGACTGTTTCTATGCTCAAGTAGAAATGTTACGGAAACCAGAATTACGCTCAGAACCCCTTGGGATCCAACAGAAAAATATCGTCGTAACCAGTAATTATGAAGCCAGAAAATGCGGTATCAAAAAATGTATGCTCGTCAGTGAAGCCCTAAAAAGTTGTCCTAATCTTAAGTTAGTGAATGGTGAAGATTTACATGATTACAGAGCTTCTTCTAACAAAATTTTTACACTATTGCAACACTGGAAGAGTCCTGTAGAGAAATTGGGAATGGATGAGAATTTTATAGATGTCACAAATTTGATTCAAGAGAAAATAAAAAGTACAAATTTAAGCAACATTAAATTCACAGGTCATTTATACCGTGAACCAGAAACGGAATGTCCTTGTGGATGTCACACAAGACTGAAAATAGCATCACAATTAGCTAGTGAAATACGTCAAAAAATATTTGATGAATTAGGTTTTACTACTTGCGCAGGCATCGCACACAATAAATTACTAGCTAAGCTTATATGTCCTTTACACAAACCCAATGAGCAGACCCTGATATATCCTGAGCATGGGGAAGAATTCATGTCCACCTTTCAGAGTGTTCGTGCTATTCCAAGTATAGGCTCCAAGACCACAGAAACTCTTATATCACAAAATATCATTTCAGTAAGTGACTTACAGCAAGTAGCAGTCGATGTTCTAAAAAAGCACTTCAGTAGTGATATGGCTGTTAGATTAAAGAACTTATGTTTCGGTGAAGATAATACTCCAGTAAAACAAACTGGCAGACCACAGAGTATAGGCCTTGAAGACAGTTTTAAAACAGTAAGCGTAAGAAGCGAAGTTGAAGAAAAGTTTTCAGCACTATTACAAAGATTGTTGATGTTAGTTCGAGAGGATGGCCGAATTCCTGTTTCATTAAGAGTTACATTAAGAAAGAAAGATGTCAAGAGGCTTAGTAGTCACAGAGAATCGAGGCAATGTCAGATCTCATCATCAATTTTTACAGTGAACGGTGGTGTAATAACAATTACAGAGGCTGGACAGCAGAAATTGATGACTATAATAATGAGATTATTTAATAAACTTATTGACTTATCTAAACCATTCCATTTGACATTAGTTGGGTTGGCCTTTACAAAGTTTCAAGAGAGGATGACTGGAAGAAGTTCAATTGTTAATTACCTCATGAATGACTTATCTGTACAGTCAGTTCTTAATATTCAGAATGATTGTGATACATCTGCTTCCTCCATGGACTATTCAGCTGTGTCACCAAGCAGTAGCACCACTACAGATCTCTCTGATGGAGAAGTAGAACCCTCTCCAAAAAAACCTAAAAAAGTTAATTGGATAGCGAAAAGACGATGTTTATCGAGAGAAGATGTCGCATCGCCCAGTAAACTGAAAGTGGGGGAGTTAAGATTAAATTCAAAGGAACTTGAGAAAGTGTCCGAATTAAGACTGAACTCGCGGGATCGCTCGTTAACACCTCGAGCTAGTCCTGCAAAGGATAACATGTCAGATACATCTGACAACATGAAGGACATAGCGGAAGGTGGCAATTGTGATGAATGTCCGAGTTACGTCGATAAAGACGTATTTAATGCACTGCCCGAAGAAATGCAGCAAGAGCTGAAGTCCATGTGGAAGAATCCAGCCAATTCAGAACTGCCCAGAACTAGCACTAGGAACATGAACAAATCAAAGCCCAACTCAATATTGAAGTATTTCGTTCCACAAAAATAGTAATTAAAATAATTTGCCTTGTTATTTTACGTGATAAGTGATGGTTTCTATTTTTTCAAATCATACAATTTTATTAATCTGATCAAATACATGTTTATGTTATTAAAATACTGTTTTTATTCAACACCATTCAAAAAAATCCAAGGTTTATAACTGGGCATATCATTTAATATCTATATTCTTTACAGCTTCTGTAGTCATAGAAGTTAATTCTGTTAACTTGTGCACATTATTTACATTTATATGTAGTGATTCTGCTAACTTAGTATAATACATAACATCGACGTTCAGTTGTAATCGTATTTTATCACCATCCGTCACTCCGGCGGATTCATTGCTTGGCTGTGATGATCGTTCTCTAATTTGTTTCAGTCTCCTCAAAGATTCCTCGGTCTTTTGAACAGATGTAAGTACATCCTCAACATATTTACAATAGCTAAAAGGCAAAAGTAAATAAATATATGGCATTTATTCATATTATTAACAAATGATTATATTACTATACGTACGATAGTGTCATAATATTATATAAAGATTCAAATATATCAATCAAAAATGCATTATCCAGTCTTTTTGAATCTGTTTTAAAATCTTCAACAACTTTAACTATGACATCAATATAAGAGCATGGTTTTGTAGGTACACTCCGGTTGGTCTTTCTGTACAATCTTGGTATGTCACTGACTTGTTTCAAATGTATATTGAAGAAGCTGAATAATTCATTAACTATGCATTCTCTAATTTTCACTTTATTATCACATAGCATGTCTTCAGATGGCTTTATACTTTGTTTGATGAGCTCTCTACAGTTTTGATTAGGCAATTTGCTTTCAACAATTTCTATGAACTTCGGCAATTTTTGATGTAAGGCTATCGTGTCAACATACAAGTCCATACAAGTTGTTATAAGTGTTTTATTGATGCTGCCAATTTCCACTTTTGGTGAAGAGTGCCTCTACAAAATGAAACAATATTGTTAAAGGTAATTAAAAAATTAACAGCTATTTTAAAGCGGCTTTTCCTTACCTGCAAACAATATTTACTTATCCATGTGCTATATCTAGCTATAAGTTGAAGAGATAGCTTCCAAAACTTGTGGGACAGAGCTTCGATAAAGATCCCATCTGACCAACAATCTTGTAAAGCTTTCCAACATTTAGTTGTCTCCTTAAGTAGAAAGTCATCATTGTCTCTATGAAGTGTAGGACTCGACCTTAATGAAGATTCAAAGCCACCTGAATTAGAAAGTAGAATAAAGCAATAGTCAAACATTTATTTATTTAAAAAAAGATCTGTTCTATAATGAAAATATGTACAAAATAGCTACTATACCTGCAATTTCTTGAAACCTAATTTGAAAATAAACTGGCAGATTCCATCTTCGTTGAAAGCTTTTATATTCAGATGTTGAATGTAGTAATTTTACTGTGTTTTTGCTATCACAATGTAATTCTAGTTTCTTTATGAATTGCATACTTTCACTGTATCTCCTATAAAATAACTGTGGGTTCCCTGGTGCAAATATAGATGCTAAGTTTACTTCTAGACGGTTCTCAACTTCACACCAGAAACAATTAACTAGAAATCTAAATTGTTGCACCTGAAACTTCAATTTGGAATGTTGCGTTACTGTTAGAAGTAACTTTAATTTTGTGTCTAGTAATGACAGAATCCTGGCATAGATGCCTTCAAGACCTTCTTTACTTCTCTGCAAAGATGGCTCATTAATGATATCAAGCAATAATGGTCCAACTGCTTGTTTCCTCATTAGCATTTCTGTTTCAGTTATCCTATCTAATGATGTCAAAATCATTAATGTCTTAAGGAGGTTCTCTTCATTATGATCATTCCAAAACTGGAAGAGTAGATCATTTAATATCTGTATTAACTTGCCTCCCACCTCATTGTATTGCTTCTTTTGCTCTGGCTTAACCACATTATTACATTTAACTATAGAAAACTTTAAATGATTGTATTCCATTGCTGCTCTATCTGCTAACACCATTTGTTCCTGACGTGTCTTTTCTGTAATGTCTTGTAAAATATTTTCAATGGAACTTAGGCAATTGACTGTTTGACTGTAATACTTTAGTAATTGCTTCTTCTTCAAGAGAGAATGTCGCTGGTTTAACCAAAGCGCCAATTCTTTCATAGCATCTTCTAGACACTTTTTTACGTCCTGTTATAAAAATTATTAAGAGATAAGGAAATAATCTATATACGTGAAAAAGAAATTTAGACTATGTACACACCTCGACTTCGTTGTTTAGTTGACCCAACGGCAATTGGATTTTTACGATTGTTTTATCAAAACCAATTAGCGTAGCACAGAGATTAACGAAGTTGGCGTAATCTTTGTTTATTAGTTCTATCATAGCTAATCTGAGAACTTTAAGGTACACGCCCAAGTCATCTCGCATAGTTTCCAAAGACGCCACATTCTGATGTTCTGCCAAGAAACTGTCTACTGAGAAGTTTGTCTGGAATATAAAGACAACATATATATCACAAATTACTCAAGTATATGCCGGTGAACTTGTAATTTCTTGTAAAAATTTAAGAATTACCTTCACGAAATCATTACGGTCAAAACAGAGTCCTCGAGGAGCCGGTGGTAGTGTAAACCCCTTAATATCACTCTCCATGTTTTGAGTTTTATGTTAATTGCAATTAAGGCACCATTATTAATCGGGAACGGAATTAAATGTTTATATTAAAAATCGTCTCTGTACTCTAACACCATTTTGACATGACAGTTTAATCACTGACGTAGGCTTGACACATCATCTTTCAATTTGTCAATCGGATACTTGTACCTAAAGAATTGTTGTTGTAAAATATTTGTAGACATAAAACAAGGAACAATTCTAAATTAATTATAACATCTTTTTCAAAAACATAATTTCAGTTTTTTATTTAAATATTTTTTATAAATACATCTACAGATGTCTGGATAGAGTGATATTATACATTTTATTTACTTAAAAACGCTCTTTGTTTTGACCCAACTTATTGTTTATTACAAAGACTTTTCTACTTGCTAATTAGAAAGACAAAGTGGATAAGTATCCAAATTACTACTAAACGTATACTAAATTACGATAAATATTTGTCAATAAGGAACATATAATCAAAACTAAATCGCCGCATTATTTTAATGATCCTAATTGGCCTGTACTTCATATAATAAACATATGAGTAGGCAATATATAAAACAAGGTTTTCGCGAAAAATGCAATATTTAACATGCAGTTGCGAAATTCTTTAACAATGGAGCTCAATTCTGATTTGTATTTAAATAGAGCAAAACTCGTGATGAGTGTCCTGGGCGTTTGGGTACCAGAAATAAACGAGATTATAACTAGAAGATTGTACAAAATCTTTATGCTATCTCTTCAATATTCATTTTTGTTATTTCAAATCATTAACGTGTTTCAAGTGTTAGGGGATATGGAGGCTATATCACATGCTGTTTACTTGCTTTTCACACAAGCCAGTTTGTGTTGTAAAATTTCTGTCTTTCATTGGAATATAGATGGAGTCCGAAATCTGCTAGAACAAATGAATAGCAAAACTTTTCAACCGCTGTGTACTGAGCACGAACGGTAAAAAGCTGTCTTTAATAATTAGAAAAAAATAAGGGGAGATTGGTAAAAATAGTGTCTAAAAAATTAAGGGGAGATTGGTAAAAAGCTAAGACTCATGTGATAACCAAGGGCACGAAAGACGATGGATGAAGGTACTATGTCGTTGCCTGCTCTAAACCAAAACGTCGGGTCGTAGTTAACTAAATCGAACATAAGTTTAACTAATATATTTCGCGTTCTACATGTTAAAAATGTTTTATTTAAATATTAATAATTAGCTTCATCCTTTATTTGCAGAATTTTAAAAACACGAGCTGTAAGTATAAAGCGATTATTAATGGTGTTCATAGTGGTTGCAGAAGCGACCTGTGTGGTATGGGGGTTAATTCCTCTTCTTGATCCCGAAGTTAAGAAATTTCCTTTTGATATGTGGTAAGCAATTTGTTTGGGGAAATCAATATTACTACCCACTTATAGAATCAAAATAGAATGAGTTACAAATTAGCTGGGTGCTTTGTTTGTTTTGTCCGGTCCTCTGTCCACAATTTATCGAAATTGCGATTATTTCGGAGATTCAACTATGTAATTAGGTATTACAAAAAAAAATACATTTTTTCTAAGGTTTTTGCATTTTATAAGCACATTTGTTACTTAGTAACAGTAAATTTAAAGATTTTTACAGGCTACCTGTAAATCCCAACATCTCCATAGAATACCAAATCGGCTTTACTTACCAAGAGATAACAATTTGCACTAGCGCATTCCTGTACTACGGAGTGGACACTGTAGCTATATCAATGATTATATTTGCGTGTGCGCAGATGGAGATTATTATGGAGAAAATATTAAGTGTAAGGGTAATTTTTTACATGTAATTTACATAACAATAATTATAACTATAAAAAAGTAATCGTTATATTTGGTAGGATACCTTAACTACAAATGACGACTGGTCGTCGTGAAGTAAATAAAATTAGCTGTTGGGTTCGTTTTTAGATCCAGTCCTTTAATGACAGTAGTACAGATGGAAGTCTGACCTTAGAGGAATATTATCTCGATGGCAATAAGAAATTAACTGAATGCGTCAAACATTACCAAGCTGTTGTAACGTGAGACTTTTCTACATACTTCACTTCCTGTTTCGAATTTTTTTATTGATTATGAATACATTTAGATTTTCAGAGACAATAGAAGATACCTTTCACTTTTACATGCTCTTTCAATTAACGGGTACTGTGGGGATCATTGTAATGAGCGCGTATCGTATTCTCATGGTAAGTGAACAATAGAGTTCTAAATAAATAAATCCGTTTATTTACAGTAAGACTTATACATAAGTTAAATTAAATGAACAAAGAAGTAAAACTTTAACATTTGTGCTAAAAGGCGTCAGATTCAGCTCAACTCAGTAAGGTTTCTGCGCTGATTCTCATTCTGTCCCTCATCAGATAACAACAAGTAGTACCGCTAACTTGAGACGTGTTATCGTCGCTTTAGTTTTGTAAAATTATTGAAAACCTAATTTTATTTTAAGATCGAAAGTGGACTTGTAAATTTTATTAACACGGTCATCTACGTGGCGCTTATGGCTAGCCAGATGTACTTGTGTTGCTGGAGTAGCCACGAGCTTACTGTTAATGTAAGTACCTAATGACAGAAAAAATAAACCTACGTTACAACTTTATACAAGTAAAGTATAATATTATGTAAAGAAATGTATATCGACTTGTGTTTTTCTATTAAATTTGTTTATAGCTTGCTTTTTATAATCTTCATGCATTTCAAATCAGGTCTTTATGTGTATATCAGAATTAATCTCGACATTACTTTTTCTTAAATTCTAGTGTGAAAAATTGCAAACAACATTATATTTGAGTATCTGGTACGAACAAGATCTAAAGTTTCAGCGTTCACTCTATTTAAGCATGATGCGTATTTCCAGCCCAGTGGTCCTTCGAGCCGGACATTACATTAGTTTGTCAAGGGAGACGTTTGTATCTGTAAGAATGTCGTTGTTTTACTATATGTAGTTCAATAGGTATTTACATGATTTTAACTTTAAAAATCTAATAACACAAATCCATTTCAGATTCTTCGCATGTCTTACTCTTACTTTGCAGTATTAAATCAAACGAAGTAGTTTTATCTTTTAAATTGAGTATATAATAAGGCGTAAGTTAGTTTTAATAATAATGAGTTTAGTATAATTGCTTTTCGCTAATTGAAATTCCGCTATTTAATTTTTACAGCAAGTGAAATTATAAAATATATTTAATCCAATGTTGTTTCAATTATTTAACATTGCGTCACATCACAAAATAACCCACATTATCTAGTTTAATTGTAATAGAATATATTGTTTGGTTGATTACATGTTTGTAACAACACACCCTAATATTGCCGAAATATTTGTCCACAACAACTAAGCATGTGTCCTTTATAAAAGCCATGTTCTTCCAAGAAGGTATAATATTTAAGTTTGAAACAGTAATTCGCTTGATCATGGAAAATCGGGTATTAGACGCATTCTTAAATAGAGCAGAACTTGTTATGAAACTGTTGGGCGTTTGGGTTCCAGACGAAAACGAGACGACAGCCCAAAAATGTTATAAATGTTTTACGTTTTTCCTACAGTACTCGTTTTTGTTCTTTCAAATCGTTTACGTGATTCAAGTGTGGGGGGATATAGATGCTGTATCTCGTGCAGTGTACTTGCTTTTCACGCAAGCTAGTTTGTGCTTCAAAATTTCCGTGTTTCACTGGAATATAGGTCTGGTAAGGAAGTTGCTAGAACAAATGTGTTGCGAAACTTTTCAGCCGCTGAGTGATTTTCATGAACGGTAAGGATGAAATCATATCTCGCTCCGTCATAATTGCCTGGTAGATAAAAGCGGAAAACTAGGAACCTGGGTGACCCAGGTTAGGGATACATAAATTTATTCTTTTAAAAATTTAAAATAAATTGAAAAAAAAATCGACTCGGGCAGGACTTTAACGTTCCGTGCTGTTGCTCTACCAATTGAGCTACCGAGGAACGCTGACGATGACGGTTCAAGTCCTGTTGTATACAAATAATCAGGTTATGGGGAGGCCACAGCTACTGCAAAGCGTTCGAAACGTCGCGCTGTAGTTAAAATTATGTGTAAATAACGCAATACATTTTGCGTTTTAATCCGTAAAAATTTTATGCGTGCTACTTGCGTAAACTACAGACTTATGTTTGTAAAATAAAAAAGTAGGTTCTTATCAATACATACTTGTAATTCTCCCGTTATAGAATTTTAAAAGCACGAGCTAAGTATATAAAACGGCTATTGCTGATGTTCATAATAGCCGCAGAAACTACTTGTTTGACTTGGGGGTTGAATCCCCTTTTTGACAGTGGCGCGAGGAAGTTTCCTTTTGATATGTGGTAAGCTTCATTGAGTTTACATTTAAGCAGCTAAAAACATATAACTGTACTAAACTACAATACCAGAAAATCCTAATTCTTCTACATAGGGCTCGTTAGTCCAATAGCAACGTATGGCTTGAAATCAAGGGGCGTTGGTTCGATTCTCACCTGTTTCTAATCGATTTACAATTTTTCTGAAAAATTTTTGAAATTCGTTTGGAAATATCTATATTAAATGGCTGTAGGAATATTCGGGCCATAAAGTAATCGGGTAAGGTTTTATCACGTTTCAATTTCAGTTGGATTACTGAATATCTAAAGCCAAAATAGATCACAACACTTGTTGATATGTTATATGGCTTATGCTTATGGTTATGTTTTCTATCTTCTATAATAAAAAAACGCGTGAGAAACATTCCTGTGTTTATTTGACTGGATGAAATTTCTAGCAGGAAACTGATTAGGGCGCTTATTATGTTAGTCTAGGTTGTAAATTCCGGGGCACTTATTAAATAAGGGTCCGTCCTAAGTGCCCAAGGAACTTGGATTTCCGCGCATGATGCAATCCTACGCAATATATTTTGACTAACTTTAGATTTGCTGGCCATCGAGGCACGGTGGAGGCCGACTTAACTACTTAACAGTAGTTTGAATTTTTTATATAATGGAAATCTATTAATATTTTCGTACAGGATGCCTATAAGTCCAGAAAAAGATTCATTTTATGCCATAGGCTTTTTATACCAAGAGATAACAATATGCATGAGTGCATTGCTGTACTATGGAGTGGATAGTGTTGCCATCTCGATGGTGATTTTTGCGTGTGCGCAGTTAGAGATTATTATGGAAAAAATTCTGAGTGTACGTACAGGATTAAATATATGTATACTTGCTTTATCGTTAATTTACTGAATATTTTTTTATTGTTCTGGAAACATTCCAGTTCGATTTTAAAATTTGTTTTTTGACGGTTATATTATTAATATTTATTTGTATAGTTAAAAACGCATGTCTGTTATAGTAAGTTTACACTAAATGTTTCATGTTAGTTCTTTCTTGTTATCTTATTTAGCAGTTGAAACGTAGACATTTGTTGTTCTAGATCCAGTCCTATCGGCCAAGTGTAGATGATATGACTGTAGAAGAATATTATACGAATGCCAACAATAAATTAATTGAATGCGTAAAGCACTATCATGCAGTGGTTAGGTAAGAAATTATTTAAAATAAAAAAACAGACTCTTGTAGACTTAATTGGCAATAGTACGTGTTTATTTTGAAATAACTTTAGAGAAGGTACCACCTATAATTTCATGAAAAAGTAATTCATTCAATTTTAGGTTCACCAAACTAATCGAAGACACCTTCCACGTCTATATATTTTTCCAATTAACGGGCGCAGTGGGGATAATTGTCATGAGCGCATATCGTATTTTGATTGTAAGTTATTACTTAAGAAAGAAAATTTTGTATATATGTAGGTAAATTTATAATTAATATAAATAGAGTCATATTTATTTGATTAGAATATTATTTAAAAGAAGTTACTTACACAATGTTTTACCTAAAAATTGACAATAATTTCAGCTTGAGAGCCAAAGCATAGAGCTTATAGCGACCATGATGTACCTGACAGGTATGGCCAGCCAAATATACATAAGTTGCTGGAGTGGACACGAACTAACATATCTTGTAAGTAGAAAATGTTGAAACTGAGTTTTACTTAATAAGAAAATAATGCGTATAAATTTATGTTTGTATCTTATGTCTGTATTTGGTTTAATAGTGTGTTCCCAAATTTATTACCCACATTTTTTCTGACAGGAGCACAGACAATCATGGCGTTCATTTCAACTTTTTATTCAACAGACTATTCGAAATCATAGACTGAAATGCGTGTGACTCGGACGCAATTTCGATTTAAACCAATTTTATCCGCATTTTTTGTCAAAAAGAAACTGAAAATTGTATATTTTGCAGAGTGAAAAACTACACACCGTTTTGTATATGTGCGCTTGGTATGAACAGGACCTTAAATTTCAAAGGGCACTTTATTTGACAATGTTACGAGTAAGGCATCCTTTGGTCCTTCGCGCTGGCCATTACATCAGCTTGTCGCGACAAACTTTTGTAGCTGTAAGATTTTTATTAATATTATAGATAACAAACGAAACAATACTGTTAAGATATATAAGATTATTAACCGTTCTTTAATACTTATTTCCCTTAAAAACTAAATAAAATTCACTATCTATTATTTTATTTTTATTAATACTAATTATTGCAGTGGTTTCGATTGAATCTCTATGGTTTTACTATTCAAATTCTATAACAAAGTCTAAATTTATCTCCTTTTCCAGATTCTGCGGACTTCCTACTCCTATTTTGCGGTTTTAAATCGAGCAAAGTAATTATAAGGAGTGAAGTTTGTAGTGATATCACATATTAGGGACAACAATTGTTTATAATTACCGCTTTGTAAGTTTGTAAACTAAACCCATTAGGAGTTTTGAGTTCTGCTAGGTGCTAATTTAACTAATTTCATTAAAGTTGAACATTTAAACAGTGTGTTTCATTTTATCCATAACTTATCGTTTTATTTATTGTTGTTATTTTTCTTTGAAAGCCGATATTTCGAATAAATTAAAACTGACGTTGTTGGTGCCGGAAAAAAATATTTTATATTCCATCAAGATCTTTTATAACAATTTTAAAACAAATCAACATATCCAGCTTTAAAATGTATACTAATTTTATTTAATACATTTATAATTGAAAACAAGAACTATTCGACCGCAAAAAATAAGTGAATATAAAATAGTCCTTAGCATAGTCAATGGTTACCATCGTCGTTAGTAGGTATAGTAAAAAGAACGTCCTGTATATCCCTTTCCGGTTGTGTTGTAAACTTTCGCACCAATATTTTCGATATAAAACTTGAAAGAGACCCATGTCCTTTACGAAAATTAATAAAATGGTCAACAACATAGACATGTTCTTAGGAAGACCGAGATTCATCTTACAACACCTCGGTATATGGTTACCGCCTGAAAAATATATTTATCTCCGTAACCTCTATAAATTTTTAGTTATGTTGACACAGTATTCCTTTATTTTCTTCGAGTTTATTTATATAGCAGTCGTCTGGGGCGATTTTGATGAAGTCTCCGAGGCTTCATATTTACTATTCACCCAAGCGTCAGTTTGTTATAAGACAACGGTGTTTATGATGAATAAGGATAATTTAAAAGAACTCTTGCGGTTTATGGAAGTGGAGATGTTTGCACCGCAATCTTCTGCTCATCAAAAGTAAAAAAAAATGTTTCCTCTTCTTTGTATTATATTATGTTAAGTTCAATGATAATTTAAAAAGAACGAAACGCTTTTCTTATTTATGCGGGCCTAGTGCAGACATGTGCCTATGTCTCATCATTAATCTGTTGCTGTACCCCTATATCGATAGTATTATGTTTTCTGGGAATTCGAATTTTGGACTTATTAGAGTTACTGCTCGTTTTGTCCTTTGATTGACGTAGACGGTCGCATAAATTATTATATACCCATTTTCTTAATTTATTTATTTATTAAGTAATGTATTAGATAATAATCACAGTTATTTCTCCGTATCGCTTTCATTAGAATATTAAAAGCTCAATCTAAGAAGATAAATAATCTCAGTGCTGTTTTCCTAACCAGCGCGATTACGACCTGCACACTGTGGGCAGTTATGCCCTTATTTGATACAGCTGAGACGAGGTTTTTTCCATTTAAAATTTGGTAAGTTAATCAGTTTCAACCTTCTTTAAAAAGAACAGCGTCAGTTGCTTTGCCCAAGTAAATAATTGAAAAAAAGTAAAATTTGGTTACTTATTTGAAAATTACTTTAACTAAGCCAGTTTCGATGCCTTGTGGCAACTGTCAGGTCAGACAACAGACTTCGGATAAGTGTTTTATTGAAATGTGTACTAATCGCGTAAATCACAGATAGTATTCCATAAATAATTATTTGTTCTTAAGTATATTATATATCTTACCAGCTGCTGTGCTGCACTATCGTTATTAACTTGTATGTCCACCAAATGCAATTTTTAAGGATGCCTGTCGACCCTACGAAATCTCCACATTACGAAGTCGGATATGTTTATCAAGTATTAAGTATTTACATCAGCGCTTTGCTATTTTTCGCTGTAGATAGCACAACCCTCTGCATGATAATGTTTGGATGTGCGGAACTTGAAATTATTGTTGATAAAATACATAAGGTGAATACATGACCTATACTCAATCATATTGATATAATCAACTTCACAGATAACGATATTATAATTTGCCTACTTGATATTTACCTAGAACATAGATGGCGCTGAGCTAAATAAAGTTTAGTTAGGATCTATGTCGCTAGATGGCAGTGCAAGATCTAGAGAAAAATGTAAAACACGCTTAAGAAAAACTTTCTTATCACTATATATACTTTTGATTATAAAATGTAAGTTATCGCTTCTCGGCCTTTTGGCTAAGATCAAAGTGTAGTATCTGTTCTTTTCAGCTTAATATCTGAAAGTTCCCGCATCGCGGGACCAGTATATTAAACTGATTTTTGGAAGCTGACGGGATGTTCGGGGCTCGCTCCACTCCTGTCGCGGGTCGGCCCGGCATTGCAGTGCCGCCGGGATCGGCCTAATCATTAAATAAAATATCAATAGTAGTAGCTTGTACTACTATATATTGTAATATGCAAATTGATGACTAAATAAGCCATTACAATGAGTAATAATACTGAATATTACAACTATTGCAGATTCGGTCCATTCCAATGTCATCGGGTTTGAAGAAATCGGAAAGCAATGAAAGAATTTTGGAAAATAATGAATTATTTAACGAATGTATTAGACATCATCAAGCGGTTGTAAAGTAAGACTTAATTATGATTGTTAATTACGATAAATATCATATAATGATGACGTATTGATTTTCTTATAGTCAAATTAAGTAAGTTGTATAAATATATAATACTCCATTAGTAACATTAAAATTTATCTTAAAAATGTATCTGCATGAAGAATCATTAATGAAATTAAAAATGTTTTTTTACTAGCGAAGTAAAATGTCAACTTCAAACTTCTGACCTAGTAACTTCTTCTTTGTATTACAGATTCATTGAATTATTAGAAGACACGTATCACGCTAATATATTTTTTCAACTCAGCGGTAGTGTTGGCATTATCTGTATAATTGGGCTTAGAATTGTAATTGTAAGTATTTATTTTGAAATAAGCGTGTAAGACGCATAGTTGAGCGTGCGCCGGTCTTGTTGTAAGTGTATTTCTCCTCTAAAAAAGAGATTAACGCGGTAAACTCATACAAACCTCTAAATGTTATTCATTTATTTCATTTCATGTATTTATTTCAGGCAGAACCTAGTAGTGTACAATTTTATTCAATGTTGAATTATATGGTTACAATGTTGTCACAATTGTTTCTGTACTGTTGGTGTGGAAATGAATTAACTACAATGGTAGGTCACTTTTAAAAGTTGCAGTAGGTAACTCATACTTACGATACTAAAACAATTTTACGGTAATTAAATGTGTAAGTTATATGCATTGGCTACTATAATTATTGATGTTAACAGCCTTTAATTCACTTACATATAAGCTTAGTATTTAAGTTATAATATGCTTTGTAGTTCAATGGTAACATAAGAAGATTATTGATTTTAGAGCCAAAATCTTCGTGAACATCTCTACTTGTGTCCATGGTACGAACAAAACAATAAATTCAGGCGATCTCTCATTATTGTGATGGAAAGGATGAAGAGGCCCATAATATTCAAAGCCGGTCATTACATACCTTTGTCTCGACCTACCTTTGTATCTGTAAGTATAATTTAATAGTTTTTCTTTGCAGATATAAAATATTATTTTTTTAAGTGCAAATCAAGTTGTCAGAGACCAAGTTGACTTATCTGCCCCGATTTTCTATCACTAATTTATTGGCGGTACTCGTAAAAGTCTACTTGTCTCATAAAGACCTGCACCCATGTGTGGGCCCCAGGTTAAAACAAAATCGTTGTATATATATCGCAATAATATGTAGTGTTATAATATTTGAATTGGAATTTCAGATTCTGCGCACATCATATTCTTATTTTGCTGTTTTGAATCAAGCTAAAAATAAAATATAATTAAGCCACATCGAGTAATAACTACAAGGTAGAAACTACCTTGTAGAGGTTTCTACCTTGTTGATGTTAAGATGTTGATGGCAACTATGCTCTCAAAAGAAACCTTAGTATCCGTGATATCCGAGTTAACCATGATTCTAAGTTACTTCAAAATCACTTGGTTTTATAATGCGTATAGCAAATACTTTTTCTGATGTTGAAACTTAAAATCTTATACTTCACCTATGTAAGAAGACACTTGGAGTACGCGTCCCAAATATGGAATCCATGCTACGCCGATAAAATTGGGCGAATTGAGAAAGTACAAAATTAGATATTTATGCTATCGACAAAAAAACTGTATTCCATTCTAAAGACTATCTCCGACTATGTAAAAAATTTCGACTCCTGTCCCTTTTGGATCGACGTCGAATAGCTGACTAAATAATGACTAACAAAATTGACTCCCATGAGTTACTAGAGATGATATATTTTAATGTACCACCCAAGACACTTCGGCTTGCCCCTCTTCTTCGCATTCCTTCTGCTAAAACCATTCACAGGCAAAACAGCTTCCTGGTATGCGCCTGCACAAGTTTCAATAAAATATGTAAACAGCATGACATTGATCCCTTTTTATTAAGTGTGCCCTTGGCAAAAATAATCTTATTTCACATTTTTTCAAATATAGTACTGGATAAGCTAACACTCAATGCTGTTAATTAAATTAATAAAAAAAAAAATGTTTCTTCAAATTCATAATAAGCTCGCAACTAACTCTAAGCTCGCATTTTTGTAAAATTTTGTAAATTTTTACAGTTCTGAAGCTACAAGTGAAAACTTTTAATTGGCTTTCTGATATTTAATATAGTGAATATGATATCCTATTGTTATTAGCTGTAAGTTTTCTATGTCTGAATAAATGAATTAATTAATAAATGAAAACACCTTAAAATTGTTACGAAAATTAAACACAAGTGGACAATTGATTCGTTTATTCATTGATACTGTATCACATACGCGTAGTGTACATGTAGACATAGTTAAGTGTGCATTTATGAAATTTATGAAAATACATTTCCCTCAAGAACATCGACTTACGAGTTAAAAATAAAAATGCGTTATACATGCGTGTTATAAGAATAACCTTTTAAGTCCCATGGATCATCTTTTTTTATAGTAGGTGTAATAAAAGTTGTCATTGCAAAAAAAATGTTCTTCACAGCCATTGTCATGCGAAAAGATAATCCACGCACTTGTTAACAATATTCGTTTAAACGTTGAAAATCGCTTTTAAATATCAGTCAAACGTTACTTATGCGTTACGAAGCTCAAATGCGGCTGCAAATTGACGCCGAAATTATTTTTAATATAATTATATTAGGTTATTGTGAATATAACAACATAATTATATGTTGTATATAATTTATGTATTCACAAAATATTTTTTACGTATTTATGACGGTCGTAACATACGAGCATGTGCGTATTTTATTGAACTTCGGCATCAATCGATTACAGATTGTAAGAGAAAAAAGTTATTCAAGCGCATTAACTTAATTCCTGACTCACACTTCGAGAGTTACCAGGTCTTTAGAAATTGTAAGAGTTAATAAAATATTTGTAGCCTTATCAATAAATAACTATAAGTTAATTTGACTTTCGTATCATGTACTAGGCTATCAGCAATCAAGACCTGTATAATTCTCATCGTGCACATCAGGCAGCTTTAAGGCATTAGAATATGTATTATTATCACAGCGGTGCGATGTAAAGATAGATATAGCACGTAGATTAGTATACGCAATTCGTACGAATTTCCTTACGACAATAAATTGTATCTCAAAGATAATTTTCAGAGACGAACGAGTCTACAATAAGCTTGTTAGATGTTAAGGTAGAAAAAAGGCAAGAGGCTACCTTCTGTGGAATATGACTCAATCTTTAATAGCAGTATAGCAAACGCTTTTCTCATTTTGGAAAATTCTCCTTCATAGATTAAGTATTAATTGTGTTAGTTACGTGCACACGCAACAGTTTACAGTTAAAGAGAGAATAAAACACATCAAAATCAATTGTTCACGAATTATTTACTTAGAATCAATTAATACAAAATTTTATAATTAAAATGGCAATAACACATTAACAAAACATCAATTACATTATAAAAAATTCACAACATTCTTGGAATATAAAAATTCGAATTTGAACCACAACCGAAATATTAAAACAGTGCAGTGCGCCCTTTGACCAGAAAAGCTCAAATAAGGGCATGACTTCTCAGTCAATACGTACAACATCAATAAAAGCTCACATTTAAATGTGGAAAATTCGTTCAAACCTTTTTTTATTTTTTTTTTTTTTTTTTTTCCCCATTTTTTTTAACCCGCGTGAAATATCAAATAATATATGGTTAAAACTCTAAAACGAGATGACCATATTTGAGGAAGGCAAACATAATAGGAGTCAAATCATATACAACATTTTATAACTATAACGTTATGAAACATTAAAATTCAAAATAATTCTTAGGCAACCAAGACAAAAGATTCAACTACGGAATTAAATTGCAACTACGGAATAAAATACGGAAATAAATCTACACCATGTTAAACGTACGTGCATTCCAGTTGCAATTAGAGAATAACACAGTTATCTACGCGTATGTTACCATAATATAAAAATAACTACTTAGTTAAATACGATATTGTGTTTAAAATCATTATTACGTACAATAATTGAAAACTACCTTCGTTTTACCGTTACATGTTGCTAAATGAAGATCTTTCCTGCAGATCAAGATGGCGGCCGCTGAAGTTAAAATTATAATGGCGGTAGATGAGTTTGACATTTACTACAATGCTTTGACAGCTTTAATGATACAGATAAATATAAAAGCGGAAATAGTGTATACAGTGCAAGATAAAGGTCGATGTAGTGATTAAAATTATGAAGCAATAAAGGTTCTACATGTCTACGCTGCTATCTATGGCGTTTTCAAAACTACACGACTTTTATCTAACTTTATATATTGTAATAATTCACTGTAACATTGTAATAAATTATGAAAATATATCTCCATTATACACAAATAAATGCTTCTTTGAGCAACAGTTTAGCTAGCGGAAGATAACCCGTTGTCCTTTACATTAATATTCATAAGAGATGCAGCATTTTATAATACAATAACATAAGACATTCTAATTTTTAATTAGGCCTGTTTTATGTACGTTCTGTGGCACAATGTAAAATTTTCTCTGTTGAAAAGTTTGTTTCATTGCAATAGGATTTAAGCAGTTTATTAAACAAGTTATGTCAGCTCTTCTTGACACAAGTATTATTCTGATTTTTTGACTATTTTTGTAATGACTCTTAAAAGTACCATTTCATTATTTTTATCAAGAACATTCATAAAACAAATAGCCTAATGTCTACATTTTGACACCATGTGGAAGTTGAAAGACTAACTACGTTGTGAACTACAATTTCAGGGAAAAAATAAAAAGGACAAACATCAATTTTACAACAAAACTTAATGATTATCTATAACGCCAAAATTCATCCAAGCTAGTATAAAATTGAGATAAAATTAGTTATAACTACTAACTAACTAATCTAGACATTTTGTTAGCTAAGAATCACTCGACAAAAAAAATTTACACGACATGTCATCCGCAAACACGGGTATTACGGTTCTATCAATACAGAGGTGATAATGGGCTACAGGTATTATTTAAAAGTTCATTATGAATGCCGTGTTTACGGATATCCTAAGTTCACAAATTACAATCTTCGTCAAATAGCGAAAATTTGATTTCTACGGAATACTGCAAAATATGTTCCATTATACGAGATCACTGCGTTAGAAACTTTAATTTGTACAATCTTTGTTCGACTATATAAGGCGTTTCTATTTCAGTATAACTAAGTGAAATGAAAAATACTACCAGAGAGTAAGTAGTCTGTATAAATTTAAGTTGTTTATCCATTATTTCCTTATCCAGGCTATTTCCATAGTGTATATAAATAATAAAATGTATTTTTATTTAATTCATTATTTCCGACTTTACTAAGGCATCAGAAGTTCAAAAAGATGCATCTAAGATTATTGAACACCCACTTTCACTTAGCCTTGCTGGAAAAACTCTCTAACGTATCTAGATTCTGTATTTAACTTCCTTAAAACGCATAAACTAAGGACATTATGGTAAAAGAAATCAAAAATTCCATTGTGCGTTGTAAGAAATGATATTATTCTTCCTCAAAGAGCGATAGCAGGACACAAATACTGTCTTTTTCTTGTATCTCATCTCTTTTAAATAAAGTAGAAGCTATAAACAATCCGAGCAAGCCAAAAGGATAGAAGCGAGAAGTGTCTTTATTCGTAACCTATTAAGGATCATTATGTAGTGTCATCCTTTTGACTGGACGGGAACACGATATAAGCCGACTGAATAGAAAAGGTGTGTCGAAAACGAAAGCTAATCCTTATCATCTAAACACCGAAAGCTACTTCTTCATTCAGCCGAGTTACATCTAGGACGTGGTATTCTACTTTACGAGGAGTGTGGCCATACATTTGGCGGAATACTACCTTGCGCTTGACTAGACCGGTTCGGAATACTACATCAACAAAACGAGATAAAAATAATACTACATTAAATAATTCTACTGGATTAAATGGAATTGATAAGTTCATTTTGAGCGAACACTTAGAATATCTCAAATAATGCCGTACATCTCATCTTCTCCTTCATAGCCTCCTAAAATAGACTCACCATTCTTGTATAAGTCAATACCTGGAATAGAACAGGAATTTTATATTACTGCCACAAATCGTGATATAATAGTGTCCCTTAAATCGCGTTGCCCCTTTGTAGGGCATGGGGCTAACCCAACTATGTACCATCACTAATGTCTTTTTAAATAATTGATAAGATTTCTGTGAAGTTACTACTTTGTTATTTTCCGAGTTTCAAACACAGAACGTAATGCTAAGCTATGAAAGTCGGTTCTACTAAAACTATATTCCGTCCTTATCATACAAATTCAATTTAGAATGTCAGGGAAGAAGACAACAGGAGAAATATGTAATATGTAACTAAATGATCTCTTAAGTATTAGAAATACAAAACTTCTAGTATCAAGTTCTTTTGTTTTGTATATTTCCAACTAAGAAACGTGTGTATGTCTTTATTCAATAATATAATAGTAATATGTTTTACCTGTATAACAATAACAACAGCTCAAACGCCAAGTTCGCCATATTGCACGGACCACTTCTCGTACGCTACTAAGCTGTGTGGCGAAACCGACGGCCGGATGCGCTTCAACGCATCTATAAAGTCCTGGTACATGATGCTCCGAACCAGCGAAAGGTCAAGGCATTTTACTTCTTCAGGGTCTAATTCTAAGAAAGAAAAGATTAGCAAAATTAGAAAAAAAAACCTATTTTGAATCGTAATCGTAGATTTTTTCATCGTTACTTTCCGGGTCACGAACCACCGTTCACAGATAGCCGTAGCCGTAAAGATATTCGAGTTTCGGTTACAGTCTGTAGATTTTCAAACATATGAAGCCAAAATAGGTAAAAACGCACTTGTTAAGTTGTTATGCATAGTGTATATTATATCGTAGAGTAATAATAATAATTAATATTATACTTTAAAATATTAATGAATTAAGGGTTAATCAGTCAAGTTTAATACCAACCTCTGATGGGCCCAAGGGCGGCATCTCTACAAAGTGCGGTAAGGTCACTTCCCGAATAGCCGTCAGTCAGAGCTGCGAGCCGAGAGAGCTCATCATCACTTATGGAGGACGCAGCAGACCCTCGCGATAAGACGCGACGCAAGAGAGCGCCACGTGTACGTGCATCTGGTAACGTCACGTAAACGCGTTTGGGGAACCGTCTGCAATTCGCAACATGGTAACATTGTTATATACGTTTTTGACAATTCTCGACCTTGACAATCCAATTATGATGACAATTTGGCATGTTTCGTGTCATTGAAACAACACCATGACCCGATGTTTCGGATTATTTACAGAAGCCCTGGTCACGGGGGCAATAAAGACATGGAGGGTGTCCCTATTGTCAAAGCCAAATCTACTACGCTAGCGCTATCTGTTTCGTCGTAGTTGGTATTTGCATAATCTGGCTGGGTCTTTATTGAAATCGTGTAAATTACAGACAATATTTCATCTCGTTTGGTTCGGCATGATATAATACGGCCGACGTAACTTGGCAAGTCTAAACGGAGATTACACGAACTCGTAAAGAATAGTTTTCTTTGCCACACTGCCATTTATTTTCGTTACTGGGATAAAAAAGAAGTGAAAGATTTTAGCAACAAAAAGTAACATTACAATAATTAATTCAAAGAGAATAAGGGCTACGGACGCTTATCTTTCACCTAAAATACAGATACAAAACGAAAATATAACAAAAGAGAGATAGATACTAGTATTAATAAAATAAAATTAGATAATAGTATTAAATTTAACAATAAACAATCACTTTTCTAACGGACTGCGCTAAAGAGAGTGATAATGAAATAAACGCCAAGGAGTGAGCGAGACACACTACTGTTCACCGGACATTACCGAGTATGTAGGAAGCTTTACGAAATAACCCAATAGAGATGTCCATACTTGTTCCTCGAGAGTGTCGTTTAATCAATTCCTATTGAAATAGACACAATTGGATCGTAGAAATATATTTGTATAAAACGCTTTAAAGAAGGTGAAAATAGTAATTATATAAATAATAACTCATATTTAACTAAATCACATAAATCACAATAAATCTATAGACAGTATTTAAATCACATCGTTCAATAAAGAAAAACAAGTTTTTAATAATTTTATTTTCCTTTAAAAGTAAGCATGGTATCATTTATTAATAACACCATTCACGGTGCTCCTAAATTCATTTACTACAATATCCCATACGATTAAAAATTCAAAATTAAAATCGATAAAAATCGAATACGAAATTTAATAGAATAAACGGTCGATTATGTTGACAATAGGGTCAATCTCTAGTTTATATGTCCGTCCCGCGCACCTCGCTCTTACCACGGTTAATATCTTACGGAACATTTCTGCGCAGCGTTTCGCGCTAAGATCAGGCTTGCCAAGTTACGTCGGCCGTATTGTAATAACAGTGATAGTGACAAATAGTGGTCAGTTAATGTTAGGACTCTTGCACCGAACTGTTGATCACTGTGAAAACGATCTTAAAAAAAATTCTAACTAAACCATTTCTTTTAACTATACTTATTACGCATACCAGATTTATTACCAGACCAGCACTTCAAAGGTATGCCTACCTTAAAGCCGCTTCATCCAACTCCTGTGGTCGGTTTGTAGCAGCCATAACGATCAGTCTATCAGCTCCAGCAGCTGGTAGGCCATCAAATTCTACCAGAAACTCGGTCTTGAGCCGCCTTGAGGCTTCGTGCTCACCAGTCGAACGCTCGCAGAGCAGAGAGTCCACTTCGTCCACGAATATTATTGATGGCTGGAAGTGGAACAAAAATTGTCTAGAAGATTATAATTGAACCTTAATACGCAAGTGCTAAGATTGAAATTACATTGCGCGAGCGGTGCATGAGTCAATAAGTTGAAAAAATTCGACATTGAGGTATGGGACTCGGTAGCTCAATTGATTAGAAGCAACAGCAGGGAACGCTGAGAATGCAGGCTCAACTCCTGCCCGAGTCGAAAATTTTTCAATTTATTTTCCATTTTTAAGATGATAATTACTTAAAATAAAATTTGTGTAAGCCTTATTAGTAAGGATGTTAAGTGGCAGAAACTCACAAGCCAAAATAATCTTTCCATCTTGTGAAAACAGCTCAAAGTAACATTAGAATTTCTGGGTTTAAGTTATTCCACCAACCTGTAACTCCCTGGCTACTTGAAACAGAGCTCGAACCATCTTCTCTCCGTCTCCAACATATTTACTAGTAAGCGTAGCAGCTGATATGGAAAAGAACGTAGCAGAACATTCTGCCGCGACGCACCGCGCTAATAACGTCTTACCTGAAATATTAAAGCTTCATTTATAATAATATTATATATTAGTTTTCTTGGAAGCACAGAAGAATTTTTACAAATATATATAAGAAATGTGATAGTGTGAGACATCATAAATAGAGAATGAAAGTTTATTAATTATTACCGTTTCCAGGTGGACCAAACAAAAGCAGTCCTTTCGCTGGTGACCGAAGTCCCGTGAAGAGTTCAGGTCTCAAGGATGGCAGAACCACCATTTCTTGCAAAGCCTGTTTCGCTGCCTGTAAATAAAAAAGACGATGCTAATGTCATTTAATACTATCGTTCTACCACGATTTTATGAAGTGATAAAAGTTAAATTACAAATATAGTGACGTGTATAACGGTGTGTGACGGGCTCGTTGGTCTAATGGTAGCCATGTATGGGTACTAATTAATGGGTCGTGGGTTCGATCCGCACCGGTCCATCGATATCTAACATATTTCTTATTTTTCTGAAACATGTTGGATTTCGTCTGGAAATCTGGATATTATATCAGTGGTAGGAATACTGATGAAAAAACCTTGAAGCTTTATGGCGCTTCGGATTCGGTCTGTGGATTTCCGAATATCCAAAGCTAAAATAGGTCGACAGCGTATTTTGTTTAGATGCTATAGGCTGGGGTTATACACCTACCATCAAGCGAACCCCATGTTTGTCTGTCCTCCTGTATTATGAAAGAAAAAACTCTTACATCCTGCCCCGCTATGTCTTCCCAGTGCACCTTAGGACCACCCTCAACGATTTCGTCCAGGATAAGCTGAACCAGCTTCGGATCTACGCCTCGTATCGACAGCGTTGACTGCGGAGTTCTGCTTCTGGTGGGCGTGCCCCGCTGGGAGCCGCCGCCCACTGCTCTTCTTACTGGCGACCCGTTCGCTGGTACCTGATACGCGCCCTGATCATGAGCGAAGGATACTAGGGGTTAATGAATGATGTTAGTAAGCAAGGAGTTTGATTTGGAGTCATTAAATAAATAACAGGTAAATGAAGAGGAATGTCCACTTTCCATAGAGTCCCAGGCCAAAGTCTTTTTATGGTTAAGTGTTTTTGGTACTTTAATTTGGGACAATAGTAGTAGCGTATTTACTATTATTGTCTTTAGTTGTAGTCTGAAATGGGCATACCATGTTGTTGTTCTTCCATGGTTTGATCTACCTTTATAATTGCTTGATAAATTCGATTTGATTAACATTCTCTGTGAACATTTTTTGATGAAATATACTTAGTATTTAATTTAAATCGACAATTTAAAACTGATAACGTAAGAGAATCCGATAAATTCAGTTAAAGTTTGGTTTGGCTTCTCTATTAATGATTTCCAAAGTTCGCACAAGGCCGGTATATATATGAACTAAAAAGCTATGTTTTATGTTTCTTGTTGTCTGCAAAAATGTAGGGGTATTATATATTTGCTAAATGTATATTGAATGTTAACTTCAATGTACATAGAAACAATTGCACATGACCATGTCTTGTCATTTAATTACCAAGGTTTATATGATGTATGTACACATATACATAAATTGAATTAAAAGTTAAATATGTGCAGAAGCATTAACATAAACAAACTCGTATCTATGCATATCAAATTTATAAAGGAATGTAAATGCAGAACAATTTAATGAGCGTCATTCGCGCTTAAAAATAGTCATAGTGTGTACACTGATTTAAGTGAAGGTACGAGTCTATACTAATATATAAGGCTGAAGAGTTTGTTTGTTTGTTTGAACGCGCTAATCTCAGAAAATACTGGTTCGAATTGTAAAAAATATTTCTGTATTGGTTAAAGTATTTATCGAGGATGGTTATAGGCGACAAAACACCACGCTGTTAGTAGCGAAGAAACAGCGAAAAATTAAAAAAAACGGGGACCAACAGTGTAGTGTCATTATTTTTATACGTAATTGCTCGTTTAAATATTAATCAAAATGAGCTCTTGTGTGAATTCTAAAAGGCTTTCGCAGCCATTTTGTAAAGTCACTTCGATCGGTTTTTGAGTTTTCGTGCAAGTCCTCCACTTTTGATTTCGAAACAAAAAGCTTATAAATGAAAAGATATTTTAATATAGAGTTAAATATAAATTATCTCGTCTGTACGTCGTTAAGCACACTGGTCCTATAAAAAGTGCTCATTTCTTGTAAGGCCATTCGTATGTTACCATCTGCTCTTTATTACGAGTCAAATGCGCAAAAAGTCTTATTATCGCCTAACTGTTAAACGATAAATGGTACATCACCTGCTATAAGTAGTTCACTCACTACAAGTTAATTTTGTTCTGTGACATCTTGTTATAATTGAAAAAAAAAAACATTGGATTGTGATTTTACAAATTGTTACTCGTAGTGTTTGTCTACAAATATAAATTTATAATTTCGCCTACAAAAAACCTAACTTTCGAAAAAAAATGCAAAGCCCGAGTCGGAAACGTACCTTCTAGATGTGTACATCTAGAAGGTACATAATTTAATATTTAGTACATATTAGCATTTTGTGGTAAGCAAGACCAGAAGAATTTTATAATTATACTATATATTCTCAACTGCCTAGCTTTCGCGGTTTTAGAAACAAACAGAACGAAGTTTTAATATTATGGACCCATTTTTCTTTGAGTGCGGAACCCAAAACTCACTAAGAGGTCTCTATAAACTTATAAAGAGCAACAACAAAAAAGATGATGTTGAGAGCATAGTAACAAGCACATAGGAACAGGAAGGAGATAACTTTTTCTTTTTGAAGCAACATTAGCAATTTGATGACTGTATCTAGTTATAATATCCGGATGACTTACAGAGAGCTGCCGTTTAACAGCTGGTGGAGTAGACGCTGGCTTCATGGGATATCTGGAATACCCTCCATTGGAACTGTTAGGTTGCGACGACGACCGGCCCATGGAACGTGGGAGCGTTTGTGACTTCATCAGGGGCCCGCCCATTCCACTCTGCGGTCTCCTACTAGCGGTTGTCAGCTTGCGACCAGCAACTACAATGTTAATGTTTTCAATTGAATAATTAAATAATTATTATTGATATAGCGTCATTGGGTTCGGTAATTAGAATCGGCATTTTTTTTTTCAGAAATCGAGCCAGTTAGACTCAACACGAAAAAGTTTAGGTTATATTGTTGAAATTTTTCGTTTCTTTCAATAAGAAAAATGAAATGGAAAAATAGTCCACATAAATTTGGTCCCAGGAGTGAATGATACGTTAGAAGATGCATATTATTAGTGATGGTTAATTATACATCCATGACATGAACTTAACGCAATACGGATTGATGAATAGAATTAGAATGTAGCAACTTTCAATTTATGTACCAAGTAGTAGTAGTATTTAGTTTGAATTGATTTTTATTTTGCCCTCAACGACGACTTCTAAGACGTCATTCGGACATTTAATGTAGTAATAGCGAAAGCCAATAAAACAAGTACAATAAAAAATCAGTTACGAGTTATGGTTATAATAAAAAATACGCTGCGTTAATAGTTGAGAGTTTGAGACCAATCAATTTAATGTCAACGAATGAGAGACGTTTCGCCACTTTGAAAATAACCGTACCTTCAAGTTTCAATTACTTTTAACTTAGCGAAAGTTCGTGTTATAAAATAAATGAGGAAAATCGCGAATTCATTCATAACAAACCTATCACTAAATAACACCAGAAAAACATAAACACACAAGAGGACGTATTTGTAATTCTCGACACAAAATTTAAAAATGCTAAGAAAAAAAATTTCCTCCTCAGACGAAACAAAAGCTTACTGAATTAATAATTACACGTACATTTACATTTGAATGCAGTAACCCTGACTCAGGTGCTGTATAACGTAAACTAGAACAATATAATGCGCATAATATGAAAAGAAAAAAACGATCAACATTCAATTAAAATATAATTTCCAACATCCACAGCCAAAAGGCGTAGGTGGGCGTTCTAAAACTATTCCACATTGTTGTAACGATTACAAAACTGGGGCGTCAATTCGTTGACATACTTTAAAACTTTTATCTTAGATATAATTACAAATATAAGTTTTATTGATATTGCGTATAGTGTAGGCGCAGAGTAATGAGTTTGCATTATGCAACTTGCAATATAGTAAAGAACCTACACGTGATAATTGCCATTTTGCTTTGGTATATTATATTGAAATCTTCTTTCATTTATGAGTGCCTAGTAGTTCAATGAAAACAAGAGAGGTCACTTATTTCTTTGTTCGTGACGTTCTGAAAAACCTAACCTACAGACAGACACCTATCTCAATCTATCATTAGTTCTTAGTCAATTTTCTCTTAAAGTAAAGCAGACACATCTATGTCTGCACAATATGTATAACCCATAAAATATATATTTGATCCGATTATATTATTAAAATACAGACATTTATTTACACCGTATGTTTGACTGTAAATTGAGCTTTCTAGTCTGTGTCGTGCTTATAAAAGAACATAGAAAATACTGTCCACAGACAACAAAGCTTTTCATTAGAGAAAAGGCCTACAGAAAACCGTTTCCTTTCCACAGTGAAGTAACTAGTCGCACTTATTACGCCCTGAAGCCGACGCCTTTTGTCAGTTTACAGGCTGAAATGAAAAAATCCTTGAACGGACGGTAAATAAACCTTTATGAAAGGGATGGTAGTATTAAATGTCGTTCGTACATAAAATGTAGAATTTTTGAATCAAATTTCGAGTAAAATATGTCATATGTATAGTAAAATATATGACATCTTTATATGTTAGTATAGATCAGCTCTTTAAGTTGAATCTATACTAAATATAAAGCTAATTTTGTTTGTTTGAACGCTCTAAGCTCAGGAACGACTAGTTTGAATTAAATAAATATTTTTGTGTTGGCTAGAACATTTATCGAGGACAGGCTATACAACACCATGTTGCTATAAAACAATGGTGTGACAAAAAGCGGTCAGCGGCAAATATGGAAAAAGAGGGGGAAACTCTTCATCCCTATAGGTTTCCGATGTGTACGCTGCAAAAACGGTTCAAGATACAAAAAAAATATGTATGAAAGAATGATTTGTTTTTAAAGGATCTAACGCGACTGACGTCGTGGGTAGAGCTTAAGTTGATAAAGATGAAGGGATTTGCAGAAACGAATTTGGATGCCGAATATAACGATTCTCGCGGGCGAAATCGCTGACACAGCTAGTTTAAATGACTGCAGTCGTTTTTTATTATCTTTTTGGAGACGATCTATCTTCAAGCACCTGATCGATTTTGGGTTGTTGGCTTATGAAGACCAAGTGTTTAATCACCTCAGAAAATGGTAATAACAATCTGAACTTGTCAATTCAGCGTATTTTGGGACGATTGAGTGGGTACCTCGTCTCCCAACCTTTTCAAGCATTCGTTATGTCACCGGCAAGACGTTAAAAACGCTGCAATATTTATGTTTACAAAGCGAAATATGAAAAGAGGCTTTCACGTCGACTGCACCGAGTGCCTACTCCATATCGCGGCAACGAGGCCGCGAGCCTCAAATCTCGACATTCAGCTTGTTTGTTGAGCCTTTTCGCGAGTTATTAGAACCTTTGTTGTAAAGCTCGCTTTTATACGTTTCGAAAAAAAAATCTTTATCCCTATATCTGAAAATCTGAAAGCCAAGTTACCATGCCAAATGAACACTATAGGATATCACAGGTGGGGCTCGAAGGTATCAGACCAGGTTGCATCCTTCGTATGTCGACTTTTAAACTTTCTAAAATGACTACAAGTTTTATAATAGTACCACCGTCCCACACATCAAGAGTTGTGAAATATCAAAACAGAGGTTTTTTGATGGCACTTGCCGCGCCCTACTAATAACATTGCAGTTATCAAATGATTCGTGAAAACTGAATGAGCCGTTTTAAAGCAGTAGGAAACAAGTTGGAATAAGATACGATTTATATATACATCTAATTCAACACTTTAACAGTTCACGACGCGATATGTATATTAGTTTAACTTATTTGGAAATGATTTCAACTACGGCCTGACGTTTCGGATGCTTTGCAGCAGCCCTGACCACGGCTACTAAGATATATTGGGTTTTAAACCGTTCACATGTTTTATTTTTACATAATATGTATATATTACATTTAATCTATATATAAATTGACCCCTTACTGATCTTGGTACTAAATGGCGAATTTCAGCTTGACCTAACAAAATTTAAATATTACGAAATTTCCCTCATAAAAGGTGTCAAGTTAAGGTCAAAGAATAATGTATTAACGCATACGCGAAAGTGAGAAAAGTAGGTCGGCTCTACCTTAAACTTAAATCTGGTGACAAACATGCAAATTACAGTGTCATTGAGTGGCTGCTTATCTTTGCGTTTGAAGCTCTTTTTTTTTTCAATATAAAAATCAGTTATTTTTTTCTTTTTTATTTATATTGCCTTTGACTGAAAGTAAAACGTTTTTTCTGTGATAGTTCGTGATTCGGATGAAACTTAGATATTAAACCTTCAAATATGTTGTCTGTGATTTTACAAAATATATCTACGAAGTAATCAAACAAACTCGTTTAACTAGTATGGAGCTTTTTATAAGAGAACAGCTAAATCAGTAAAAATGGCGAGTCTTTTAAAGACTTGATTTAGAAAACTTAGCATTTGCATTTATAAAAGTATGTATACTTTCTAAAGACGAATGTCTTTTAAAGGAAGCTAAATAAAACATAAAATATAAGCGTTAGTTTTTTTATAAGCAGGTAGATATGACATCAACTAAATAATCATATTTGAACGAGATTCAAAGCCACCTCCTTGCTTCAGTCGAATAAATAAAATATTGGAAAAAAAATCATGGCGTTGGCTTTTTGTATACCTACCCAATAATTCTATATTGTCCAAAATAAATAAATTTTAAAATATTTGCATAAATGAAATTAAAACTCGTTAACTAAATTAAGTTTAAAGAGAATGTAAGTAATTTTTAAGCTAAATGTAATAGGACAACAGCAGTACCAGAGAGGTTAAAAATAGCAATTAATTAAAAAATAATTCAAGCTTATCTAGACAATGGAGGACACTACTTAGAGAATTGCAGACATTGAAGTTCGTTGCTCTCAAACAATACTATTAGATTTCAGCGTTATTATAATGTAAATGTTTTCTCCATTGTTCTCTAAGTTATGCAATATTCTACAACTTAAAGATAATTTTAAAATGGGGAAAATATCTTCACACATTTCTTTAAAAATAATAAGAGGAGACTAGCAAATTTTGTGGTTTACTTAATCTATACTAATATATAAAGCTGAAGTGTTTGTTTGAGCACGCTAATCTCAGGAACTACTGGTTCGAATTTAAAAATTCTTCGTGTTGGTGAGAACATTTATCGATGAAGGCTATAAGGCTATTATTGCGCTGTGACTAATATGAGCGAAGGAGCAGCGGGAAATGTAAAAAAAACCGGGGATCATTTTCATCTCTGTGGGTTTCCGATACGTACGCTAGCTCCCTGAGAAAACAGTTCAAGATAGTGTATATGTTGCGAGTTATATGGCCGGGATATTGAACATTAGGTGAATTCCATGACCTCACTGTTCCTAAAAAATGGGAGAGCATTTTTTGAAGGGTTGTTAAAGCACTGTAACTGGGGAGTGTCCAAAATCGATAGAACTCTATAATTGAGATACGACATGCTGACCTCATCAAAAATAATTTTGGACAATAACATTTGAATATTCAGTTCTATTAAATGTTCAGTATCGTTTATTCTAGTTCTCAAATAGCTGAAATGTTAGAATGACTTTAATTTAGTTTCTGTCCTAACATCTGGACATAAACTCTAAAGTCGTAAATGCGAGATGTCTCCTTTTTTATTTTTGTGTATCGTAAATAATAAATAACGAATTGCATATTATCGAAAAACCTCTAACACCAAAAAGTTTAAAGTCTGTAGTTTACGCGAATAGCATAAAGGTGCAACAAAAAAATTTTTAAACCGCAAAAAGTGTTTAGAACACTTTTAG